CCTGCCGCTCCCGAATCCAGCACATCGCAGAGTCGCTTGTCACAACGTCCTTGGAAGTCACTTACAGCGCGAGGAGAATATTCCAGCAGTCCAGGTGCACAGAACAAGACCTTGCAATCATTGATCGTAGACGCCGCGCGCATAGCCACCTGCAGCGCCTTATCTCCCACGCTCGCCGCGCTATCTCCCACTTCTGCTTCGGTGAAATCCTCAGTCTCGAGCTACACACCGGGCTCGGCCCAGCAGCAGCACATCGGTTTGGAACCTCAAGCCCAACAGCCCGAGGATAGACATGCTGCTCCCGAACAGCACGCTGCCATGGCTTTGATTCCCGAAGCCCGGCCTGATAACGACTTCCTCGGCTTCTGCCGTGGTGCCTACAACTTGCAGAATGGCGATCGAGAGGCCTCATTACAGAAGGCCAAGGAAGGTGGAGCTTATTCACGAAGTGGCTCCTCGACCAAGCAAACCAATGCCTACTTTCAAAAATGTCGAGAGCAAAGATGCGCCTTCCGGAGCAACATTGTGAGCCCAGATCCCGATCTGATACGCACCAAGGTTCTCGAATTCCCTGAACGAGGCATGAAAATACGATGGACCTTTCTTGCCAAGTCACACGTACCGCAGCGCACGGTGATGCACAATATGCATGCCTACAAATGCATCTTTTGCGTCTATCTGAGCGCGCCAGAGCCCGCAGTCTACGCGGGAATGGATGCTTATCTGGATCACGTTAATGGTGTGCATAGAGGACAGGAAATGCATCCCGTGGTGCAATACAAGACTCGCTGCGTGAGCAATAGGATCGCAGATGATCGCGAGGAGTTCGACATCAATCTCTGGCCCGCCAATGATGCCGACAATTCGAAAGTTTCACAGTGGCTCTCTGATGACTATCTTGATCGCAGTATCAGGCCAAGACAGGGCACGATGGACTCCAAACACAGCCATCACCGCAGTAATACCAAAACTGCGGATGCAGAAGACGAGTCAGACGAAGATGAAGAATCAGATGGAATTGCAGGCGCATCTATGTCTGCTCGCGCAGATCAGCTGTTCGCACCTTCACCACACTACAAGCATATTAACCCTGCTCTCAACCCTTTGGCACCACAGCAGGCTGGAAGCAGTGCATGGGACGAGGCAGACGCGAATCCATGGGCGGAAGCATCGTCCGCTGGGCCCTCGCATCAACCTCGTCAAACGAGCTTGGGGAGCCAGAGCATCGCTCCTGATGGAGACCAATGGTCTGAACATTCGAAAGAAGTGTATGCACCTGAAATACCACCACGATCGGAGTTGCGGCCGCAGGAACCAGTGAGACAGATGCAGCAGGCTTTCTCTCGGTCAAGTCTTTCAACCTCTGCCGACGAGAGCATTACTGCCTGCCTGAACGATATCGTCCAAATCTATGCCGACGCGCATGCCATCTTGAACGATCTCGCACAACAAGCTGCACAGTCGTTGCGACTCCCACCCTCACCACTTCTGTCATTCGCTGTGGCAGACGCGCCGCCGGAGATCGAAAAATTGCGACAGCGCGGCCTGGCCTTGTTTGGGCCTTCTTTCGATGCTGCAGAGGACGCCGCAGTCAGTCATCTCCAGCGCACATCGAGACAACTGTACAGCGGGCTGTTTCGGCCTCTCAGTCAAGCTGCAAGGAATGCCAACTTCAACGACTATGCTTCACTTTTGCAAGTAGCAGAATACGGCCAGCAGACAACAGTGGCGTTTCTGAAGCAGAGACTCGCGACATTCAATGCCACCGGAGGCACCAGTCCAATACCACCGCAAAGGTCGCCGCAGTCTTTACAGCCTCCAGTTATCGGATACCCTGGCTACTCACCAAATCATTCACGCGCGTCCTCACAAGACATTCCAAGGTTGAGCCACTTCTCCGATGACAGTCATTCTGGTGCTGAGTCTGAGCGCCAGCCCTCGACAGCTTCAACAGGTTCACATCAGCCTCCGACCCAGCTCGCGGTGCCAGATGGTCGAAGACGCAGTTCGATGCTAGGCTTTCTGAAACATGGCGTGCGGGCGAACAGTGACCAAGGAAAAGCAGAGAGTCCGAGGAGTGGAATGTTGAAGTTGGATTTCAGACATCGGAAACACAGTGACGGGACAAGTCAGGGTACGCCGAGGGCTGTTGAATTGGACTCGACGCCTGTGTTGCCACGATGAGTAGAGTGCCTGGTTAATCCACATGATGAGAATAATGCGCTTGAAACATGATACTTTTGAAGCACCAAGGCTGCGCAGTCGCTCTTATCTTCGCACTGGTCAGCTTTACGGTGCACTCCAATGCAGTCACTCACGAAGAGTGGTGTTGAGACGGCCTCACAGAGCTTCGATCGAAAGAGACTCTCGTCCTGGTCGCCGACTATACTTGCCACGATCACATTCGCGCTATGTGGACTCTTCAAGCGTCGGACGTTGAGATTACCATGAAGCATTGCCTGGGACCAACTCAGATGCTGCAATCATTTGCATAATTCTCATGTACCAACGACGAGTAAAGCTACAACATCGCTCAAAAAGCACGACAACAAACCAATCGCTTCAAGAAGAAACCTCCGTCGGCCAAATAACTTCAAACAGTCCCACAACATACAACTCGATTTCTTTTCAGACTCATACATATCTCACAAAGCCGTAAGCGTAAACCTTCCAAACCTCGTCTGCGACTTATCATCATTATTCTGCCAATCCCCGGGACAAACCATCTTCCACGTCACCGGAACATTCAATGAAAGCCCATTCTTCACCACCTCACCTCCAGGCATAAAAGGACCAAGCTGCGCTTCTTTCATTTCCAATTGCTGCGAAGGATTCTGATCCCACCTCCCAATCGTCGAACTAAAAACTATTTGCCCCGCAGCCAAAACTTCAATCGTACAAGTATCCGATCCTTGATCTTTGTAATACCCAAACCCGAGTTTATACCTTTTATTCGGGCACGCGGTGATTGTTGTGGAGAATGTATTGGTTGTTATGCCTCCGCCTCTTGGGGTGAGGATGTAGAAATGGTATTGACCGGGGTGGTCGTAGGCTTCGTTGTAGCCTGTTGTGGGGGTATTACCGAAGATTGTGTCGGACCAGACGCTGGTTTGCCAGTCTTTGCGCCAGTCGCCTTCGAAGTTTGGGTTGGGGAGACCTGCGATGCATTCTTTGGGAGCGGCGATACAGGTTCCTTTTAAGCAGTAGGGTTTGTCGTCGGGGCAGGCGTTGTTGCATTTTCCGCAGTGGAAGGGGTTTTGCCGGAGGTCGAGGCAGGTTTTGCCGCATTGGTCGATGGGGCAGACGCAGTTGCCTCCTTTGCTGGGGAGGGGTCAGTGTCTGTGTTTAGGGGCGTATTTGATCGATTGTGAGGATTTCTGACGTACCATTTACTACCTTCTGGACATGTTCGTCCACATGCTCCGCAGTTTGTTTGCTCGTTGCTGAAGATGTTGGCGCAGTAGGATTTGTCGGATCCGTCTGCACCACAAATGAATTGGGGAGAAGGACAAGAACACTCGCAACGCTTGGCGCCCGACTCGACGAAAGCTTTCGCTCCCGGCCATGTTGCGGCGGCGAGCGCATAAGCCTCAGCTGCTTTGTTGCATGCTCCCCAGATCTGGTCGCTGTCAGGACATAACTTTTTGCGAATGAAAACTTTCGGACTTACCAGCCACATGTACCAATGCTTCTTGCTCAGGCATCCTTCATTAATCATGTCATCGAAGAAATCTTGATTACAGTTGTCCCAAGTTCCACTCTCGCAGTTCTCATAGCATAGATCGTGCTTGTTGCATGAAGAGCCGAAAGTAAAGTCTGGCGCCCAGTACCCTAGACCACTGCAACCATTCGAGGTTGCAGGAGGTGCATTCTTCCTCGCTTTGGCAGTCAACTGCTCTGGGTACTTTCCACATCGTGGTTGGAGCCCTTCATTATACAAGCTTCGACGCTTGCGATGAGCCTTGGTGCCGGCTTTCAGTGAATGCGCAATCATGCCTTTGGCGGCAGTTCCAGCAGTCAATTGGACGTTCCGTCCTGATTTGTCGAAGTAATACGCTTGGCCGTTTTGGACAGCAGTGATTTTCGACATGCAGTCCACCTTGAAGACTGTGGTCTGCATTTGTTGGCCCTGGCGAGTCTGAACCCGTGCGCCAGTTGAAGTTGTGGTCAAGACAACGCGGCCATTGTTCAATTTGGCAAGATATCTTGGAGTCGATCCGACAAGCATGACGATGTCGTAGACGCTGCACTTCGTTAATAACCTGCATTGAGGAGTTACAAACTGGCTTGACTTACCCGTCCGGTGCATTGGCCGGCTTCTCGAAGTAATACACGGGCAGCGGATACTTGCTTGCATCGCCCATTGCATTGGCTTGTGCTTCTGAGGTTGGCGCTGCCAATGGAATCAAGGTCGTTGTGCCCGAAGCGACAATGGGCATGAATTCGTAGTCCAGCAAGTTGAACTGCTCAGTCTTCTTGGTAGGATCGATCATACATGGTGCGTTGTTGGCAGTTGGTTGCGGAAAACCTGCACTGGCTGGAGGAGAGCCCATGATTGAAACAGTCGGCAGCTGGTATTGAGTTATGTGTAGGTCATCGAGAACTCCGCATCGTCAGTTGGAAAGATGCCATCGCCACCGATATCTGTGACGTCCGGAGAATCTCCAGGTTCTGGTTCCTGTGTCGGTTGCACCTCGACAACAGGGTTACTGATAGAAGTGGTCGTGGTGGTCGTGGTAGTACTCGGTGTCGTGACTCCTGGCGTGTTTGCCGATATCGTGTAGCCAACATCCCAGACTTTGTAATTGCTGGTCGCGTTGTATCTGAAGTTCACGCCGCCAGCATTATTGAATAGCCAGCAGAACGTGTTACTGACAGCAAAGCTCCGGCAAGCTCGGAATCTCTTGCAGTAATCCATGCAACCAGTGGGAGATCTTTGCGCCCGCAGCACTGAGACTGTGAATGGAACCTGAGATTTGGTGCCTGTGATTCCACATATCGGCGTGGTCTGCCGAGCGAGGACAGCATCATCACCCAACGCAGAGCTCGCGAGCGCCGCCAACAGCGAAATCTGGGAGACCTTCATGGTAGTAGCTGATCAGTGCCGGTCTCAATACTGTGATACAATACTTGGACCTTGTGATTACAGGGACATACTTATAAATCGCCACGGGACCGAGATATGCGGATTATACAAAATCTAGGCATGTCTCGTAGCCAGAACTTACAGTCTCGTCTGTATGAACGCCACAGTCCGTGTCGAGAGGTCGCCTGCAAGCAGCATGACTGGCAGATACTGGTGCGTCGAAACATGGTGGCTGCAGTCTTCAAGGGTGCTATGCCTCCGAAGGGTGAATGGACAACCACGAGAAGTGCTGTTGTGCTGGCTTGCCGAGTCGTGGCTGAAGGCAGAGACTGGTGACTGGATTCCGGGTTCAAAGTCAAATTGAGGATGTACTGGTACGAAGTGTTCAATGCATATCAGCTCATACTGCCCCCATGTCGTGTGGCAGTCGCCGCCGGGTCGAGGCAGTCGCGGTACGGCATCCGTATCTATGCCGCAGCGCTGTCTTCTAGTGTCAGAGTGTGTATGGAGTCAAGTCGCACATCGACGGCAAGAGTCGTCGCTTGTGAAGTCGTGGAGCAGGTGAAGAAGAGTGTCATGTGCTGGCCTTCCAGAAAAGCTTCCGGACCACAAAGCCAAAAAGCCACGAGGTGGCTTGCATGTCTTGGCACCCGTCTGCTTCGCTGTCCTCTCAACCTACACCCTCCTTCCGACTCTCGCTAATCTGGAGATCCAGCCGCTCGGCAACTTTGACCGAAACCTGAAAAGATCTAGGGCTGGACGGCGGATGAGGCTCTTGCGTAGCGAACAGCACATGTCCTGTGAGCTATTGCTGAGAATCCTTCATGAGCCCTTTACGCCTGATGCTGGAAGCGGAGTTCTTTCCGAGCAAGAACATCGCCAGCCCTTCGCGCCCGAAAGCTATACGGGCTTACTGACTCTGTGGGCGTGAAGAAAACGACGAATGGATCATAACAACGGGTACCAAAGGCAAAGCACTATCTCATGCCATGCTCATTGGCCTTGGCGCAAGGGCCGCACCCATTTGAGCTAACTGAGTAGCCTCCGTCGACACTGAGCCATCGTGCAACACCAAAGAACGATGAGTCAGGGAAGTACAAAAGGCCGAGCGAAGGGGGGTCAGGTTCATGTGGTAAATTTACACCGCACCGATCAATGTGAAAATCAGTCGACGCTCAGGCTTCTAGGCTTCCCCCAACATTGCCTACAGGTATCTCGACCCCCTATTAACATCGGCCTCCTCATTCTGAGGCACGTTCGGCTGCGCGTGCAACTCATGCCGACGTACAGGCGCATAGAAGTCAGAATGCTCGGACGCCCTTTCTCACCAAGTCAGTACGGTTCTCAATCGCATTTGTCAGGGTCAAAGAAAGACTTACAAATTGCTGTTCCGTGCATTCAATCCAGGAGGCGAATCTGCCACTGGCGTGGTAGAGACAGTATCCGGTGACTTGGATCTCGACTCCGCACCGTAAGGGGGAAGAAATCCTCCTGGCTTCATGCTCATTACACGAGATTCGTGTGCTGGGACATATGTGACGCCGTCGACCGTCATTTCGTGTGGTGCGTGGCTCTGCCTGTGAGCTGCGTTGTCGCCTTGTGTTCGGTGCATCGATTCTCGAAGGGCTTTCATTTGACCGCGGTTCCGACCAAAATAGAAGATGAGAGCACCGATGATCGCAACGATTGCTACACTAGCTATTGCGATACCGACTATCGCGCCGGTTGATAGAGCAGGCCGGGAGTCGTCGGGAGAAGCAGCAGCGCTGGTTGTGGCGGTAGGTGAAGCACTCGATGTAGCGGTTGGTTCGGGGTTGGATTCGGCGGGGATACTTGCTGCGACAGCTGACAATGATGCAGAAGCCGATGCTGGTAGAGTTGCGTCCGGGTACAGAACATACTGTGCCTCTTTGGCCATTTCGATTTGTGCGGTAAGGTTCGTCGCCCTCGTAGGATTAATGACACCGAGCTAAAGAACACGAATCCGTTAGTTAAACAAACTCTAGAACAGTGTCACGATCCAATTGCAGCTTGAACACAGGCATCGACAACGCAGGCCCGTAGTCTGACCATCTCTTCTCAAGTGATCTGACAATGTCAGTCCGCCGCGATCAACTTACCATGCCCCAAGTAACACAAGAACCAGGCGCCCCGCAATAATAGAACACGGGGTCCGTATTTTTGATAGTCAGGTTCCAGTACGTTGGAATCTCATCGGTCGCCTCTGCTTGCGGTGGTGAAGCGAATACAGTTCGTCCATCGACAGCTCCGCTTGCGACGCACGGCCACTCGTAAAGTGATTGTATCACAGAGTGATTGCCAGAGGAGAACTGAAACATGATCTTGTCGCCTGGACTGGCGACCACAAGGTTGGGCACAAATTCATGGCTGACTTTCCCGACTGTGACCAGGTGGACACCAATTTCGTCTTCCATGAAGATACGATCGCCTGTGCCGTTGTTGGGTCCTGTTGCTCCATTTTGCGCATTGACGAGGGCAGCGCTTGCTAGCAGCAGAGCGAGCATGCTGTGGGAAGCCATCGCGATTCTGCTGCGTGAAATTGTTGCCAACAACGAAGATGAACCAACGAGTGTGAGGTGAGAAACCCTGGGTCAGGCGTGGGAATAAAGGAACGAAGGCGTAAGCCTCGAACCAACCGCGGATCAAATCCGAACATTGCCACGTTCAGCAACACCATTCCGTCAAGCCTGACGAGGGGCGTGCATGGCCAATGGCTCGGACCAGATCGCTTTGAGGTAAATCCTTCGTCGCTTTGTTGTTGTTCAGCTTGCCAATGTAGGATCGTTGAATTAGTGGTTCAGCCTTGCTGCAGTTACATTGCATATCTGCGAGCTGATAGGCTGAGTTTCGATCTGCATACTCCAGATCATCATGTCAGATAAAACACTGTCACTGCAGCGGCTTTCTGTGCAATCGTCACAGCTTCCACAGCAATCAGATGAAGGCAACAGGGTATGCTTACTTCGGTGTGCTATTGAACGATCAACACCTGTGAGCAACTCATAGAGAATCCGGATTCGCAGTGCTCAGCCTTGCATACTTGCTGAGGATCTGCAACGAGGCGACTCAGCCTTGCGTGATCCTCCGCCCTTATTTCTGGCTACCATCGAGACCAAGCGACCTGTTTTGCCGCAGGCGCCAGCTAAGCATCTTTGACCAGCCTCGATTCTTGCTGCTGCGCTCTTTGAAGCTCATTGCGCACGGCAGTAGTGTCAATAACGAACGAAATTCTTGGAAAAGTTGTTGCTAGCAAGTCTTACGAAGGATCTGATGCAAGGTGTTCCTGCGACGACCGAGGCGGTGTATAGTGGCATCTTATTCGCTGCTCATTATTGAAAGGCTGACGATCAGGCTGAATTTCAGGTTGATGGCTGGGCTCATTGGTCGTGAGCAGCTCTTAAGTCGAGCTGTGTTGATCGTGGACATTGCGTTGGCAGACACTCTCGGAGAGAAGAAAGACCGTATAGAAATAAGCGATTGCTGTCTCTACGGCTCACGGGAAACATCCCTAGGCATAAACCGGTTTGTCAAAGATCTGAGAAGAATTAAGAGAACTCAACTGCTCCAGCCAATCTTGAACGATGCGTCTATCGATCTCCCTCCAGACACGTCTGGCCAAGACTTTCCATCCTTCGTGCACGGTCTTTCCTCGAGCATTCGGAGCTTCAATGGCTCCGGGGACCCAACGAATTGGGGGACGAACAAAGTTGTGACAATTTTCGTTGAGGCTAATGGGTCATTCAATGAATGTTTCCCGTTCAGTTGCCAACTATTTGGAAGCTCAATGGCTTAGATAACCGCCGGACTCCATGGGAGAGAGGCAAGATTCTACCTTGAAGCCCTAATTCCCAAAGTGCAACTAAGACTCTCCATGATTCGTTCTCCCGCTGTTATCGAGCATATGGAGACTGGATATTCCTGAGATTTGAAATAGATTGCGAGCAGGCACGAGTCTGATTGATACTGCTGAGAATAATCGGTGCTCTCCGCGATTCGTCCTCTGGCTTTTCCGGGGTAGAGTAGGATGGAACGGCTCAGGATACTGAATTGGATTGGAGAAACTGAAGATCTGCTGATGAGACCTACGACTAAGTCTTACTCGCTGTTGTTCTCTGCCACTTGTTTCCTGTCGCTTCTTGCCCCCTTTTCAGATTCAACGGCTCGATGAAGCCGAATGATTCCGGGACAGGCGAGATTTTGGCGAGAATTCTGGAGACTGATCGATGTTCTCTGCAGCTCATTCTCTGGCTCTTCTCCGCTAGATGGAGCTTAAGCCGCTCAGGGAACCGGCACACCTTGGAGATGATGGTGTTTCTGGCCGTTGATTTCACGCCGTAGTCATATCTTCTATCAGCTTCTGCTGCTTGTAAATCATCCTTGCCCAATCCATCCGAAGATTTAGTGGCTTAGCAAAGATGAATAGATCGGAGTCACTCAACATCAAATATTCCAATTTCTGTCTGAGTTTCAATTCTGGGTACTCTCTCGATCCTTGATCCCCTGTCCATTCTCACTATCCGCATATCAAATGGCTCAGGAGGGCTCCATGGTTTCGAAGCAACAAAGATCCCACTGTTGGGAAATACGCTCAAGTCACAATTCCTGTCACTTTCTCTCAGTTCATTCTTTGGCCGTTCTCACGTATCCGGACACCAAACGGCTCAGAAGCAAATCATAGCATAGAGGCAACCAAGTTTTGATTGTTCAAACTGCGACTAAGTCCCTCGTTGTGTTTGTTTCTGTCTTCGTTTTGCTGATCTATCCTGCAGTATCCGTACACTCGATGGCTTAGAAAGGTGTTGTAGCCTGGAGGCAAATGGAATATGACTCTGAAAATCACGACTCAGACTCCTGTCACCCTCCCAACGCTTCTCCCTCTCCTCAAGCTTGTATGTTTGTCCAGGACCTTCGATCTTGGTACGCTTCACTGCACCCTCGTCTGCTGGAACTGGAGCACTCTGAGCCGCATCACCGCCATCGGTTGACCGGGTGTCTGCTCGTCGATGCCCATCGCAGAGAGAACTGATCGCTCAGGAGAGTGTTATGGCTCGGAGAGAAGTGGGAATTTGTAAAGCTCTGACATTTCTTGTTCTGTTCGATCTTGCGTATCCGAACGTTGGATGTCCCAGAGAAGTGTTATAGTTCAGAGACAAACGGAATGCGCCTCTTCAGGTAACGACCAAGTCTCAGTTCCTGTTGGTTTGCTGGGCACCCTCTTTCTGAGAGTTTGTCAGTCAGTCTGCATCGCATCAGCTTCGTTGGATGGACTCACTGTCCGCTGACGAAGTCGTATTCGTCGGTTGGGGCTTCAGCCTCATCCTCCAGCTGCTCATAGATGCAGGGCTGGCCATCTTGCTCCAGGTCGCGAGGGTCGAGTGCGATGTACAACTCGAGCGGGGCGGTGGTGATCGGCGGGACTCCGTTAAGGCGCTCGATGGTTGGGTGGCGGAAGAGACTGTAGCCGAGAGGCATCGAGCAGTCTTCTGGCATGGAGAAATGGAGTGCCATTTGCGAGAAACAGTCAGCTACTGACGGCGCGGTTGGGAACGATTCCACGCCATGACTTGCGTTCTGGAAAGAAAGGCAGCGGTGCTTGTCTTGGCTGAGTGCGCTGATGAGGAGTGGCCTTGCGGATGATGTGGTGCTGCACCTGCTTAGTTCTATCCGTGTTACAAGTGGTGTGTCGTTGGATTCATTTGCTAGGCTTACAGTGCTTCGATGCCGATGGCGTGCTTATGCTACTCGCATGAAATGTCTAACGTAACATTAACACCGAAGGCTTAACGATCGAAGCCATAAAGGGAACTGCCCTGGCGACAGAGCGCGAACACCACGCGACATCGCGGATGATCTGCTTAAGGAACCTCTCCAGGGCCTTTCCGATCTCATCGTACCCCTCTAGCGAGAATGTTATATATTGATTGGTCGCCCGTTAGGTCTCTATAGCCAATCTACCCCCCGGCATGTGCTTGATACTACCAAGACGTGCAAGGCGACGGATGGCCGGCTTCGTAATACCCTGAAGGTTGTCCCGCTGAGAACGACAAATTTTCGTTTCACTCCGAGCTGCAACGCTGCCCTAAGCCATCAAATGTTCGGATGTGCAAGATCGGACGGTTGATAGATTCATGGAGAGTGACAGATTCTGGTTGCTCTCCAAACCGGAGAACTCTCCTGAGCCATCTGAAGTCCAGCTGCATTGAGAGGTTCGATACAAAGGAATGTCGGTAAGCGACACCACCCTGCACCACAACACCTCGTTCAGCCCTCGCCTCAGGAGGTAGTTAGGCAGGACATCGTAGTGTTGGGGGGATAACAGATGCCAGCAATAGGCTTTATAGCATGCACATGAATACAGTCCTGAGCACGATACATGCCATTAGAGAAGTCGACATCATCTCCAACGAGGTGCGTCATGCTTCTCTCTGTTCACTCTCTTGCATCGAGATATTACGGGGCTCAAGGGAGCGTCGTACGTTGGAATCGAACGAGAATCTGCCACTCTCTATCATCTTTCATCCCAGTCGTCCTACGTATCCCCACATCGAATGGCTCAGTAAAGCGAAATGGCTTCGAGACAATCGAGGATTAATTACTCCCTACTGTGATTTCCTTGCTACATTCCTGGGTAACCCGACATTGGAATGGCCCAGGTATGGTTCACGGTAGGTGATGATGAGGCGGGCGGCGAACTGATGGGACGTTGTGTCGAAGGCAATTCGGAGTTCGGAAGATTTGCTCCTGCAATGGCAAGGTCGGTAGGAGGATGGAGTGCTGGAGGAAGCAGCTTGTGCAATAGGTCATGTACGTAGTCGTGATTAGGTTGTTCGTCGCCTTCATGAAACACTTTCATGGTTGCACTGCCAGGTGTATAGGTGCAGAGCACCCAGGCAGATGGGTGAAGTGTGCCAGACGCATTGATCCGGACAAAGAAGGGGCACCGAGCGGTCGGAGAAAAGCCAGAATTTGGCGTTGTCAATCGTTTCTGACCGCTGTACTCTGTCGAATATTGACTGTTTCTTCTTGATGGTCTGCAGATTGAGTGGCTCAGGAACGTACAAGATCTCAGAAACAAAGGGAAATTGACACTCTCTTATACGTTACCTACATTGGAGTCTCGTGCGTCGGGACATCGAATGGCTCTGTAAAGTGTTGTGGCTCTGAGAAATATGAGAATTTTTGATTCCCGACTGGCCTAACGGATGCTCTCTGTTAAATGCATATCATCGCTTCTTGACCGTCAGCAAATGGGACGGCTCAGAGATGTGCAATGCAATGGAGAGGACCAGGAATCCGACCCTTTTGACCGTCCCCCCATTGATATATCTCTGTCTGTTCCTGGCGGCTTGCACAATGGATGGCTTCGAGATGTGGTATTTGCTGGAGAGAGAGGCGAGAATTGGACATTTCCGCTAATCATTATCTCTCTGTCCTTGATCATCTGCAGATGCAATGGCTCAGAGACGTGCAGGAAGTCAGAGAAAAGCGGAAAAATGACCGGTCTGGTCGTCGCTCCGTTGTCCTTTCTTTGTCTCTTCTTGGCGATCTGCATATGAAAGGGCTCAGACACGAGGAGACCATTGGAAAAAGGCGGAAGTACGACTTTTTGAACTTCTTCAGACCTTCATCTCTATTAATCAGTGTCCGTGAGTTCCTGACAGTCTACAGACCAGGTGGCCTGCAACAGCACGACTTTTCCAGAGAAGCACGAGATTCTGTACATTTTGGTCGACCCTAGCTGGTATCTCTCCCGTGTACTCCTTAGCTGTTCCCGACGGTCCACACATCGAATGGCTCAAAGCAGCATCTTCTTCTGCAGAGTAACGAGAATTTGTTACTTCCAATGGAGCATGACTGGCAATCTCTAGCAGTGATATCTGTCTGTTCTTGGCCGTCTGCATATCAAATGGCCCGCAGCAGCAAAGATTTCTAGAGACGCGCGAGGATCTGGCCAATTCGAACGTCCAAAGCTGGCTTCTCCGCCGTAAATCACTCGCCTGCTCCCGACAGTCTGCAGACTTGATAGCCCGAAGGAGTATGTTGTTCTGGAGAGCAACGTAAATGTAGTTTTTTTTACATGGCTACGACCGGCCATCTCTGCCAGTAAATATTCGTTTGTTATGGGTTATCTGTATATCAAACGGCTTACAGCAGCATGATATCTCAGAGAGTGACGAGAATTTGGTGCTTTAAATAGCTATAATCAGCCATTTCTGACAATAAGCACTCGCCTGTTCCTGTTCGTCTGTATATCGAACGGCTTACAGTGGCATGAAATGTCAGAGAGTAACGATAATTTAGCCCTTTTGATGGCCATCTCTGACATTAGATATGTCTTTGATCGTCGTCATTTGCATACGAAACAGCATGGAGCAGCGTGGAGTTTCGAAGAGTAACGAGAATTTGGTCCTTTTAATAGCTATAAGTGACTATGATAGGCCATCTCTGACAGTAAATATGTGACTAATCTTTATCATCTGCATACGAAACGGCCTACAGCAGCGTGCAGTTTCAGAGAGCAACGCGAATTTGGCATTTTCTATTGACCAAACAGGCAATCTCTGACAACAGGTGTTTGTCTGATCTTGATCGTCTGCATATTGAATGGCTCACAGTAGCATGCATTTCTAGAGAGTAACGAAACAAGCTAGAGGAGGACGCGATACTTAGCCGAATTCGATGCATTTGACGGTGTATTCTCTTTTCAATGTCTCGTCAGTCGCAGTCTCTCGTGCATGGCGAAAGCCTGTCGCCTGGAGGTTGCCACCCCTGGCTGCGTTCAATGCTGCATTTTTCCAGAAAATGACGGAAAAAGGTTGGAGGAGGACGCGATACTTAGCCAAATTCGGCTGATTTGACGGTGTGTTATTTTCTCAATGTCTCATTAATTGCAGTCTCTCGCGAAGGGCATGTGCCTATCGCCTGGGATTCGCGACCCCTGGTTGCATTGAACGCTGCTTTTCCTCAGAGAACGACGATAAAAGCTGGAGGAGGACGCGATACTTAGCCAAATTCGGCTCATTTGAAGGTAAATTCTCTTCTCAATCTCTCCCGACTCGCAGTCTCTCGCGAACCGCAACGGCCTTTCTCCTGAATTTTTCGATTCCTGGCAGCATTCGACGCTGCAGCTTGTCAGAGAACGACGAAAAAAGTTGGAGGAGGACGCGAGACTTAGCCAAATTCGACTGATCTGACCGTAGATTCTCTTCTCAATTTGGCTCGGCTCGCAGGCTCTCGCGAAGGGCAAAGCTCTGTCGCCTGGCCTTTTCAACCCCTAGCAGCATCCAATGCTGCATTTGCATCGAGTCACCGTCATTTTGGCTGATGGAAAGGGGAATTTTCGGGACGGGCACGTGATTGAATAGAGTTTCTGCCTCTAGAAATGCTTCTATAGACAGTTCTAGTCAGGCGGCAAGGCTAGGGGATACGCGTTAGGAAAGTTCTAGAAGCAACAGACTAGAACACAAAGGCACGTGGAAAGTGAGGTTTAGGACACCGAAGTCCATTTTCATATGCAAATGCTAGGAGCGCCGGTGCGTCCAATACCGCGTAAAGCTAGTCGTGCAAGAACTCCGTCCCTAGCCAAGCTCTAGGCGCTATGTCGCAGCCTTCTCATAACGCGTGGAAAGCTAGTCTGTTGCTAGCACTATCGCCTCAGTTCAGACATCAGTCTTGGCACCCTTCTTAGCAGCCTTCTTGCCCTTTGAAGCCTTCTTCTTCACAACCCTATCTTCCGTCGCTACATTCTTCTTCTTCTTCTTCTTCGAGGCAGGCTTCTTGGGGGCAGGCTTGCCTTCGCTGCGTGAAGACGGCTTGATGTCGCCTAGGTCCAAGTCGTCTCGCAACTTCTTGGTGGTCGGCAAGTAACTCCAATATCCAATATCCTTACTGCCCGCTACTCTCAGCCCGGAGGCGCTACTCAGAGGCACCAGATTGTCATATCCCACCTCCTTGTCATGTTCCAGATGATGGAAGCGACGAGCAAGGAAGCGTACGTGGTAGCGGTTGGAACGCTGACGGCCACGCGCCTCAATCTTGAAGATTTCGGCCGGGTAATAGTACTGATGGTCACCCTTGGCCAACACCAGCATTTCGGGCTTGAAGTTCGTGGGTCTTGGTGGCCTCAGGGCAAGCAGCTCGTCTCGACGTGGTCCCTAGTGATGGTCAGTTGTGTTGCTAAAGTGATGGCTCGAGAGGTACTGACTGTGAGGATGCTTGCTTCGGTTCTGGATTCGCCGACACGTTCGGCCTCATTTGGGTGCTCAAACAGAACGTACACGGTCCACCCCTCTTGCACCGCTTCCGATGGCTCGTTGTTCTTCAGCGACGAAGCGGTTACCTCGCGCAGTCGAAAGACGTCGGCATAGTACAAAGCCTCCATTTTGTTGTACCAGACAACCTCTCGAGTGGAGACGCCATCGAAGTCAGGGGTGACTACGCGCTCGTGGGAGTTGGGTGGAAGCTCGTCGGCTGCGGAGCTGTCGGCATGGTGGTCTTCGCCGCCAGTCACAGCGGTGGTGGTGGTTGTGGGTGGTTGCGAAGCTGCCATCTTGTTGGCGCCGCGCAGTGATGTCGTCAGGCGGATGGAGTGGTCAAGGAGATGGATGTACGTGCGTGGACGACAGATATTTATCAATGGCTCTGAAATTGGTGAGTGGTGGCTTCGCATGTTTAGTGGGGCCGCTCTTGGGCTCAGGTGTTTGTCGATGCATGTGATCAACAGTGAGCGGTGCGCTTCACTTCGCGGTCTTCACGAAGCGAGCTTCGCGCCGCCACCAAGACGCCGCGCCGTTCCAAATCACGAAGTGCGCAGTATGTACTGCTGAAAGATGGCTCGCAGCGTTGCGTTTTGGCCACTGCCTCTCGTGAAGCGCGAAAGTCTTGGCATATGCATGCGCAAGTGAAGGTGAATGTGCGTCAGCGCGTTTCAGAGCTCTCGCCCGTGACGCGCGCGAAAGCATGACTCAGCGGCCGCTTGTTTGCCATAAATCTCTGCCACTCTCTGCCATGTCACTCTCTTCTTTCCACCAACAAACAACCAACTCTCTCGCTGAATCTTGCCGGACCCCCTGCCCCCTTGACCTTTGGTGCCGGCGCACAAGTGGTGCCGGGCAGGAGAGTACGTCCAGCGGCCAATCTTCATTGTGGCCTCCACTGTCTGTCCTAATGCGAGCCCCGCGAACCGCTCCCACTGGTTTCTACCAGAGGCGAGCCCAGCTTCCTATCAGAGGTCAACGGCGTGCCACGAAGACGAAGTCCAATCCTTCCGAGTGGTGAGGCTCTTAAAAGTTCTGCAGGATGGTCCGCCTGCAGTCGAGTCCCCATGGGTCATCAGCAAATTCCAAGAGGGTAGCAGCCTGGCAACTGCTTGTTCGATCACTGAGGGCTTCTTGTCGGGTACTGGGGGCTTCTTGTCGGGTACTGGGGGCTTCTTGTCGGGTACTGAGGGCTTTTTGATTGGGCACTGGGGGCTTTCGATTGGGTACTGAGGGCTTTACAGCACACACGACCAGAACCTGAAAGGTCTGCAGTCAGTCGAGGATACGAGGGACCTTCAACGTGCTTCACGCGCGCTCTTCACATCTTCGGATGTTGACGAGAGAAGAGAACTCCACTGCCAGCGTGCCTGGAAGAGACGGGTGACCATCATTGCACTTCCGCACCTCTCTCGGCCGTTCGTATACGTTGGCAGCCAAGACCGACCGCCGCTCGAAGAAGGCCTTTGTTTCAACACAACCGCCTGAGAGATTGCGATTTTACAACTTCAATTCTCGATGTCTGCCAAGTCAAAGAGATGCGAAGACTCGCGAGCACCGGAAAGATTTCTGCCCATTCGGTTGGCCGACTGCTTGGGTCGTCGTTCGCTCTCGTCTTGTTCGTGATCAAACCCGGGTCACTCCAGTGGTTTGGCACAACAGTCGAGCAGCACCACTGACTGCACTCAGCCTTCATGGCAGAGGCAGCATCACTGACTACACTCAGCCTTCATGGCAGAGGTAGCTCAGGCACTCAATTTTTTGAACCAAACCATTTTTTTTATTACTTTTTCATCGTCATGATCGCAGGTGCGATCATACGGAGAAGAGGCGACAATCTTCGACAGAGCCTTGATCAAGAGTTCAGGTCTTCAAGAGCGACGAGCAACTATGTTTGCGGTTTGCGACTCGATGTTCATGTGCGACAGTGGCGAAAGCTGGTGGTGGGCGGAATCGCCATTTCCTGAGCACCCGACATTCGACATACGAGCTGGCAATCGCTGCCCGATGATGAAGGCTCTTTCTAGACGACCTCGACTCTTCCAGCAACTGGCGATAGAATCTCCTCTGCTGGTCGGCCGCGCACTGCGCGCAGTGACCACCACCGCTCCCACCGCTCCCACTCCTCCGGCCCTCCACACCGCAGTCCCTCACCAACAACCTCATCACACACAGCTCTTCTCCTCACTCCAAACCGCCCATCCCGAATCCATACCACAACGCTCCTGCCGCCGTCGCACAAAGGCTGTCTCGGGAGCAAGGCCCGCAACCGCAACCGCAAGCACACAGCGGAACGGGCGCATCGGACCAGAGAGAACATCCACTGGCTCCCGTCACAACACCATCCAGCCAGACAGCAGATCCATCTCGAACGTCACGTTCTCCGATTCATTGTTCGCAACAAAGCACAGCAACAAAGAGAAACACAACGAGGTTGTTGGGACATGCTGTCGGAGATGAAAGGTCAGAGGAGGCGCCGATGGGCCGAGCGAAAGGGAAAGACCGCTTCTCGGCGCGATTTTGACACACGGCTTGGCCGATTCTGCCGTTACAAGACATACGAGGCAGAGGAGGGTGGGAAAACGCGATGCCACGTTGGATGCACGAGAACAGAGATACTAGAGTTCAGAGGCATTTCTCTCGCTTTTCGGAGGCTGTAGAACATTGCAATGTGCCAACTTCCCAGCGCTGATGCTTGGAGCAAATTTCAACTCCTGTTGCCCATATCTGGACAACGTGCCCTTCAAATAAAAGCACGCGGCTGAGGAGTGCTCTTTCCCAATTCCACAATATGAGCTCTGGGCGTCCTATCCATATGTGACATGCCCCGAGCTGCACTACATGCCCGGTGGAGGAGGGACCTGATGCAAGTCAGCCATGTTCGTGTAAGCCTCGTCGTTCGTACTTACAGCACTGTAGGGGTTGTATGCGCCTGGAGGTCCTGATGCAGCCTGCTGACCATCCTGAGGTGGCGGAGGAGGCACTCCATTGCTGTAGTCGACAGGTGTCTGAGACGGCTGACCATATCCTACGGAGTGTCAGCATTTTGTGGGTGTGTTGCAACGAAAGGGACGGACTAACCTTGGTACTGTGCAGCAGCGGCCGCGGCACCTGGTTGCATGTACTGAGCCATGACTGCTGCATAACCACCGTAAGCAGCGTAAGGGTCAGCTTGCGGATTTGCAGCATAGTATGCAGCCCAGGCCTCGTACTGCTTCTGCTGCTCAGCCGGATCTGTTGGCGCTGCTGCTGCGGCACCCTGCTGTGCTGCTGTTGGGGATTGTGCGCTACCATAGCCTTGTGCAGCTGCTTGAGCATACTGGTCGTATGGGTTCGCCTGCGCATAAGGATCTGGCTGGCCGGTGGCACCGTATGCGCCCCCATAGGCGCTGCCTCCGCCATTTCCGTAAGCGCTGCCACCTCCGTACGAACCCGAGTTCTGGCGGTCGCCACCACGGCCATGGTATCCGCCACGATCGTCTCCGCCGTATCCACCACGTCCGCCTCCAGGACCTCGCGCAGGACGCTCCTTGAATTCTTGGTATTGCTGGCGCACGGAATCGAGCAGTGACTTACACATCTCCTCGGCTGAATCAACCATGGCCTGCTCTGGACCTGCGACGTGCAAGTACATCTGTTCATCACTCTCGCGGCCCGTATCGTGTTCCATGAAACCACTTCCACGACCTTTGATCTGCACACGGCATCTCGTCTCTTGCTGAATATGCTTCACATAACTGCCTCCGGAGCCTACCACTTGCGCGCGCAAGTTGAATCCTGGAATCGGTTCGAGGTCGATGGGAATTTGCTTCTCGGGCCATTTGCGGCGACCTAGGTGGTCACGATCGGGCTGTTCTCGAGGCTCCTCGCGGCGACGGAAGCGACGTTCGTCGATCAGGTTCGGCAGCTCCTGCTGCATGAGCTCTTCGATCTTCTTCACAGCTTGCTCCAAGCCATCCTTGGTCGTGCTCGTAACGTGCAGGTAAAGTGGTGGGTTCTGGTCCCATGTTAGTACCGCCCAACAAGCAGAGCCACTTGCGCTCAATCGCCAAAACTCACCGCTGCCGTAGCCATGCTCTTATCGGGATAGTAATTTCCACGAGTAGTGACATCTTTATGCGATCAGTCTGGGTACCTGTAAAGTCAAAAAAGCGTTTCGTGCGTGTGGGAGCGTACCGGCGCCAGTTTCCTCTTTAATCTAGATGTCACATTGAGGTCAGCAGATGCAAATGGGGGTGGCCGTCGGTGGCTGTGTTGCGCTAAGAGTAAGTCAAAGTGCTTCTCCTCTAACATTTGTTTGTTACAAACCCAATGCTGTTGGTCTTGAGGTGAAGGAGGGGAAAGCAGGCTGTGCCTAGGAGTATCAGTGGAATCAAGTGAGTATTTACCATCTTCTGGGTGCTGCCTTTAGTCAACGTGTAGCGATTGCGCAGATCATTGACCTCGATATCCTTGATAAAGTCACCATCTTGCTGGTAAATGTCGTTGCTCAGAGAAGAGCCTGCTGCGGGGGCTGATGGCGACTTGGAAGCACCGGCTTCGGCTGTAGATGGCTGCGATGCGTCAGTGTGTACTTTTATATCCAATGCCCTGCCTGCTGTCAATCTGCCCAAATCGATCAGACGTGGAAAAGAGAGGGTCCAAGTGAGACGCTACAAGCTGGTCGCGCAAGAGGACGTCCTGGGCCATGCTGCATGACTACTACATGGCGCAGATGGATTCCGGAAGCCGTAATATGCGAGCACGTCTCCTCAACTGGCGTATGAACACTGCCATCATCGTCCTTACCTTGCGGATCGGCGGCACTTCGACCTGCTGAATGCCTTTGCTCTTTTGCAACGAGGCACTAATGCGGGCAGCTGCGGCTGCAGCAATAGCGGCCGGATCTTTGGCCTCGTCCTTCTTTTCGCCGGCAGCTGGCGACTCCACGCTCTTCACGGGACTGCGCTCGCGTGCGGAGGCCTCTGGATCCTTAGTCGAGGGGCTGCGCGAGCGGCGGTCAAAACGCGATTTGCGCGGCGGCTCTTCGCTGGGCGCCTGGTCGAAGCGGGATCGCTTGCGAGGTTCCTCCGACATGTTGGAGGTGTTGTCGCCAATCTGAGCAGTTGTCGACAAGTGGATGCTGTCAAGAGGAGGCGGAGCGGCGCATGGCAGGGCGGTGGAGAGATGAAACGGCAGAAAGTAGAGTGATGCTCGAGCTTTCCTCGAGATTTCGGATCGTGCAGCCGGAATTCGGGCCACCTTCCCTGTCAGCCGGGCTGTGACTCTGCAAGCTTGCAGCTCTCCGCACGCCGAAAGTCTGGCGTGAAAGAGCGTCTGGCGAGTTGTAGTAGCACAGCCAGTCAGCCATTGACACATCACCACGCCTCACAGCCCTCACAATGGCCTCAAAACGTGCTGTCCAGCTGCTCACACGCCAGTTGCAGTCTGGCCCTGCCCGTCAGATCGCCGCATCGCAAGTCCGCCATCAGTCCTCATCGACGTCCGCTATCGCATACAAAGCCCTCCATCGCCGCATCGCTCCGCTCCCCACTGCTGGCCAGCCGGGCTCCTCCAGCATTTCGCCTGCCGCCGCTGTCTCGTCCATCCTCTACGAGACTCCCCTCCCCGACAAGGCACCTCCCAAGAGACACGTCCTCAACTGCCTCGTTCAAAATGAGCCCGGTGTGCTCTCCCGTGTCTCGGGAATTCTTGCAGCACGTGGTTTCAACATCGACTCCCTTGTCGTATGCAGCACGGAAGTCGCAGATCTGTCGCGTATGACAATTGTGCTGCAAGGTCAGGATGGCGTTGTCGAGCAGGCCAGGAGGCAGCTAGAGGATCTGGTCCCGGTGTGGGCTGTGCTGGATTACACTCAAGCACCACTTGTGCAGAGAGAATTGCTGCTGGCCAAGATTAGCATCCTTGGACCAGAGTACTTTGAGGAGCTCCTGGCTCACCACAGGGAAATGACGGGCGATGCGACATACGGAAGCGTGGACTCCGCGGCTATTGGTGGTGGAGACCTTGGCAATATCGATGGCCAGCCAGAGGCTACCGCAACTTCAGCATCTTTCGAGGAAGGCGTGGATGTTGCATCAGTGAGTCTGCCCGATCCAGAGATACCCATTTCGCACGAAGGAGCCGTGTAGCACAAGAGGAAAGGCATCTATATCCCACGACAAGAACTAACTGAAATGCCAGGACATTGACTTCCATCCACGAAACCTGGCCCCATCCGAGGCCCTCCGAATGAAGCACCAGCATCTCGAGACCATCACCTATCTGACTCACCAATTCGGCGGAAAAGTGCTCGATATCTCCACAAACAACTGCATTATTGAGCTCAGTGCCAAGCCGAATAGGATCGACTCGTATATGAAACTCATCTCGCCGTTTGGCATCCTCGAATCGGCACGAACAGGTCAGTAAAATCGTCGTCAATGGAGCCTTGTTCCATGCAGGAAGCTGACTGCCTGCAGGTCTCATGGCATTGCCTCGATCTCCGCTTGAAGGCGGCGAGAGCGAACAGACGAAGGAAGTAGAAGAAGTCATGGATGCTGCCGCACTTCCTCCTTCATAGGCGAAGTTGGACACTGCGACATTGGCTTCTTTTTTGGAATCTTTCCACATCTCCGTCATATTCTGGTCATGGGAACGGACGGAAGACAGGCTCATGCATTGGTTAGCAGCGGTGTTTGGGTGTACAATACTGAATGTTCAGGGTTTGTCCCACAGAGGCCTCAACAAGCTGGAACTGCTGTACATGGACGTAATGGATTCACTTCGATTCGGCAGAGCTACATTGAATCCCACTCAAGCCTACCAGGCTGGCCCGGCAGCACACTCGGCAGCACGCAGTATGACGTGCAACAGATCGTACTGCTCGGATACATGCGCGTGGCTCTGCATAGGCGTTTCTGGCCTCCCCAGACAAGAACCGCTCAAGGATCTTATCTCGGTGCCTGAAGTCTGCCGACGGAGAACCCCGCGTAAAATGAATCTCAAAGCCATACCCATACCGTTGTGTGGTGAGAGATGCAGGTACCTGAGTCTTCACTTTCTTTCCGTCTAGCCTCGGCACAACCACGTTTCTCTCTCTGACGTTGTTTGGTTGGTTGAAACATCCTCCATTCGTCCCTTCGCTCCTTCTAGCGCCGATCTTTACCCCAACTCGGCTCAGTGTGGCGTCCTGTCGACTCTATTTGCACCTCATGGCACCGCCCACTGGCTAGCCCTACGGCGGAAGTGTCCGCAAGAATCTGGATGCCTTCGGACGTCCCTCAAAATCACATGCACGCAGCGTGGTGTCGCAATTCCGAGAACGACTTGTGGCGATGATACTTAAGTGACTGACCTCGTTTGTTTTCCGTACCACTAACCTCTACCGACATCACATACAGTCGCAGTCAAGATGGTCGTCGAACGAAACCCCAAGGACTCCATGAAGTCCACATGGCGCTCCGATCCAGAAAAGAAAGGCTGGTCCTTCCACCACTACCTCTACAACTGGCTGTCTATGAACCCCAGCGATCTGGATCGTGCAACGCCTGTACACCAGAAATCTGACAAGATGCCATACATTCCCGAATTTGAAGCCCACAAATGGGTCCTCCCACACGCTCTATGGCCCTTAGCCCTCCACCAACTCTACACCTGGTACTTCAGCAAACCACTCCACTGGATACCAGCCTTCATCTTCTACTCCATCGCCTACAAAATCAACGCCATCCACGAAATCAACATGATGCGCAACCTCGGCCACACCTACGGCTTCCTCGACGGCGACAAACACGCCCGCGACGAAGTCCCCGACCACGGCGTTAAAAAGGTCTTCCGCTCCCTCTCATCCACCTCAACGTTCCGTCCCTTCATGACGGTTTTCCTCGCCTACCGCACCGCTTCCAGTCCCTGGGACTCTCTTAGTTTCATCTACCTTCCACTGGAGCTGGGCCTCTACGGCATCGTCCTCGACTTCTTCTTCTACTGGTACCACCGCCTCATGCACGAATCCGATTTCCTCTGGAAATTCCACCGAACTCACCACTTAACCAAACACCCCAACCCGCTCCTCACTTTATACGCCGACACCGAACAAGAAATTTTCGATATCGCTATTATACCTTTCCTCACATACGTCACTCTCAAATACGTTTTTCGCTTTCCTATGGGGTTCAGTGATTGGTGGCTCTGTCATCAATACATTGTTTTCACGGAATTGTTTGGACATTCTGGACTCAGAGTTTGGACGAGTCCGCCGAGTACGAATGGGTGGTTGTTGAGTTATTTTGGGATGGAACTTTGTACTGAGGATCATGATTTGCATCATCGGCAGGGGTGGAAGAAGAGTCGGAATTATGGGAAGCAGACGAGGGTTTGGGATGTGGTTTTTGGGACTGCGGGGGATAGGATTGAGATGAAGGAGGGGGTTGTGGATTGGAATGAGAAGGTTAGGCTGCCGTGGTGGTAGATGGCTAGATAAGATAAGGAGGAGGAGAGGGAGAGAATGAAGTGGAGGATATACCCAAGATGTTTTGATTGTAGTGTTACTTTAGCGAGAATGAGAATATGTCTGATCCTGTCATCATAACGAGGTTGCTTTTGCAGATTCAGATTTTTATGTTCTCTACCGTGTTCATTCCATTCGCTACCGACCTTCCCGCTTAAGTATTTCTACCTCCGCGCAATCGATTTGCAGCTTTGAACTAAATTCGCCCTTAATGTTCCTCTTCGACACACACCCTTCCACTTCCTGAACTCGTGCGGTCCACCCTCGCTCTCGCCCAGTGTCACAAGCACTCGACTTCATGACTTGCACTCAACTCCCCACTCCACCCCTCTCTCCATGGCCCCTCGCCTGCCCACTCAACCTCAAATCCAATACCTTGCTTCTTCCCTCTCCTCTCTTTCCCAGCCCTTCTCCTTCTTTCCATCCATTCTTCTCCAGCATCTTCTTCCCAAACGGCATATGAATTGGGAGATCTTCTGTCCGAGGAAGCGTTTCCCATGTCAAAGGTTCCTCGTCTTCTTCCTTCTCTTCTGAGTCGAGTGCCTGTTGGTTCGCATGCTTTGAGCTGGATGATGTACTGGGTCTCGAATTTGTGGAAAGAGTAGATTTCGCTGGAGTTGACCAGCTCGTTTTCGAGCTTGATTTCGGCGGACGAGTGGGATCGGGTTCCCACGGCGCATCCAGCGGAAGTACTTGTCTGTCGAATGGTGAGACGCGAGCCCAGGTGTAGGTCGGGGACGGATCGGTAAATTGTTGCTGTTTCAATTCCTGCTCTTTGAGGAGAATGTAACGAGGTTGTTTTCTGGGCAACTGCTGGTCATCCTCATCGACTTGAGTTCCACTCTGCGATGATGCAGCGGATGTTTCATATTTGAAATGCTCATTTGATGGCGGGGCTCTGGCATCACGGCGCTGAAGCTGAGCACGGAAAAGGGCTAGTAGCTCTGCGTCGTCTCCAGAGCTTTGCTCCGTTGAGACAGTTGGACGTGGGTGCACTTGGTGCTCCGAAGGTAGTCGCGAGGACTGCGCAGAAGCACATTTGTCGTTGCTGCTTAGGCTGCCATGCTGTGGGGAGAAAGGTGTGGCTTCTGGCGAGAAGAGGAAAATGCTGTGCTGAGCCGGTGGTTGACTGGAAGCGGAGCTCGAGGCTGCTGACGCGGTGAAGATCCCGGTCGCGACTGCAGGTCTAGGGAGAGAATCATTGTCTGTCAGTGTTGGCTGCTGCGGCGGCCGCGCAGTCGTGCGAGCTGGCTTGCCACGTCCTTCGAAAAGGACCTCATTTTCTGGTGATGAGGATCGCGTGCGATAGTCGTCGGCGCTCCGTACAGAATCAGATTCGCTGGAGGACATCGCTCCCAGGTGCCGCAAGCGACAGTGGTACAGGCGCGTTCGTGCGAGGTACTTGTCAGGAGTCAGTGGTCAGCGGATGCGTGGCCGTGCCCAGGGAGAGCAAACGATCAAGAGTCTTGAAACGCGTCGCTCGCACTGGCCGTTTGCTGATACTGCATTAGCTTCTGCTTCCAGAATCGTCTGGGGCACGGCGGTAATTAAATAGTGTGAAGTCAGTTGTGTCGAAGTGTATAGGGACATTGAACTTTTACACACGCTAATACGCTACAAATTCTACGCGTGACGGTAACGATTCTGGTGATCATGGCAATTCGCCCTGTGACGACCTCCACGAGACCGGTCACGTTCAAAAATGCCCCAGGTGAGGAGCCGTCCAAGAACTTTCTCATCGATGCTTCGCGAAGCGACGCGACCTTTGGCCATCTGGATCAGCTTCCGCATTGACAGATCGCTGCCAATGCTTGAGGCTCCAGCCAGCATGCCAAAACGTCAAGACCACACCAGTTGGGCGCACAAGTTCAAACAGTGCACTGGTATTCCACGGTATTTGACCGTGTGAGATGGGATTATCGCCTTCAAGGTGAGGACTTGATGTTTCCTTTATGCACAACAAAAGCCTCCAGCGCAGAAGTTGCGGCCCAAAGCCTGTTTTCGGCCTCCTGAAAGACGAGTGAAGCGGGCGAGTAGAAGACCTCGTCCGCGACTTCTTCCTGATGTCGAGGAAGGCAGTGCATAAATCGCCAATCTTGCTTGGCCCCACCACGTACGGCAAGGTCTTTTGTAATCTGGAAGCCAGCAAAATCGGCAAGCCTCTTCTTCGTCTCAGCTTCCTGACCCATGCTGACCCAAGTATCTGTGACCAGCACATCAGCATTCTTGACGGCTTCCTCGGGAACATTGGTTTCCGTGAGCTTGAAGTTGGGGTTGGTGCTCTTGATGATGTCCCGCATGAAGGCTGGGATCTCATATCCTTTTGGTGTGGCCACGCTGACCTCTACGCCCAGCTTGGCGGCACCAATGGCAAGATCGAACAGCACGTTGTTCGCGTCACCAATCCATGCGAGCTTCATGCCTTCCAAGCCTAGGCTCTCCTGATTCCAGCTCTTGCTCTTGCTACCAAATGCCTCTACAAGGGTCTGGAAATCGGCGATGGTCTGAAGAGGGTGGTAGAGATCTGACAGAGCATTGATGACAGGCTTGCTGCTGTGCTTTGCGAGGTCTGCTACATCGGCGTGGGCGTTGACTCGTGCTACAATAGCAGAGACCATGCTGCTGATGACGAGAGACGTATCGTAGAGTGACTCATTCACACCCAGCTGAATGTCATTCGATCCGAGGAACATGGGATGTCCGCCGAGCATTTGTACAGCAGATTCGGTCGAAACACGGGTTCGGGTGGATCGCTTGGTGAACATGAGGGCTACCGTTTGGGCAACCAGCTTGTTCTGAAGGTGAGCAGGAATGCTCCCCGACTTGACTGCTGCCTTGTATTTGGCGGCATTTCGAACGAGCGTCGTCAATTCCTGCGGTGTCACATCGCTGATAGAGAGGAAGTGTCGAGGCGCGAATGGCGATTGTGAGGGCTGAGCGGGCGAGGAGTAGAAGCGCTTGGAGGCATTGGCCGCACTGCGCAGGGTGGAGGGTCGGCAGAGTCGTGTGGGAGCCATTGTGCTATGCTGTAGAAAATTAATTGGAGCTGCAGCGTCGAGCTCTAATGCAGCGCGGTACTTGAGCTGCACGCCGCGCTTGGCGCTTCTGACTCCCTCCGCCGATCGTCTCCCCGCCTTCACATGATTCGTCGTCGCCCAGCATGATCCAACCGCAGCCGCAGTCTAGCACTGAGCAGTCTAGTCGTTGATGCGAACCATCACCTGACCCGGTCACACATCTCCTACACTTCCATTGCCCATACCCATCCTCGTACTTTCTTTGTTCCTTCCTGTCGCCGGCAGCCTCGCCTCCATCGCATGAAGGCCACCTCGACAAGCGTCGCACGCTGGTGACGTAGCGATCAGCCCGACCACGATACGAGCACGTTTACCACCATGGCCGATTCGCGTCGCGAGGACGACGATGTCCGGCAGCAGGAGAGCGACTTTGGAGCGTCAGAGAATACACCACTGCTGGCCGGGGGTCAAACAGAAAGCACCGAACAGAGCCGACCGCAAAACGACTCCTCAGCCTCATCGCTACTACGAGGCATTCAAGGCAGCAAAGGTGGCCGCAAGAAGAAGCTACGATGGCCGAGCCTGATCGCCTTGCTGATACTATGCATTGTCGCTGCATTGATCATCATCTTCGCCTTCGTGGCACCGACAGCAGTTCAGCAATATGCTGCCGAGGCTATCGTATTCGAGCCCACGAGCCTATCCATCGACTCCTTCACCGCGACAGGAGTGCGTGCAAGAGTGCAGGGAAACTTCAAGCTTGATTCGACAAGAGTCAAGCAAGCCTCAGTGCGAAGGCTCGGGAAGCTATGCACATACATCGCCGAGGAGGTTGAGACAGGAGAGGGCAACATGGCCGTATCGCTACCAGAGTATGGAAACGTGCTGCTGGGCATTGCGCATCTGCCTCCAATCAAAGCATATATTCGTGACCAGCACATCACCGGTATCGATTTCTTGACTGATCTCGAGCCGGGTGATGTCGACGGAATCAGAGCCATTGCCAACGACTGGATCGATGGCCGGTTAGGATCATTACGCGTCGTGGGCAGAGCTCAGGTCCCGTTGAAGAGCGGGCTGATCAGCCTTGGCCAGCAACTCGTCCAACAAGAGATGACTTTCAGTGGCGACGAGATCCCTTCAATACCCGCATACGATATTAAGAAGCTGAACTTCCGGGAAGTTGATATTCCCACTGGCAAGGGTATGGCCGCGGATGTATCAATCAAGGTGCAGAACGACTTCCCTATCGACTTCACTGTACCGCCGCTGGGTTTCGGTATTCTCGTAGACAACTGCGAAAAGAGTGATCCATACATCATGCTCGCAGATGCCATTACCGAGCAGATCCACATTCAGCCGAAGAAGAATGTCGTGGCCAACGCAACTGGAACCGTACGTGAGCTGCCTTCTGTCTTGACACAAGATTGCCCAGGGACGTCCATGTCTCCGCTCGATATGTTCCTTGGGCGTTATATCCACGGCAAAACTGCCACTGTCTATGTGCGCGGCTCAGATTCACCTTCGCTCGATACGCCGGGCTGGATCACAGATCTGATGCGAGACATCACAGTGCCTGTGCCTGTGCCAGGCCGCACTTTTGGTCATTTGATCAAGAACTTTTCCTTGACAGACACACATTTCAGCTTGCCTGACCCGTGGGCGGAGCCGGGCACTCCAGCAAGCAACCCTCGCATCAGCGCCAACGTCCTCGCAACCATCTCTCTTCCAGAAGAGATGAACTTCAGCATAGACGTGAACAAGGTCCGCGCCGACGCAGATGTGTTCTACAAAAAGAAGAAACTCGGCCGCCTCGACCTCAGCAAATGGCAAGACGCCAACAGCACTCGTATTGATGCCCGCGACGACGAAGGCCCGACTCTTCTGGTACAGAGTGCTGTGAAAGATGCTCCGCTTGAGATTCAAGACGAGGACGTCTTCACAGATGTGATCCAAGCTCTCATGTTTGGCACAAAGACAGTGGTCATGACCATCAAAGCCGAAGTTGATGTCGGCGTTGACACGGCGTTGGGAGATTTTGCAATTCGGAAGATACCCGCGGAAGGCTCAGTTCCCATCAAGCGTAGGTCTTAACCTCGCCATATATTGCACATTGTGTACAGCATCATGATGCTACGACTGTACGTTTTTAGAAGAGTAGATAGGCTAAGTATGCTATAGCTGTCTCGCGACCACAACCTCCTCCCGATGGCCATAACCCTCCCAAGCATGGCGGGCAAGATCTCATTGGAGGTCTCGACCCCAAAATTACTGATCTCAACATCGTCAATACGACAAAAACGTCGTTGACTATCGTTGCTGGTGCCAACGTCACTAACCCTACCAACTATACCGCAAGCATTCCGTATATCGACATTCACATCATCAAAAATGGCTCACTGCTAGGACACGCCACAGCGCGGAACCTATCAATCACGACCGGTCTCAACGCAGGCCTCTCAGTCGAAGCTGTGTACGCCCCACTCGACATCAGCGGCCCCGAAGCAAGAGCCGTAGGCCGCGAACTTATATCTCAATATATCTCTGGCTGGAATACTACGATCACATTACAAATGCACGAGAAGTCCATCCCCGCCAACCCCAAATTGAGCCGAGCTCTGTCGCGTTTTCCAATCGAAGTGCAAGCTCCCAAACTCGGCGATGTTGCACCTCCAGACGACGGCGATGATGACGGAGACAATGATCCTGAAGAACCTCCCGACGACCCATGGAACCCTGACGGCGACGACGAAGACAACGGCGACAGCAAGAAACGCAAATCCCCCTCTGGTCCCCATTTCATCCGCGACGCCACAATGCATCTCCTCTCCTCTTCCGCTACGTTCCTCCTCTTGTCACCTCTCCAACATTCTACTCTCGTCATCACGGATCTCAACGCTACAGCATTTTATAACGACGACCCGGCGTCGAATCCGGATTCTTTTGGTGATCCAGTGGGGAATATTTTGTATGATATTCCGATTGCTATTCCGCCCATTAAGGAGACGCCTGACGGGAAGGGGTATTTGACGCCGAAGTTGCCGGTTGAGTGGCGGTTGGGAAGTGTGGGGTATGGGGCCGTGAGGAAGGCGCTTGGTGGAGAGTTGAAGTTGGCGGCGAGAGCGGATGTGGGGGTTAGATTGGGACGCTGGAGGGAGGAGATGTGGTATATGGGACAAGGGCTGGGAGTGAAGATTAGGTTGTGATGTGGGAGTGAAGCGGGAGGAGGACAGAACCGTATGAAAATGCGAAGACGGGAATGGCAAAAAGGTCGATAAACTGTACGAGAATGGTTTGGATATTTTGTATGGCGTAGCGGCGCACAACTGTGTGTGAGAGGAGTTCGAGGACATGATAGATACTGTGTGCTAGGCATATACAAAAGCCTGTGAGAATATAATGAGATGATCAATGAGCAACAGACCATGGCATCACGCTTCATCTAAAATACTCCAGCCTGAGCTGCTGTTCTGCTAATCCGACGCAGGATCAGCGGAATCGTACATCTTGCATGTCTCGCGTAAGACCAGACATTGACACGACACGACAGCTTCATTTACTCATGGAAATGTATCTCAGCAATTAGACGCAAAATCCTCAGAGCCGATGCTCAGATTCTGCAACACGAGTGAGATGGTCTTGGCAGACCTTTGGGGTTGCTTTAGGCTACGAAATTTGAACTCGTGACTGTGGTGAATGCGATGTCGCCGAGCCTTCGAATGAGCCAGATATGTCCCTCTGCGAGAAGGGATTGATACAGTCCTGAGCAGGTATTGCTGAGGGACGTGGGGAGTTGCTAGGCCAAAGAGGCCGTTGATCGGGTCCAGCACGATGAGTGTTGCTGGAAGCAGGTCGTCGAAGCATATGCGGGCGTGCAGAGCTCCATCACGGCAATCGTACCATTTTGCACGACAGCACATTCTGAGCCGACATTGCGTACTGTTGTTGCGCGTAAAGACGATGTCGGAGATGAGAAGAAGCGCGTATGAGATGAGAATTTCATCACGATCTTTTCGCGCCAAGCCTCGCTTACAAAGCGCGCTAGCGGAGGCAGGCGTCGCGTACTGCACGCGTTCAACGCGCTCCATGTTTGTGGCAGGCGCGACGGACCTCCGCTATATCTTCTCCCACTTTGTCGTCTCGTTCTTCTTGCACGAACACCATCCTCCCACCCCTCTTTCACCCTCTCTTCAAGCATCAGATACCTGCTTGAGAGGCTCAAAACTTCCTCGCCAACCACACTACGCTTCTTGGTTGGACGCTTCTTTCGGAATATCCCCATTACACTCGAGGCCAGACCTCGTTGCCGTTGACGACCATGTTCGTCTACAAGCGCGGTATGTATACCATATTCCCACCTGCATGAAGCAGGGGCTTGGAGGGCAGACAGCAGGCCGCTTCGCCACGACCCAGGAACAAAGCCTACCATTAGGCTCGAGGAACACCTAGCTGACGCGGTTTTCAGATGGCCGCAAAGAGCGTGTTCAGTTCGACAAGATCACAGCTCGTGTGTCGAGGCTCTGTTACGGCCTCGACCCTGAGCATGTCGACTCCACAGCCATCACCATGAAGGTGATCAATGGCGTATATCAGGGTGTCACCACTATTCAGCTTGACGACTTGGTACGTGACGCGATTCCACCCCACCACTGTGCATGGCTAATGAAGACTTTCAGGCGGCCGAGACAGCGGCATACATGACCACCACACACCCAGACTACGCCATCCTCGCCGCACGTATCGCCGTTTCCAACCTTCACAAGCAGACGAAAAAGCAGTTCTCTGCCGTGGTCTCGGACTTGTATCACTATGTCAACCCAAAGAACAAAAAGGCATCGCCTATGATCTCAGACTACACATACAAGGTCGTGATGGAACACGCAGACGAGCTGAACTCTGCCATTGTCTACGACAGAGATTTCAACTACCAATACTTTGGCTTCAAGACGCTGGAACGCTCATACTTGCTCCGCATTGACGGCAAAGTTGCTGAGAGACCACAGCACATGATCATGCGTGTGGCTGTCGGAATCCACGGCGATGACATCGAGGCCGCCATTGAGACCTACAACTACATGTCCAACAAATACTTCACACACGCTTCGCCTACACTGTTCAGCGCTGGTACGCCGAATGCACAGTTGGCTTCATGCTTCTTGATCGACATGAAGGATGACAGCATTGAGGGCATCTACGACACACTCAAGACTTGCGCCATGATCTCGAAGAATGCTGGTGGCATTGGCCTGAACTGCCACAAGATCCGTGCTACTGGATCATACATTGCAGGCACAAACGGCACATCCAATGGTCTCATCCCGATGTTGCGTGTCTACAATAACACTGCCCGCTATGTCGACCAAGGTGGCAACAAGCGTCCTGGTGCATTCGCTATCTACCTCGAGCCATGGCACGCAGATGTCATTTCCTTCATGGATCTCCGCAAGAACCACGGAAAGGAAGAAGTGCGTGCACGTGATCTGTTCTTCGCTCTTTGGATCCCAGATCTGTTCATGAAGCGTGTCGAAGCCAACGCAGAATGGACACTCATGTGCCCCAACGAGTGCCCTGGTCTCGCTGATGTGTACGGTGACGAGTTCGAGGAGCTGTACACCCGCTACGAGAGAGAAGGTCGTGGACGTGAGACTGTTCGCGCTCAGAAGGTCTGGTATGCTATCTTGGAAGCCCAGACTGAGACTGGTGGACCTTTCATGCTCTACAAGGATGCTGCCAACCGCAAGAGCAACCAGAAGAACCTCGGAACGATCAAGAGTTCCAACTTGTGCACTGAGATCATCGAGTACACCGCACCAGACGAGGTCGCCGTGTGCAACCTTGCATCTCTCGCTCTGCCAACCTACGTCGATCTTGAGAACGAGCGTTTCGACTTCGAGAAGCTCCACGAGGTTGTGCAAGTCGTCACCAAGAACTTGAACAAGATCATTGAAGTCAACCACTACCCAGTGCCTGAGGCGAAGAAGAGCAACATGCGCCACAGACCAATCGGTCTCGGTGTCAGCGGTCTTGCTGATGCTTTCCTCGCTCTACGCATGCCTTTTGAGTCTCCAGAGGCCCGTCACCTGAACGTCCAGATCTTCGAGACCATCTACCACGCTGCGCTCACCGCATCGTGCGACCTTGCCAGCAAGCTTGGTCCATACGAGACATACGAGGGCTCCCCGGTTTCGAAGGGCGAACTTCAGTACGAGATGTGGGGCGTCACACCTTCAGACCTCTGGGACTGGGACGCGCTCAAGGCCAAGATCGCTCAGCACGGTGTCCGCAACTCCCTCCTTGTCGCACCAATGCCTACTGCCTCCACATCGCAGATCATGGGCTTCAACGAGTGCTTCGAGCCATACACCAGCAACATCTACTCTCGCCGTGTCCTTGCTGGAGAGTTCCAAGTCGTCAACCCATGGCTGCTGAAGGACCTTGTCGACCGTGGATTGTGGTCTGAGAACATGAAGAACCGCATCATCGCCGATGGTGGTTCCGTGCAACGCATTCCAAACATTCCAGACGACCTCAAGGCTTTGTACAAGACTGTCTGGGAGATCAGTCAGCGCAACATTGTTCAGATGGCCGCCGACCGCGGTGCCTTCATCGATCAGTCTCAAAGCTTGAACATCCACTTGAAGGAGCCTACCATGGGCAAGATTACCAGCATGCACTTCACTGGCTGGAAGCTTGGTCTCAAGACCGGCATGTACTATCTCCGTACACAAGCCGCGTCTGCTCCGATTCAATTCACTGTCGACCAAGAGATGCTCAAGGTCGCAGACACGAACATCTCCCGCACTGGTGGTGCCAAGAAGCGTATCGGAACTGGTGCGTATAATGCAGTCAGTTCGCCGAAGCCTGCGGTGCCAAAGCCAATGTACGAGAACAAGGAGCCACAAAAGTCGCCTATCGCACCTGAAGACGTTGTCACCCCTGCTGCGACACCTCCACCAGAGAGCGAGCGACCTCAGCCAAAGAAGCGAACTTTCGGTCGCACATCTTCTGCTGTTGTTAACCCACCTTTCCCTGCTGACCTCGACGATGGAGACAGCCCAGAGACACTCGCCACCGATGGTCTCGATGCTGTTCCCAAGCAAGAGCAGCTTCCCGAGCCAGCAGTCAAGACTGATGGTCAAGAAGAGGAGAAGAAGGATCCTCGTGAGGGCGACATCTACGCCGAGGCCGTGCTGGCTTGCAGCATAGAAAACCCAGAAGCATGCCTCATGTGCAGTGGTTAGACGGGGACGATTGTGGATGTTACGACTCTTGTTGCATTGTTTGTTCATGGGATGGCGCATGATGGAATGACTGATGGACTCTGAATATGGATTGTTTGGGTGTTGTTTGTGATCGCTGCCGCTAATCGTTGGCATGCTGTGCTGCTACTGTATCAGGATATACAATAAATTATGTTTACTGCAAAACCATCTGCCAACTTCTCGAAGCTCTCGTTTGCTGATCTTCGATCTTTGCGGTTGCGCAGTCGAGGGAGACACAGAACTTGCTTAAAGCACCTTCTCTTAGCAAGAAAGACTTTTCGACGCGTCCGCCTTCTGTTCCTTTCCCACCTCATGCGCGATACCCTTCGATGAAGCACCGCCCTCCATTCTATCCATCTTCGTTCCATCTGCCCCCTCCTGCTTCCGCCCTTCCATCTCCATCTCCCTCTTCAAATACTCCTGAATCGCCACGATATCCTCCTTCGACCTCTCCTGCGCATCATTCTCACACATCCTCACCAAAACATCCCCCACTTCCCTCTCCACCTTCGCCACCACAAAACTCGTCCCTTGACTGACAGCTGGAAGGGTCTTCATAATCTCGAGGAATCCTAGAACTTGGGATAAACAGATTTGGCTTTCGAGACGTTTCTGGCGATCGCTGAGGGCGCGGAGCTTTTCGCCTTCGTGCAGAGGGAATGTGTTCAAGAGGTGGAGGGCTTGATGCGTATTGGGGTGGTAGAGGGTTTGGAGGGGTGTGAGGATTTGGGCACCGAAAGTGTCGGGGTTTAGGAGGAGGCGGGCGTGGATTGAGCGGACGAGTTTGGTTGTTGTGAGGTTTGTGAGGAGGGTGTGGAGGGGGTTGATGGGAGAGGAGTTGCTGCTGATGGGAAGCGGTGGGAGGGGAATCGTGGGTGGAGGGTATGGAGCTGAGACGGAGCCAAACGGGTTTTGTGGCAAGTAAGGGAGGATCGTGGGGATGAAGGTCTTGTGCGATGGTTCTGGTCTTCGTTGTTGTTTTTGGGGACGTTCGATTGGCAGTGGAGAAGGTACTGCTTGGTAAGATGACTGCTCGTAGGTTTGGTGGTGCCGGAGAGGATGGTTCGTGAGGTCGAATGGCTTTGCTGTATCCTTGCTCCCTTGTGTTTCTGCCATTGATCTTCTTCTTCGTGGTTTGTGAGTTGGGGTATCCGCCTGCTGGACTGGAATGCTCTCGTTCAATCTCAAATCACTCAGACGGGGCTCTTCAGTCATGGACTTGCCGTCCTCGCTGTCGTCATCAGTGGGCGGTGTCAAGGTCTTTGGCCTTGACTTTAGGAAGGCTATGGCCCTTTCACTGAGTTGTTGGTTACCCATCGAATGCAACACTGATCGATTGTTGCACCTAAACTGAGACGTGCTGCTTTGGTGTCAGTCTGAGGAGCGTAAGACTGGTGTCTCAATCACTGTCATATGTAGCAATGCTTGTCACAAGGGACGCTCAACGGTCAAAGAAACATGTCATTCAAGTTAATGGCAACAACATTTGTGGATGTGAAATCAGCAAACAAGCCTTCGAACCTTCTCCAATGTTTGCAGTTTTCTGCCAATGTGAAGGCACCTGTGAGAATCACTCACTGCACGTTGCAGTCCTTCTTCTGGATTGCAGCCGAAGCTTGAGCTTGGGTAATGTCTGGTGTTCGACAAACATAAGGTTTCGTTCGACATTCATGAACCGAATGACCGCTAGTCCGTACGGTAGCCACGAGTCATCCAGACTTTGATGAATAAAAGCAAGAATCAGACCGACTGCCGTATGTTCCCTTTCAAATTCCGTGTTGCTAGACCAGCTAGCTAATCTCATGTACAAAAGCATTCGACAAGTCTCTCCTCCCACTTAGCATGAACCATCATCAGACACGCCGCTCTCATCAGTTCTTTGACTCAGCCCGGCCCACACGCCGTTGCTCTTTTCCCGTTGTGCTCTCGCGGCTTTCATGGCCTTGGTCTTTTTGATGTCGGCACGCTTGTCATCCATGCACTGTTGGGCCTCGGGAGTAGCGTACTGAGGTCGCCCATCTGGTCTAGAGCTCCATCGCAATTTCTGCCGGTTGAGCCACGATTTGGGATGATCGATCAGATGGCGGATCAACTTCAACTGCTTTCTCGTTCCTTTGTTGCTAGGATCGATCACTTCTTTTAATTCTGGCGAATCGTCGTACAGCGAGGAGCTGCTGGTGTTGTTGTTCGAGTTTCTCGAGTGCTGAGACATGTTTCGTTGGAGTTTTCACTGGCAGAAGTCTGACGTGAATGGATGTTTGTGTGGTTGTTGAAGTTTTAAGTCGCTCGATGTGTTCTCAGGGTTTTCTTGTGAGGCCTGCCTGCTGGAGAAAACATGAAGATGGAGAGCGGAAGGCTACTCATGTACCTCCAATTTGAGAACCGAATACTGGCTTCTTGTGCCACTGAGACAAGTTTGCATGGTCATCCGAGACCTGATTTCAGCCTACAGCTGCTGCGTTGGCCTGAGACAAGTTCTTGCAATGTGTCTCTCGAGCTGAATAAGTGGCTGGACCAGAATCGATCTTGCTAGAGCTTAGGACAGGATTCGGGATTAATCTGGCAACTGCTAGTCAATCATTTCTCACGTTCAACGCCTCGGTGGCGCTCGTTTCTTTATCCCCCTGTTCCGTAAGTTGATCTAATGCTGTCTTGCTGATAATTTAATATGACTTGAGCTATTTTTGTCTAAGACTGTCGTCTCTTGGATGTCGTCAGAGTTTGGATGAGACGAAGCTCGACTACGATACGTGCTTCGATTCTCGACCCATGCCTCACATATGGCCAACGACCAACCCGGAATCTGTAAATTGTCAGCAAATATCAGCGCTCGAATAGATTCTCAACAACTCACCAATATGTATAGCTTGGCCAGTCCAGCTCGTGTTCTTCGCAACATCAACAAAAGCCTGCGCACAATCGTCCAGCTTTGTCTCCTGCTTGAGCGCCGAAGCTTCTGTCAACGCCTTAATCCTCTCATCTCCATATTTGTTCCCCCAGTCCGTCAACAAAAGTCCAGGCAAAACAGCATTGATCCTGACTTTTCCACCGCTCTTCGGTCCTTGCGTGTTCGCCATACACTTCATCATGTGTATCTGCGCGGCCTTAGTGACACTGTACGGCATGCTGCTTCCGCTGAGAGATTTTCCGGCAACACTTGAAGTCATGATGAAAACTCCTCCATCTGGGTTCTTCTGAAAGATGGGCATTGCTTCTCTCAACAGAGCAAGATTGCCTTTGACGTTAGTGTTCCAGCATTTGTCCCATTCTTCGTAGGACATTGATTCCAAGTCATCGAACTTTGAGAACCTCGTCCAGCCGGCATTGCCAATGATGATGTCGAGGCCACCGAAGGCTTTCACAGTTTCTTGGACGCATTTCTTGATGTCTTCGACAACACCGCCGTCTCCTTGAATCACGAGAGTCTTGACATTGTATTTCGATTCAATCTCCTTGGCGAGTTCCTGAGCTGGGGCTTCTTGACTGTGGTAATTGATCGTGACGTTGCTGCCCTCTGCCGCGAATTTCCGAGCGACTTCTGCACCAAGTCCTCTGTGTAGATGTTAGATCTGTTCAGCTGTGAACTTGTTGTTCAGTGCATGCATGCCTCGAGCCTCCTGTAATCAATACGTTCCTGAGCTTCAGTGAGTATGGCATATTGTTTTTGTCTGCTGTTATTGAATTGTGCCTCAATAGCTAGCAGTTACTGTTTATGCTAGGGTCAGTCAGCATGAAGTGAAGTAAGAGTGACCCCGCGTGGCACAAGCTTCGGCAATAACAACCTTGGCCGAGGATGCTTCGGAAACAACCTGGGAACATCACCTTGCGAGCAACACTTGCCTATATGGTTCACTTGTCGTCGCGACGCAAAGACTATCGCATGCTATGCCAAAAGATCAACCGCAGTCGTGGCAATGGGATTGCAGACCTGGCATTTGCGGGGAGCGTCGAAACCCAGACCGGCCAGACCGGACAGCCATGACCGCGTCGCTGCCGATCAATACTCCAAGCAGCAACCACACGCATAACAAAGAGTCCCTGCTGTTCCTGGGTGTATAAAAGGAGCGGCACTTCAATCGTGGCGATTGGACACTGCCACGAAGCTGCACCCTATAATAACGGAACATGACCAGCCATGCCAAGCTCGATCAACAACACACAGCCAGTGAAGAGTTGGGAGGCTGTAAACTCTGATATAAATGTCAACCTCAGGCTGCACTCAGCCTCGCAGATCCTATCCACACATACCACATTCGGAAGTACGACGTGTGAAGAGCTGAAGATCGCCTTGTTCATCTTGTTTGTAGATTCCTGCCTTGGCAATGATATATTTTGAAACGCGGTGCCAGTTCCCAGATGTTGGAAAAAGTTGTCTTCACTCTGCAATCAACGTCAATCATCAATTGCGACTTATACCTTTGAACATGTCTGCCAAAATAATCTCCGCTTCCATCCTGTCCCTGCTCGCAGCTGGTGCAGCAGCTCAATCTGCTTCTGCATCTTTCGCAGCGACCAACTGCCAGGTCCAAGATGGTTCGCTTGTGTGCACAGCAGCTGGCGACCAGTATCGCGTGACCGACGATGTCGACCTTTCCAACCCACCCACGAGCTATTCCGTTTGCGAGGCCCTCTCGGAGACCACAATGTAAGAGCACTCGTGAACAGAAGGTATATCAAGATGTGTCTGACGAGGGTTCTGCAGAGAATGTGTCGGAGTTGACCAAAATGGAACACCAACTTCCAACGTGCAACTCGAAGCGGTCGGTGCGAGCGGCAGTGGAGGCTCGAACAGTGAAAGCGCGATGCCAACGATGACGGAGAGCGCATCTGAGAGCATGACCACAGGTGGCGGAGGGTCCGCCGAGACAACAGCGATTGAGAGCGGTGCCTCGACGACTGGCACTTCGCCCTCCGAGACAATGAGTGGAGGAGCGAGCCAGAGCTCCGCTCCAGCTGCGGATGGCAACTCGGGTGTTGCGCTTTCTGCAGATTCGGCTTGGGCATTGTTGGCTATGCTGGGCGCTGCTGTGATGATTTAGATTTGGCGACACAGTAGTGGCGCATAAGAGCAAGTATCTCACAACGCAAGGGCGCGCAGACGCAGAAAAGAATGTGTACAACAAAAACTCATGTCAATGTTGCATGATCATACCTTGTCGATCAAAGAATATGTCACGAACCTTCTCAACCAAGGATATCGTCAATTGCGAAGTTGCAAGCCTCTTCAAGTCAAAGTCCACATCCCAACATCAACACCCTAATTTTGACGAGGCTGCTCGTTCACCCTGCTGCCCGCAAAGTCACTGGCGCTCTGCATCTTGTTGTCGCTGCTGCTGTCTTTGCATGCGAACCTGTGCCTTTGCTGCCTCGGCAACAAGCTGGTCCTGAATTCTTCGATAGTACTCGCGCGTGGGCTGCTGACCTGGTCCAAGCTCCATATCAATTGGTGTTGGGGCCAGCGATTCTGCTTGTGGCGGGAGCGTGCTGTCTGAAACAGTTGATTCTGCATCGCCCGACTAGTCAAATGTAAAATCATCGAGCTCCCCCATGTCCATATTCAAGCCTGCAAAGATATCGTCATCCTGATTGGTCATTGCATTGTTCTGTGCATTATTTTGTGCATCGCCTACGCCCATGCCGAAATCTGCAAGGAACTGATTGTTTTGGTCCAGGTTCATCGCATCGCCATCGACAGTCAATTTAGCCAACTCGTCAGCAGATGCGTTGTTGAGATTTGTCAAATCGATTGGCTGATCCATGCCTGACAATTCGGCATTTGAAGCCATGGCAGAAGCATTGGTGGCCATTGTCGCATCCACGTTGGAAGCGTTTGTGTTGTTGTCTAACGCGAGGCCTAAATCCTGCATCATCTGATCGGTGCTTTGATCTTGCATGGGCATGGGCATGGCTATCGCTGGCATCTGCGCTGCAAACGACATTTGTGCTTGAACTCGTCGGCCGAGGCGAACCAGAGTCTCCGCGTAAGATTTTGCGAGGTCTAGGATGGCTTGAGCATCAGCGCTAGCGATACGTACGCGTGAGCGCAATTGGCCCGTAGGTGAAGTCCAGTGAGTAGCCTGTTGCGCGCCCATTGGGACCGGAGCAGGCGCACAAATCAGAGATGTGCAGACATCGAGAGCGATAGGGACGTTGTTGTACTCAGTCTTGTTGACCTCTGCGATAATAGCATCCAACAGCGTCTGGCTGTCGAGTAACTGACAAGCTATTGCGAATGTCCTGTGCGTGTAATGCGGTGGCGGATTCGGTGGGCTTGTGGAAGTGGAAGACCAAGTGATGAGATCCCGGATCGCTTGTTGCACGCGGCCTTGTAGGCCTTTTCCCTCCTGCTGCCATTGGTCTAGCTCGCTTTGGCGAGAGTGCAGCGAGCGTTGCTGGTTGAGATGAGGTTTCAGAAGCTCCAGCAGCTCATTCGCTTTCTTGTTTGGCTGCTTGCGGCAATATTCCTCCAGCGAGCAGTATAGCGGTGTTGCGACCACGGCAAGGACGGCGCGATGCATAGCTTGTGTCTCTGGCGCATTACTTGATGGTTTCAACAATTTCTCGAGGACTTGTATGAGGACGTCGGCGTCATTGTGATCTTCCCAAGAGTGCTTGGCCAGCCACCCCAGGCCCATCACTAGAGATGGCAGCAAAAATGGCTCGAGGAGGAGTTCCAGTCCAGACTTGAATGTGTTCATCGACAAGACCTGGGATCGACAAGCCAGGATGCTCTGCTCAAACAACGTAGGAACGAGGGTGTAGAATGATTGGGGCGAGCACTGTCGCATAACGTCGTCACCAATCCCACTCGTATCCCCATGTTCATCTACGGCAAAGAGGCCCTCAATCCACTGGGTAAGCTGCGATGCTTGCTCCGGCTGGAGCTCACCGGGTGGTTTGCTAACAGTCATATCTTCTAGTAGCTTAGCAACGAAGCTGTCTCCAAGAATACCAATGTCGGCGAAGGATAGGTCGTAACGATAGATGACGGCCAGGGTGAATAGTAGTATTGACGCGAACTCTTCATACGCAGGAGTGAACTCGCTTTGGTCTTGGTCGTGCGTCCAGTCATTGAGAAGGTTGCAGAGAGGCAGCAGTAGCATACCAGGCTGCGTGTATTGCATGACGAAGTCCATGTACGGTATCCTCCTGATGAGCTTGTCACACACTGACTTGAGGGACATTGTGTCTTTGCTCATGCACATATTGTTGACTGTCTCCACGACGCATCCTGCAATCGCTCCAACATTGCCTTGCATACCAGCCAGCTCTTCGATGTGCTCAGCGAGTTTGCTAACATTATTTGCGCACTGCGCTACCAGGTTGTCCTTGTTGAGCTTGATGACCCTCGGTAGTGCCACTGATTCCTGTAGGATCAAGGCTACTGTCTGCTCGTTCACGAGTCCGTGCAACACGCAGGCTTGCAGGAACTCCAGTCTGGTAGTCTTCAGACTGTCCCGAACATCTGTCGCACCTGCAGAGATTGGAGGTAGAGGGTCCATAGAGATCATACCGCCCGGCATGAGCGCCATTTGTATGCAGGCATCCGCAGAGATCGCTGGCTGCATGTTATTCGCCAGGATTGCGATCAAGACTGGCAGTTTGTTGCAAATGAAGGAACGGACCACCTTTGCATTTTGGCGAGGTTCTTTGGTCAACATGAAATTTGTGAGGACGTCGAATGCCGCAACAAGTAGATCGACGACGATGGATTGAGGGTTGTCAGAGGAGCGCCCTTGTATGTACGTGAGTATTGTCATGTCGTCCGTCAGAGGTCGAGCAGCCAGTGCAGCGTTGAGCCACACAAAGATGCCAGCGCGAGATCGCACGACGGGCAGCTCTTCAACTTGCGCCAGAATTTGCTCGTCGGAGAACTTGTACTTTCCGTCCGCATCCATTTCCAAGTACGGTGGTACATTGAGCAACGCTCGCAGTCGCCCGGCGAGTTGTGAGTTCATCCACTGGAGCACATTCACGTCGTAATTCTGCATCTCATTGACAACTGTGGCCCGGCGTTCTTTCCACCATCGGTACTGTGTAACCTTTCGCATACCTTTGTTTCCGAGTGTAGCCAAGGTGAGTTGTGCGAGCGCCTCATATATGCCATTCAATTGCGCGTCCATGGTCTGCAGGCCGGAAAGTTGTTTGCCGACAACATCTTCACCAACCACTTTCAGCCACCGGTAGATAACAAATACCAGGTCCTGTAGTGCGACGGCGGATGAAGGCAGATCGCTTGTGATGTGAAACTGGGTAACAATCATGAAAACTCTCTCCTCGCAGGTCGGCATGCTGAATCTCGTGTTGGGCGAGGTCTTGGAACGGACGTAATTCGAAGATTTGAGGAGCGCAGAAAGTAGGTCACTCGCGGTGAAGTAGTCGTTCTTGAGCAGAAATTCGGCGTACTTGAACACAAGCACATCATCAGGGCTGCCGTTCGCAGCTCGAAATCCGAGCAAAGTGGTCGCGATGTCGCCAGGCCGGGTTCGATATCGCATCTGCAGTTCTCTGAAAGCCTTTGCAAGCTCCTCAGGTCGGTAGCGCTTGAGAATGGCCTTTTTGAACAGCGTATGCCACGTTTGAGCGGCCACGCTCTTTGGCGGCTCCATGTCGAGGTAACGTGGCATTTTGTCGCTCTTCAGTGATGCAGGTCGTTCTTGTGTCGCTAACTTCGAGTTCTAGTTATTTTTGTGGTCATCCCCGTGATGTCGGGCGGTGGTGATGTGGGGGCTCATGATCAAAGGGCGAGAGAAGTTGGAGGTCGCGGTTCGTGATTGAAGCAGCGACCGCGATCAGCCTAACCGCATTTGGCCTGGTGACCGGACTTGGCTCCGCAGCAGTAAGCGCAAATGGCGTCTGTCTCCATCTCACCCTCACCAACTACCACACGTCGCGGCCGCCATAGAGCGCCATCTCAGCTTCACGTCGAAAGTGCAGCCCACAGACTGCACAAAAGCTATGCTTCTACCATATTCGCGTGTGTAAAGCGAGTCACGACACCAGATCACTGAACAATAGCAAAAGTTGTACGGACAAACAACACCCTCAAACATCGCCACTTGATTAGCTTCGATACTCACGAATGCCCAAAGCAACATAGGTTTTTGCAGGCTGCTTGCGGATTGCGTCAAGCTTCAGTTATGCGTCCTCAGCGTTATCACTTTCCAACAAGCCCGAGGGTCTCAACAGTGGTCAATGTCTCGCCTACGCAGTGGTCATTTCTGCGAAGCAAGGCATTGCAGCGAAGGTATAGGGATAGTCCATGAGTGCTTCATCGGATAGACAGGAGGAGTGGAGGCGCCGCGGGATCCCCACACAGAGCATGTTCAGCCTACAGCTCGTCTCCCCCCGCTGAAGATCATCCGCGCGCAGCTGTTCCCAGAGACACGGAATCCGATCTGGTGCTTACGAGATCGAGAGCGGAAACATAGCGCATTCGCACCAGACATTTATTGTCGGCATAGGTATTAGGTTGACAGTATACATGTTTCGCAGTATGGGATCGCATTGAGCAGTGGCCAGGATGCAACTATCGATATTTCTTCTCGGGTTTGTCATTGCGCTCGTGTCTTTACTGTTTCTACGTCGACGCAAATCACCCGATATTCCATCTGGAACAGAGGAACCAGCTGGTCCGCCGGGAAACCCACTATTAGGCAACTTGCTCGACGTACCTCCTTACCACAGCTGGCTAAAATTCTTCGACTGGAGCAAGAAGTATGGCCCTCTGTATCGTCTCAACCTGGCCGGGCAAGATCATGTCATCGTCTCCACGGAGAGTATCGCCAACGATCTGCTCCGTGAACGCGGAAATATCTACAGCTCTCGTGTGCATCTGCCCATGGCATCGGAGCTGTTGAGCCGTCACTTGCGGCCACTTTTGATCCCTTACGGCGAGACGCTTCGTCAAAACAGAAAATTGATGGCAACCTTGACCAATGTCACTGTCGCTGCTTCGTATCAATCACTCCAAGAACAAGAAAGCGTGCGCGTCGTGCGCGACCTTCTCCAGGAACCAAGAAAGTACGAGACATGGCTAGAACGGTACTCCGCGGGCCTAATCCTCCGCTTGGCCTATTCGAAACCGGTGTTCACTGGCGAAGAGTCGTTTGTGCGCAGAATCCTCGCTGTGGTGCATACCGTAGAGCGTGTAGCTAGTCCAGGCGCCTATCTGGTAGACACCTTTCCCATACTGATGAAGGTCCCATCATTTCTGGCACCTTTCAAGCGGGAAGGCAATAGACTCCACAATGAAGAGATATCATTGTTTCGGGACCTGCTCAAAGAAGGCATCGATAGCGGTGGCGACAATTTCTGCACGAAATGGCACAACAATCGAAAGGCGTATGATCTGTCGGAAGATCATGTCGCCTATGTGATTGGCACTTTGTTCGAGGCCGGCGCAGGCACGACAGCGGCTGCTGTGTGCTCGTTCCTGCTTGCGATGACTCTTCACGGCAAAGAGTACAAATTGTTACAAGACGACATAGACGCTGTCGTTGGTCCGGATCGCCTACCGAGCTTCGAGGACATTCCCAAGATACCAAGAGTGCGTGCAGTGGCGAAAGAGGTCCTTCGCTGGCGGCCAGTGACGGCCGGAGGCCTTCCGCACATGCTCACTCAGGACGATACATATCAAATGCCTGATGGTAAACGAGTCTTTCTTCGTGCTGGCACAGCTGTACATCCGGTCCAGTGGTCTATCCATCGCGAAGAGAAACTTTACCCAGATCCAGAGGCCTTTCGTCCTGAGCGTTGGCTGGAACCAGGTTGGCCAACCTTTCGAGAGCCACTAGACAAATTCCCGAACTTGCAAAACTACTCTGCTTTCGGCTTTGGAAGGCGGATATGTCCTGGCATGCATATCGCAGAGAGGTCATTGTACATCCTTATCGCGCGCATAGCATGGTCAAGCTCAATACAGCCAAGGACTGACGAGCGAGGAAATCCTATCTTGCCGCCGGAGTATGACTATGTGACGGGCTTCAACGTAGGTGTCTCTTTGAGGACTCGCTGCATGTCAGTCTGCGCCTATGCTTACCAGTATGTCTAGGTCCAACCAAAGCCTTTCGATTTCGATCTGCAGGCTCGACTTGGAAGACAGGCCATTGTGGAAGACAGGTACAAAGCTGCATGGGCATCGCAGCCATCGCAGCCATAGCACGAAGTGCACAGATTGGCACTACGCAAGTTGTTCACGGCAGAAGTGGTCGACGGTGGGTGGAAAGAAGGAGATTGCGGGAGAGCGGCTTCCCAACCCGGTCATGCACGGATCAGATGCCAAGACTGACGAACAACCTCACTTCTTTCGCCTCAATCTTTCTTCGTAGCCCACATCTGTCTCTCGCATCGCAGAGTCGGGTCATCTTGCCGGAGGTTCTCAGAATCATCGTTACACATTCTTTGTTTCCTACACTCCAGGTCTCTCCCGAATGCCGGAAGCAAATTGGCGAGATTGAGGAAGTATGAAGACTCGGAATGAGATCACATTGGTTGTTTCTAGTGCGCGAGAACAAAATACCACGCCTTGACCGCCTCAATGCGAGCACATGCGTCTGTAGCGTGGTCGTTCATGGAGTGAACCGGCAAAACAGGTTTACCCGAATGTCCTGATAATCCCGAGAGCTACCATCGTTCCGGAAGGCGACAGCACGAGTCTGAGCACTAAACTCGTGTGCAGGTCTAGCTGATATTGTGGAGCGCTCGTTCCGCTCGGTCTACCCAAGCGCCTATACAGCATGCGACACGCAAGCTCGCTGCAACGTGGCCTCGGATTTGTCAACGACTTCGGTCTTGCTTGTTCAACTCGGACGCATACCCAGTAAGGCGAACTTTGTATCATCACAAGCCCAGCCATGCAAGCTTAAGAGCGTTAAGCCGCATTTCCGTCAAGCTTAACTGGAAAGTCTATGCCACACGAACACCACTCTTCCCAAGTGGTGGAATCTGGGGTAGTATGGGGTAGAAATCCAGATCAACAGCGATTCATTGCTGCCAATTGGTGGCAAACCTCTTTCACTTCCCGCCTCCGCACACAAGTATGCATCCAAAGCAATGAGAGATTGTCCGGTTCAACGACAGCCTCGTGCTGGTGGAGAATAGCCACGATGGACGAGCAAGCCATTGAACCATTAGCGCATCCGAGGAACCAGCATATGAACCTGCTTTGAGATATATAGCATAAGACATGTCGCCAACTTGATCCGGATTATCAAGTTCCTCGAGATGCATCTTCCCACGCTCAGCATCCTCGGCCTCGCCACACACGTTTCAGCCTCGCTGTATTCAGCAGGCGATACACTGAGTATCAGTGCACGTTCCGCACGTACGTTCAATGCGATGTCGGCGAGGAGACCTGGCTAACGGACTACATACAGGCGGCTACGCCCCGGATCTTGCCATCAGCGGTGGAGTGCTTACATCAAAATGGATCGAAGGGACAAAATACACACAAATCGTCGAATTCGTGGTGACTAATAACCACCCGGCCAACTCGCTCACTCTCGCTGACACTTTGAATATCACTTTGAAGTCGAATAACCTAGAATTGGTCCAATCTGCAACCCTCACACGCTTGGCACCAAAGCAGGCTGCCGTGGTGCAGCTCGGCGTTCGCAATTTGCCCAACACACCTGCCGGCTCTACATGCAGCGGCACGATTGTTGCGACATACGGACAAGGATACGGGCCTGTAATCACCAGAGATCAGACGATAACCGGCATTTGTGGCATACCAGACTATACTGCAGATACTGGCAGTCTCAGTCATCACTGGAATCCTGACTGGTACGTAAACCGAATTCAGGTCGTGCCTACTGATAGAACGAGCTCCAATCTGTGATCTCCGAGATACAATAAGCTGACTACTGGTTCTGAAGGTACAATAATGTAAAGTTCGGTATCTTTATTCACTGGGGACTGTACTCAGCGCCGGCGTTCGGCAACGCGACGCCTGTTGAAGACTACTCCGAATGGTACTGGTGTCGCCAGCACGATCCAAACTACAGAACAAAGACATATCAATATCACGAGAAGACTTATGGCAAAGACTTCAACTACGATCAATTCATGGCAAACTTCACAGATACTGGCTACGATCCTGTAGCATGGGTCAACCTATTTGCAGCAGCTGGTGCTCGATATATGGTAAGCGAGGCTGGTGGAAGGTATCTTTCTGTTCTAAACCAGAACTAACGCTCGAAGGTTCCTGTTACGAAACATCATGACGGCTTTGCACTTTTCAACACATCGCCCCAGGTCAGCAGACGCTCGTTCATGTATTACGGGCCAAAGAAGGATCTCATCGGCCCTCTGCTTGCAGCAGCCAAGCAATACCAGCCACAGATTCGACGAGGTATGTCCTAGCAGTGTGTGCCGAGCTACGTCCAAACCAGTTGCTAATGGTATCTTCAGGAACCTACTTCAGTATGCCAGAATGGTACAACCCTCAGTATGCTCAGTACAAGAACCCAGACCCCAATTGGGCAGGCGGTTGCTTCGGAGCTGATAATGTCAACCCATACACCAAAGCCCCACTTGAGTACACTGGCCACGTCCAGGTGAACGACTATGTGACCGGTCTCCAGCTGCCACAGATGAATGAATTGGCATACAACTACGAAACCGAGCTCATGTGGTGTGACATTGGAGGAGCAAACAACGCAACCATTTTCGCATCAAAATGGCTCAACTGGGCTCGTGATCAAGGACGACAAGTAACATTCAACAACCGATGTGGAATTGGAGGTGACTTCCAGACACCCGAATATGCCACTAATACGGACACCGTCGTCGCCAAATGGGAAAGTAATCGCGGAATGGATCCTTTCTCCTTCGGCTACAACTACAAGACACCTGACAGCGAGTACCTCAATGGAAACGACATCGTCCAAAGCCTCGTCGATATCGTTAGCAAGAATGGCAATTTCCTCCTCGATATTGGGCCCAAGCACGACGGAAGCATTCCAGATATCATGCAGAAAGGCCTGAGAGATGCTGGAAGCTGGATCATTCCGCATGGAGAATCCATTTACGATACGAGGTACTGGAGTGTTACTCCTGGAAAGGGCAATTTCCGGTATACCACCACGAAAGACGCTTTCTATATTCACTACTTGACGAAGCCGGGTTCGAGCATCACCATCACGGATCCAGTTCCGTGGTTGCCTGGCGATACTGTCACCGTCCTCGGTGGTTCGCAGAATGGTAAAGTGGTGCAGGCCACGAAGTCGGGCAACAACTTGGTGTTGCAGCTGAATGATGCTATCATCAATGGGGATAAATACGTCTGGACTTTCAAGCTCGCGTATACGAGTAATTACTAGCGGTGAGGACGTCATATCGATCAGAATAATATATTGAAATATGTGATTACATGAATGAATGCATAACGAGAGATGTTGAGGTCCCACCTGCAGGCCGGGTTGTCCAACTGTGTTGTAAAAGCCTGGCGAGTGCAGAAAACTGTCAGCCTTACACCTTGAAACTCCGCATGACAAGACCATGGTAGTGTAGTTGGAACATGCAGACAGAGCATATAATGTCTCAGGGCAGCAGTTTCCGTTCGGCTAGACAGTGTCGCAGAAATTGCTGACCGACGCGACATGTTTGCCACTTCCAGCTTGCACGATGTTCGACATTGCTAGGCCTTCCCAGTAGCCTGAAGTTCCTACGCGAATGTGTCGAACGGCAACAGCTGCAGCGGCGAAGCTCTTTGTCTCATCTTTCCCATCACGCTTTGCTGGCGCGGCATAGAGTGGTGTCGGATGGAGTGCTGTACAGCAGTCGGTATGCGCTCCGATCTCAACAGACCAATAAATCTCCTCAATCATGTGTATACTTCCACGAAAGCGCCATCGTTCTATGTCGGAACACGATCCGGCCGCGTCGCGCTTCATTCACTTCGTTCTTTTCTTGGCGGCATCGGTCCGACGATTATTCCGGCAACGCTAGTTACGCGCTTGCGGGCAAGAAAGTGCCCACTCTTGCTCCTGCTCCCCAGTCTCTGCTGTTTGCCGACTGCTCGCTCAAGATTTGCTCGTCTCCAACATCTACATTGTCAGCAACTGTAGGCACAACGCTACAATCTTTCTCACCAGAGTATCGATCGTAGCACTGGAAGTCCGCATCGGTGTTTCTTCCTGTCGAAACCCACGACGTCGCCGACTCGAAGCGACAAATTCATCGCATCTGGGCCCAGAAGATCTTATCGATCTTCAACATCGACTTACACCCAGCTGTGCCTGTCTGCCACCACCATCACCTCCTGATCAAGAAGACCGAAGAAATGGCTCGTTCAAGCCAGACCAGCTACCGCACTAACTCGAGCGTCAAGCCGACCGAGCGCGAAGTCCGTGCGTACCGCGTCGAACAAGCAGACCGGATCCTTCTGGAACGAGTCGCCAATGTTCGTTCCACTCTCATGCAGCCCAGAGTTGGCAAGCGATCGAGTGCCGGACCATATGCTCCTCGCGGCTCCAGTTCGGCCATCCAGACCTCCAATACCGCACAGAATCATGCCTCAGCTACCTCAAACTACAGCGCCTCCACGTTCCAAAGCTCAACCCGATATCAGTCCACCCGGAGGCAGGCCAGACGACAGCAATTCCGCCCCTTGGGTGGTGTGCACAACAGCACCTACTCGTTGTCGGCTCACCTACATGAGTCCACTTCGTATCTAGACAAGCTCGAGCGGACAGCGCAACACCAAGCGCGCAAGAATGCCGAGTCTGAGGCGATGTTCCAAGAAAACAAGCAGAGACGCGAGCAGGAGAAGAAATGGCAGTGGGATTTCGTATTCTCTCCAGAAGCGAGGAGAGCCAGCGAGGATTCGAAGGCTGCCGCTGCCAAAGTCGCCCATGCATCCGCAAATGTCGAGCACGGCCAACAGCTTCCAGCAGAGAGCAAGAGAGTGAGCTCGATCGGTGCCGCGCCTCAGGAGACTCACGACACCCAAGATCCACCAAACGAGCAAGTCTTCGCTCAGGAGACTGATCGCATCCACGCAAACGAGGCACAGCAAGCAGAGGTCGTCGAAGCCGTTCAGGTAGGAAGCATGAATGAAGAAGTTGCCCAGTATTCGCTGTTGTCATTTTCATCGAAGGTCAAAAAAGTGAAGAAGCAAATCATCGTCGGCTCAGCGTTGGCCGCGACCTTTCCAGCAGTATCTCGCCAGGTCTTCCAGCGAGTCTTGTATACCGACGGCACCCGTGCATGGATTAAGGTCCAAGTCCAAGGCAATGGAGTGGTGGAAGCTGAGGCTTTTGAGGCCTTGCCAGAAGTCCGCAAGCGGCCTTTACTCGTCGAGCACGAGCTTGAAGAACCACGCAAGCGCCAGCTCACCGCGAAACATGCATTCCAGTGCACCGAGGAGCACAAATTTGCTGATGAGATGCCCGTGGAGTTTCAGAGGGAGGACCTTGATCAGATCGATGGCTCTGTCGTCCCCGTTGAAGAAGGCAAAGAAACCTCGCCAGAAGAGCTTGACGAAGATGAACCCGCTATCGTTCTCTTCGAAGAAGGCAAAACAACTTCTGAAGAAGTTCGTGATGAGGCTGAAGTCGATGTCGTTTCTCTCCGAGAAGTTAAGACCAGCTCGGAAGAAGAGCGTGGTGAGACTGGTCTAGGTATCGTCCACGTCGAAGAAGTCAAAACCATTTCAACAGAACATCGCCATGGAGATGCTTCCGCTATCGTTCCCCACGAAGAAGCCAAAGGCGCCTCGGAAGGAGAGCATATCGAGGCTGATGCTGCCGGTTTCCACATCGAAGAACGGGAAGCCACCTCAGAAGAGGAGCGACGAGAGAAAGAAATATTAGACGTCGTCAGTTCCAACGAAGGAGCCCCACAGGAGGAGGAGGAGGAGATGGCCACTGTCGAAGATGATCACGATCCCTATCGGCGTCAGAGGATGGGGCAAAATAAGATCACATCCTCGACTAAGAGAGCCACGAACCAAAAGGGCGACTGCGTCGATTGTGGCAAACGGACATACGATCAGCCTCATGTCTGCTACAATCGACATCCAAAGAGAGCATCGTCCGGTCTATTGCACAGCCGCCAGGCTAGAATCCATGTCGATGCTAAGGGAGCTGAGAAGATACACCCCGGGATCGAGCCTGTGATCCCTCTTGTTGGCAGAGGCACCTTCGTGTCAGAGTCGGCCATGGCGTTCGCACGAAATGTCCAACTTTTCGACGCTGCGAGCAGCAAGAGAACAGCTAACGGCGAAGCTCAGCAGAACGCCACCGAAGATGACGAGGATTTGATGGACGTGGGCGAAATCAATTCTACGCCAGCCAATGCACCAACTGAACCGAGATCTCAGAGCAGCGGCGGCCATGATGTCCCGCAGCGTGAAGGGTCCATGGATGTAGTCTCGACCTTTGAGGCATTCGATGAGATGTTGCCTCCAGCAGCAACTGGGCTAAGTGCGAGGCACCAAGTATACCAAGGACCTGACAGTGGAGTGGGCAGCCTTATCAGCGACCAGGATGAAGACATGGTAATGTCTGGCACTGATGCGCAAGTGGAGGAGGAGGAGGAGGAGGAGGTAATGAGTGGTGTAGAGCATACGGCACCGCAACAGGATGTCCAGGTGCGTAAGAGTCTGTTCTTTGCAGCGCCTATCGGTCCACGCGACAACAACGACAGCAGCCACCGGCATCAGTTGATCCAAGAGTCATTGAATGCACCATCATTAGGTCAGGAGCAGTACTTCCGGAGGCCAGCTCACTGGCCAGGAGACAGGGACGGCGATATCGACATGATCGATGATACACCATCCACTAGACAAGCACCAGCCCGTCATGGTCGAAGCCGACCTCAAGCTGAAGACCGCTATGGCAATATTGACATGCCCGATGCCTCAGCCGCTCCGTCTCAACTTCCACGACGGCAGAACAATCGCGCCCGTGACCATCGCCAATTCGTCGGGGATCGCCAATTCGTCGATCGCCAGTACAATGCTATCATGAGCCACACCAGAACCGCACCGAACCGCCAACCACTTCGGATGAGAGACACCAACTTCTCGGACTCTGGCCGACGGGGCGCTCATCAACATTATCGCCCGCAGCGCAGCCTAAGCACCACGCCGTCAACCCAGCACAACCTCTACCGCGAAGATTATGCGCGTCAACGGATGGCAGCAGATGCTCAACGCCGGGCTGGCGCGAGGGGTGCCGACCGTCCACCACGTCGGAATGCCACACCAAGCCGGACCAATGAGAATGACATCGGTCTCCGCATCAGAGGCGCTGCCAAGATGAGAGGCGAGAGCATGCGTGATGGACGGTATGCTGATTGAATTCAAGGTCGGATTGGCGAGAGTGAGGTCCAGCGTGAGGCTTGGTTGATGACTGAATGTCGCCCGAAGCTCATGTGAATCGAAGTCGATCGATGCCGCTTATGTGAACGACGATTTGCCACCCTGCACAAGGATGGTATCCGAGGCCGACGCTGGTGCGAGAGGTATCCTGATTGCTGGCCACCAAAAGACAAAACCACACGCCAAGTACAATGTCTGCTGGACTGGAGGAGGTCGCTCTAAGCACCACCACTAATTGCAGACTGTCAGTATTCTTGGCTTGCAACTGAGCCCGCGAAGAAAACCAAAAAGGAAAAGACGACCAAGACCCGCCAGAGAATGCCACATCTGTAGGACTGGAGGAGGTCGCTGTAAGCACCATCACTACCTGCAGAGTTCCAGTATGGAAGGCGTGCAAATGGACCTGGAGACAAAAAGTACGCCAGAAAGTACCTGTAGGGCTTGAGGAGGTCGCTGTAAGCACCACCACTTCCCGCAGGTGTTCGGTATTCTTGACCCGAAACTGGCGTGAAGACGAGAGCACAAACAAAAATGACAAACCCATGACCAGAAATATCAAGTCTGTGGCCGCTCGAGGAGGTCGCTCTCAGCACCACCACGTCCCGCAGACTTGAGTACTGCTGGCATGAAGACGGGCAAGAAGGGAAAACGAAACCAAATAAAGAAAGATAAAAGAAATCAGGACCGTAATGATCAGATCTGTGGCGATTGACGAGGTCGCTGTATGCACCACCACTTCCTGCAGATTCTCAGCATCATTAGCGGGTGGGTGTGAATATGGAGCGAGGGGCATGAAGTCGGAGTGCGAATGTCGGTCGAATGGAAAAGAGAGATCGGATGAGATCGTGGTATCTGTGAGCTGGTGGGTCGGTGTAAGCACTGTATCTTGCCGCGGAGCTTTGACGTGTATTGGACAGGGAGCTTGGGTGTAATCGAGTGCTATGGGTCAGGTGCTCGGAGTTCTTGCTGTTGCTCGAAGACCGGCTGAATGTTGGCATTGTTTGCGTTCCTGGTATCATGTTAATGGTATGATCATGATTACCCTCTTTTGTGTAACATCGAATTGAGGCCATCTCAGCCTCGTATTCGTCCATTCGAGCAACGCAACATGAGAAGCTGATTTTGAACCGCTCTGAACGGACTTTGCACGATATATGAGCAGTAGTGAGGCATTCCCGGTTCTGACAGACGCCATCGGCACGTGTCGAAGAGGTTTGACAGCTTCGTCCGACCAGTCAGGAGGAAATGTCGTCTCTAGTCATGGCGTGCAGGAAGCTAGTGCAGGGCTCTGTGCGTGGTCCAGGGGCAGAGTCGGCATTGGGGCCCAATAATTTCGCCTGTCCGGCAGTATATTGGAATAAATTATCACCGTCGCTCCCCTCAATCGGGGAACCGTTGTTGCTGGTTTGGGCCATTCGGAAGACGTTGTTTCAGCGCGCATACAGCGACAGTCCCAGGGAAGCGGCTGTGGGCCAAGGAGCAACGGCGGTGTGGAGAAGCGCCGTTTCGCAATCTGAACCGGAGCGGAATCTTGTTCCTGCCATGCCGCAGCTGGCGGGCTCCTCGTCGGCCGCGTCTTCCTCCTCCACCACCATCTCGGTCTTTGCGCGCTTCAAGAGACAGCAGAGCAACGGCGGCAGCAGCCATGCCAACAAGAGCGTGACGAATCTCAGTGTGGATGCCGACGACGGCCCAGTGGAGTGGAGAGGCGGCAAGCTCATCCAGCACGAGCGAGCGCCGCGCACCGCCCACCACCACCCGCACCGCCGCGACAGTAGCATTCTCAGCTTGACCACCAGCGTCACCGACAGCGCCAAAGGCTTTGGCGCCAATGTGCGACGGAGCGTGAGCCTGCGATCCCACCGCACCAACGGCAGCACCAGTGGCTCGTCCCTGGGCAACAGCACTGCGAGGAGTCCGAGCATAATCACAACACACCAGTCCTTTACACCATTGACACCGGATACCACGATTGAGCAACTCGAAGGCGAGGACAAGGCCTTGTCTCCTCCCTCACACGCGCCGCCTGCGCCTCCCATCGTCAAGCGGAAGATCTCCCTCACCGCCAGAGGGCTCTCCCACAAATTTAAGTCAACCGAGAACCTCCACCGTCTCCACAGCGCTTCAACTGCCGCTCCTTTCTCACCGCCTAGATCAGACCCTCGCGCCTCCATGCTGGTCTCTACACAGCCTGCCCATGCCCCTCTGGGCAGGAAGAACTCCGATCAGAACCGACCTGGTCTACAGCCTCAGGCCAGCTTCACGCGGGACATTTCATCCTCGCATAGCAATGGCGCGCCTCTACAGCCGGTACCGAGCCTCCCCCAGGGCATGGCAGCAGCAGGACCTCTGAATCCCAGTACAATCTACACACAAATACATGAGACGTCAGCGAAGCGCATCGCGACGATAGACTACATGAGAAAGCTTCACGAGGGGGACATATTCTACTTTGGCACGATTCACTACTCGCAATCAGCGCTGCATGGTATGCCTTCGATGCACGCGTACAAGCTAGGACGGAGAGCGACGAATTACTTCTTGCTCGGCCACAGTCTGCCTGCGTTACTGGATCTGAACTCTAACACACCATTGGAGTATTTGCGAGCGCTGTCTGCTCTTCTCACCGAATTTGAGACCTATCAATCCTTATGCGGGTGGGATGCGAGTGGAAACGTGGTTAAGAACAGCCGTATGGGCGGAATGTTCAAGAGTGGAATACGAGGCAGCAAGGGCCGTCGTTCTAGTACCGCGATCGCCCCTCTTGACCTCTCCCTCGAGACGAAGCCAGATCTTCTTGGAATCGCGCACAAAGATGCCAACCCACACTCTCCTTCCGACATGTCCTCGACTATCAACCCTACAGGGCACGAATTTCAGTTCCTCCTCACACCGCATGTACCATTCGAGCCAGATTTCAGCACGACGCTCGGGACGCTGTGCGATACTCTTATGGATGTGTACGGAAAACTCATGGATCTCGTTTCTGGGCCCGAGCATTGTAATCCGACACTCATTGACGCCTTCTCGAAAGCAGACAAAGCGATCAGGAAAATCATGGTGGCGAATGTGGCGCGAGAGTTTGAGGATACGACAAGAGCGGGCGTGAAAAGCGAGATTGCGGGGCTGGGCAAACTGACGCTCGGCGGTCTCATGTAGGACATGGGCTGTGAGCGTCAATTGGTATTAATGATGGAGAAAGGGGAGGAGGAATATGAAGTGGAGGAGAACGCAGAGCAGCAGGAAGAAAGGCTGTCAGCGGCACTGCTCAGGGATGTTTGAGATTTTGCGCAATGGACACGACCACGGATATATTGGAACGACGACTATGACACGGGAACTCGGCCAGGTGGATTCGCTGGGAATGGCTATGGCTGTGTAATACTGGATGTGATACCCCCTTTTCATTTCTATCTGCACACAGGCGTCTGAGGGAGTCGGCAACGACGTGGGATCTTATTGCGATAGCAGCCGCATGTGGTCGATGCACGGAAGTGCGGGTAGAGGCTGGGCACGCAGAGGAGGACTGTTGTAGTAAAGGGTTAAACATAATGCACATATTTTTCGTTAACTTCGATCTCGATGATTGCAATTGCGGCCTCTCTTCGCGCTCAGTGTCCAGTGGAGATTACGAGAGAAAATGCACAGGTTGCCTCATTGCCCAGCATGTACATGTACCGCCGTACCTAGCAGCGTGTACCACAGCTGGCGGCGGACAGCGTTTCGTGGCACAACCAGGTCAGCTGCAGGTACGGATTTGCGCATTTTGCACACGTGTGACGAGCGCATCGAGCTCTGTGCATCATCGCTCCGCACTTCACCTGCACCTCATCCGCTGCGTGTGGTATATGCTGTAAGCACTGCTCGGCTTAAGCAGCACTCCACGGCAACTCGGCCTCGCGCCTTTGCATCCGCTCGGCTTAAACCACCGCTCTGCGCTTGTCCCGCCTGCCAGAAGGCCACATGATTGGCACGGACGCCGAATCCACGGCCAACCATGACCAAAATTTTCCAATGCCACTCAGCACTCGCAAAGCCGAATGGACGGGTTATCAGCAGCGCCTCGCACAATTTTATGCCGCGCACTGCATACGACGATTATGTCTGCGTCGGCGTGGACCACGGCGCGAGCGCTGTGATATCGCTGCAGCCAAACCGCAAACAGGCGCGGAATCAGGCGGTAGGGCGCAAATAACATCAGAGTCGCTTCGAAAAGCAAGACGAGAAATGCGTGTTATGACTCCCCTTGCGGGGGGTTTATAGGTAAGACCGTGAACCGCCCGCTGCCAGCTCGCCTTTGTCTGTCTATACGTCAAGCGCCCCTCGCTGTCTGCCCGCCCTCTTATTGTGCACTGCCGCCTTTCCAACACTGCTCAGTGGCACTTTCCAGCGAACCATTTGCCTTTTCAAGGAAGCCTAGACTTCACCACCGGGCGGCCTACAGTCTACTCAAAAGCATTACTCACCCAGCACGACTCAGCAAGACACCACCACCATGGCTCCAGTCGCTCTCACTCCAGATCAGTCGGGCACATCGACGCCCACCTCGACATCTGCCTCTGCCCTCACCCAGGCCGGCATCAAGCATGCTCTCAATGGCAGCGCCGCCGCCAATGGCTCCGAACAGCAGCAACCCCTCGACACGTCCCTCATGACCTACACCTACACATCAACCCCACGAACCGTCCCCGAACCCGACTCAGCAGAGACCAAAGCCCAAAAGACATGCACCGACCACATGGTCTCAGCACGATGGACCATCGAAAACGGCTGGGACGCACCTGAGCTGAAGCCATACGGCCCCCTGGCCATCATGCCCACCGCCAGCGTCCTCCACTACGCAACCGAATGCTTCGAAGGCCTCAAACTCTACCGTGGCTTCGACGGCCGCCTTCGCCTCTTCCGCGTCTCACGAAACTGCCAACGAATGCTCAAGAGTGCCCGCCGCATCGCCCTCCCAGACTTCGACCCAAAAGAGTTGGAGAAAATGATCATCGCACTCTGTGCCACAGATGGAGACAAATGGCTCCCTAAAGAACGTGCAGGACACTTCCTCTACATCCGCCCCACCCTCATCGCAACAGACGCCGCTCTGGGTGTGCAACGTCCTCGCGAAGCTCTTCTCTATGTCATAATCGCCTGCTTCCCAGATATGAGCAAGAGTTTTCCACCTGCCCTCAACGGCTCTGCAAACGGCACACAAGCGAAGCCCGGTCTCAAACTCCTCGCTAGCAACGAAGATACCATTCGTGCATGGCCTGGTGGTTTCGGATACGCCAAACTCGGCGCAAACTATGGTCCTTCCCTCGTCGCCCAAGGCGAAGCCCGCAGCCGCGGATTCGACCAAGTCCTCTGGCTCTTTGGCAAAGAATGCTACGTCACCGAAGCCGGTGCCTCAAATTTCTTCCTCGTCTGGAGAAACCGCGAATCGGGTAAACTTCAACTCGTCACTGCACCGCTGGAAGAACGTATTATTCTCGAAGGTGTCACTCGTGCTTCTATCCTCGAACTCGCAAAATCCCGCCTCAGCAAATCGATCGGAGACCTTGAAGAAGTCGAAGTCTTCGAACAGAGATTCACAATGGATGATATCCTGGAAGCCGCGAAGGAGGGGAGATTAATCGAGGCTTTTGCCGCGGGGACTGCGTTCTTTGTTGCGCCGATTGGGTTGATCCATTTCAGGAATAAGGATTTGGAGGTTCCGATGAGTGAGGGCGAGACGGGCGCTTATGCTAAGGCGATTAAGAGTTGGTTGGTGAATATTATGTATGGGAAGGAGGAGCATGAGTGGGGGGTTTTGGTGAAGTGAAGTTGTGGTTTTGCTTACTGGGGAAATTGATTAGTGAGCTACCTGACACCTTAGCAGCCTAGTGCCGGGGGTTGGTGTGTGAACGGAAAAGTGCATTTGGATGGCGAATGGGACCGTTTCTTGGGTGGGAGCGAAATATATGACGAGTTGGGATCTAGAGATTTGTTGAATAGTTTGGGTATGAAAGCTATGGACCGACATGACGGCAGAGTTCTTGAGTGGTTTTCCTCCTTTGTGCCCTTGGAACCATCTGCTCCAGATGGGGTCTGACGCTGACGCTCTCTCGGCTATGGTGGTGATGTTGAAGATGTAGAACGCTTCCCGTGCCAATGATTGTTCAGGTACTTGTAATGCGGACTTACTTAACCCAGTTGCCATAGTAGGTGCTGCACCCGCCCTGTCAAAACCACAGCAGCTGAATTTGGGAAGCATTTCGGTTGCTGCGCATGCTGTCTTGGTGTTGTTTTTTGCGCGAACAAGGATGCGCGTGTAAGCCTACCGCTCGTATGTGAAGAACTTGCCTTGCCTTTGACTAGCAACGTATCGACACGGCCAACGACAGGAGATTGACCGCCAGAAGCAGGAGCGCATGGATTCGGGAAGTTCAAAGACATGTCCATCACCGTCGCCAGAGTTCAGCGCACCTTGAGCCAGTTTACTGTTCGGTCGTTGTATGTCGCGACACGATTGCGTGAAGAGGTTGGGGTCCAAAGCGGATCGTTGCGTGCTTTCCTCGGAGTCGTGATTGCCATTTGTGTAGCTTGACAGGCAGTTGCGATTTCTCGACCTCACCTTCTCGATCTTCACGTCTGCTGCTCTCTACAATTTCGTCAACAACCTGTAACGCAGCAACTCGAAAAGTCACAACTTACCCAAACGCGACTTTGAGCTCTTTCACCGAGACTGTGGAGAGGTACACTGTGAGCACCGGTACGTTCCTTTTCTTGGTTTCACTTCCCTGAGCCTGGCCCATCACCTCAAACGCGTCGTCCGAAGACTCGTCGTCTTGCTCGCCGCCACCACCAGCGGTTGCACTGGAGCCCTTCTCACCTCTCTTGGTCTTATCGTCGCCATTATTCCCATGTCTCGGAATGTCATCCAACCTGGAGCTCAGAGCAGAATATTGGTACACAGGTACCTTTCTGGCCACCAGATCGCGCTTGGCGATTTCGACAATACTCACCAGCTTGCCTGCTGCTTTGGGAGAGGTAGCTGTGATCGCAACTACAACGGGCAGTGCGGCAGCGGTAGTGTCATCCTGGCGTGTGGTCATCATGACCAGCTTTCCAACCACGGCCGAAGTGCGGCTCGAAATTTGTGTTCCTGATGCTACCCCAAACTTCTCCATGGCATACTTGCCCTGCAACGACGGCTCTTCAAACGCCATGTTGCTTCAGAGTTTTTCTTCCAGCCTGCCTGCCTAGCAACAGCACGTCGGGGTGTTGCGAGCTACGCGGCGTTGGGGAGAGTTTGAAACTCTCACTGCTGGGAGCTCTGGAGATTGGAAGCCTGGCGCGCGAGTCGGAGTGCAGAGCCAAAGAAAGGACTCCTGCCCAGCCGCGGAGGAGAGTTACTTGCTCAGAGTCGCGTCAACCACCACCGCGTGCTGGATCCGGTATTCCGGAATAGTGGTGCACTTATGGCCTGGAGCGAGCACGTGACGGGCGCAATAACAAACAGGAAAGCTGTCGCATGTGAATGAAATCGCGGAAATTTGCCAGTTCGATGTTGATGGCTTCCTATGGCTTCCGCGCCAGTCGATAACTCAATGTTGTGCTCAGACCGAGCTAAAGGCGATAGGCGAGAAGCCGGAAGAGCGCGCTGGCTGACGTGAAGGCAGACACCCCAGCTTGCGACGACACGGCGCAGGTTGTCCATTACAACGAGAGCGACGAGTCACAACATCTCGACCCCGGTCCATCGCGCAAACAAACACGACTCTTTCCGCACTGCTGCGTCGTTTGTCGCTGCAACGACGCGGGCCTTGCTTACGAGCGCCGCTTGGCGATCGGCTTGGAAGCACGACAGAACATTCGGCGACGGTGGTCAGGGGGAAATAGGTGGTTATCGACCGTCCGAGGCAGCTTAGGCCCATCGCCGCTCCGCCCGAAGAAATCCAGCTTCGCGGCCTAGCGCAGCCACCCCGGCAGTGGAATCGCCTCCTACTGGCCGGCGGCGTGTGCTCCCTCGCGTCCATGCTGGAGTCTATGATCTCAAAGCAACGGCATCTAGGCTGAGAGCAGACTAGCGTCGAGCTTCTGTCGTGTCGACTGTCGCCTTGTGTGCTTCCTCCCACGACTTGCGTCGTTTCTCACCACCTCTGGACAAACGTCCAACACCTTCGACTTTGTCGCAACACCGTTTGTCGGCGCGAATCTCCTTCTAGACTTCCTCCTTTCTACTTTTGCGATTCATAGAATTGTCTTGTGTTAATAGCGACTACTTCTAATACTTTACCACCTCGTGGCCGCGCTCTGACGACCTCCGAGCTTCATCGCCCCGGCCTGATCTCCGCCCCGACCTCACGCCCGACCTCGCCAGAGCTTGGAACGCGACGTTGGACTGCCGCCACCACCGGTCAACGCCCACCCGTGACTGAAATAAGTCATCGACCCTCGACTGGACCCTCCTCAGACCTCGACGGTCTCGCACAATCACTTGCGACACACTCATGCGACGCCGATAAGGCCGACTTTCCGTCGCAAACATAATTGACAAGAGCTCTTTGGAGGCAGCAGCTTCTTGGCTTTCAGTGCGACGTCGCTGGAGCCTTGCGCGCCAACAACATGCAGAGCATCTTCCGTTTGCCCTGGTGCAGCGAGCACCAACTCAAGCTGTCTGAGAAGGCGAGCCTCGACAAGATGCGGCCCATGGTAGAAATACCGGTGCTGCAAGACTTGAAGAGAAAGCGCTCAGATGGCCCCGACGCGGTCTCTGCCGGACAAACGATGCCCATCTCGAAGAAGCAACAAATGGACTTTGTACGACAATTCTCGCCGACCACCACTTCACTTCAGGCTCCTGCACAGAATCCACTCAACTCTTCGACTCGATTCGCTTCTACTCCACTCCTGCCAAAACCAGTGGCTGCTCCTGCGACTGACGCCGAACTCGCGACTTCCGCACCCGAAAACAAGCAGCTCAGCCACCCAGCCGCTACGCAACCACCCGCAACCCTGCCAACTCCAGCTACTTCCACGACACCGCTATCGATTAAGGAGACCACGCCTATCATTATGGAAGCACCGGTCGACAAAGCTGCCCAGCTCTCAAAGGCCCAGGTGATCATCGAGACCGAACTCAATATGCAGATCCTCATGAAGCATAACGAGCTGCGCTTGATCGAGCAAGAACTGGCCAAGTGCCAGATTGCGCTCGAGCAACTGAGGCGATGCGAGCTGCGACCTTATCCTGGCACTGAGAAGCCTTCACTGGCGGTCTCGGAGGGTAAAGGCCCAGCTATCGCCACTCTTCCCGGACACTCTGTTCCTTCGCATCCTGCGCCGTACGGTGTCACAGATGGCCCTTACTCGAAGCACTATGCGCAGTGGCTGCTGCGTGATCCTCAGTTTGACTCGGTCTCACCTGAGGCACTTGCTCTGGCTGAAACACGTGTCCAAGCCTCTGGTCGGCCCGTTCGCAACAGCACTAGCAGCTTCCATGCTCCTCGAAAGTCCGCTAGTAAGACTCTTGGCACCTCGACCAGATCTTCGGAATCTCTCCACAGTCTGCCCAACTACCCTGCCGCGCCAGTCAAGGACAAGTCGCAGCCGCTTGTGCTTACTCGCTCGACTGACGGCCAACTGGTCAAGCTCATTTGCAAGAACTGCCACCGTGGTAATTTCAGCAGCATTCAAGGATTCCTCAATCACTGCCGTATAGCACACAAGGTTGACTACAAGTCGCACGATCAAGCTGCAATCGACTGTGGGCAATTACTGGATGCGGAAGAGAAGGCGAATGTGCCACCTGAGACTTTGAAGACCCACGCTCCGAAGCCAAGTGTTAGCAGGGTGTCGGCATCGTCAGCTTCAACTCCTGCCAAGGTTCAGCCCATCGCAAATGGTCTTGTACATCCGTACATCTCGCACTCTCCCTCGTCCCGTCCAAATGGAGCGGCAAATGCGAAGGCTGTGCCGAATCTCAAAACTCCGGTCCCATCATCTCACAAATCGGCATCATTCAAGGCATCTGGTCAAACCCCCATGCTATCGTCCCTATTCCAGAAGCATAACATGAAGGTTGATCTTGATCAAGCAGTTGCAGACGCAAAGGAAAAGGTGGATCTCAACGCCGATGTTGAGTTGTTGTCTCCAGACACAATCTCCGACCCGAATTCGCCGGCCACGCCCTTCGGTCCCGGTGCACGCATGCCGATGGGCAACCATGGCTATTTCGGGCAACAGCAAGGTCGCAAAGGCTTCGGCAGCAACACACAGCGTCCACGTCCTGCACCGATTGCGCCGGCGCCAGCTCGCGACTTCCACTTGCACAGCCAATTGTCGTCGCCGCAGGACCTTACTTCCGCCACTCTGAGCCCGAACACGGCGGACAGCAACCCTGGCATGGTTAGCGATCACGAGGATGACGATCACTCGATATCCGAGGAGGATGCGCCGCAGATTGAGATGCCTGATGTGAGACCACCAATGGAGACTGTCGGCCGCACTTGCGGAGACCAGATGGAACTCGATATTGTCGATGATGTGGAAATGGGTGAACGTGGTGTCATGATTAGGAGGAATAGTATGCCTGGTAACGATTTGCACGGTTTCAGGCCTGCTGGGAGCCCATCGCGGAAGATGGGTGGTAACTAAGAATGAAGACATGGCTTTCTGGAATGTCTGGTGTTACGATATACATGTCGGAAATGGTGTGCGTCGTGTGCTGCGACTTGTGTGTGTGTGATATATATGATAGAGGACTCTTTTGGGGCTCGCTTTGCTGCGTAGCTTTTCAAACCTCGCTCTCAGTCTGGACGGATAGCTAGATGCTTGATGGACGGAAATGAAACAACTCTACCCTCTGCAATTCTGCGATTCCTTTTGTCTTCTCACAATCAGTGAAGTGAGGTTCAATTGATCTTCTCTTTCACATGCTAGCAAAATGCAATGTTGATCCACCGCGTTCTGCTTGCAGTGTCGATCACGCTTGTTGATCTTGGGCGCATCTGCTTGCATCGGACACTTGGTCTGGCGTTTTCGGCTGTCCCGTCCGAAACCGAGCGCCAAGTGTTCTGTTCACTTTCGCCGTCGTCGTACAGACCACGTTCCTACCTTCGTTCGCATCTTCGCGCATGAACAAAACAGCAACAAGAGCTTGACGAGAGCAAAATCGCAAAGATGGTTTCTTGGGGGACGTAAGTCAATGATCCAACTCCCGAAACTAAAGGCGCGCGCAAGTACTGATTCACGTCCTCCAGAATCCAATCCCTCGTCCTCTTCCTCGGACCCCTCATCCTCCCCAAAGCAATAGCCTTCTACCGCAGCATCAAGAACCGGCCCTCCAATGCCTCTTCAATCAAGCCCTTATCCTCCAGCGCTTCAATCGCACTCGGAATCCTCTTCTTATCTGGCCTCGTAGCTTTCCTCTCTACTCTCCCCATCTTCGCTCCAGAGAACATTTTCCGCCTTACACAAAGTCGTCTCCACACTTCTGGCGGAGTTCTGTTAACTCGATTGGGAGCTTTACGACCTGTTACGGAAACTGATCAAAAGCTCCGCGAAGTTTTCGATGCCGGAGGATTGGAGGCGAGGTTATTGTATGTGAGATATGGACCGAATGTTTTGATTGAGAATACATTGGGTCAAGTTGGGGAGATTGATATGGGGAGGAATTTCTTTCTTTATGCGCTGCCGGGACTATTAGGACCGCATCTGGCGCATCTTTTCGCGTTGGGGATCGCGACGAGTGGGACGTGGTGTGGAACGGAGGGAGCGAAATGGAGAACTATTGCTGTGATTTTGGGATTGGTTGTTGCGGTGTTGGAAGTGTATTTTGTGGTGAATTATGATGATGCGAGGAATTTGAGGAGTGTGAGGTTTAATGATGTGGATTTTTTGTTTTGGAAGATGAGGGTTTGGAGGGGGATTGGGGTTGCGGCGGTTGATGCTGGGTTGGGGTGGTGTGTTTGGGCGCAGGCTACGGGGAGGGCGTGGGATGGTGTGGGGTCGGCGGGGGAGAGGTTGAGGGATCAGGTGAAGGTTTTGGAGGGGACGCTGTTTAAGGCGAGGGGGGTGGGGGTTATTAGGAATGGGGTTGTGAGGGATGCGGGGTTGAGGAGGAGGGTGGATGATTATTGGATGAAGGAAGGGGAGGTGATGAAGGATGTTATTGAGCAGCCGGAGGTGTTGGAGGCGCAGAGGAATGCGTTGAAGAGGATGAATGCTGCGGGCACGGCGCAGGAGGCGGAAGCATTTATTAATGTTCTGCTTGATGGCCCGTCGCCTCCGCAGCTGCCTGTTGGGAGATACTGAAGTTGATAGGTTGTATGAGTAGTATGTAACAACTGCTATTTTCGGGTTCAGCTGACTATCGAAAGCAAACGTCCGCACTGCGGCAATCCGTGGACAGGCAATGGTCATACATGTAGTGTCTCATTACTGCTACAAGTCATGTTATCAAGAACAGGCCGAACTACTGAGTTGGCGTGTCTTGGTAGCGCCCGGCCTTTCGGACACATCATGGCGGCGTCGATGTGAGCCCCACCATTCCAGACTTGTCCTACACTGCTTGTCCGGTTTCCCGCACATTGAATCACGGTTCCGGACATTGCAGCCTCATCTCCTGTCTTGACTCCAAACATGGCGTTGTGGCTGCTGACGCGCCCAGATGCAAGCCACCCTCTGGAGAAGTGTTCAGGCCGAACGGAGTGCTCACGTGGAACACTATGGAATTGTCTGATTTGGAGTGTGCAAGACCTCGTGTTCTGTCCACTCCACGAGGGCATGGTGACACTGGCTTGAGCAACGGACGTCCGACAATCCACTGCAGTTTGGTCGTATTCGTGCTTGGCGGTGTGCAATACGCCAAGAATGGCCGCGCTCACGGACGAAGCGAATGCCAGGAATTGTGCTTCTTCACGGGAACCGGCTCGCAGCCTGGTAATTCAGGCAGTGCATTTTGTGTCTCCGGAATGTGTATGAGTGATTGCCTCGTTTTGTTTTCTGCGCTGTAGTACCGAGTCCTAGGCGCAGGAGCCGCCGCAGTTTCCGCAATGCTATAGAGCGAATTGGAGATGGTAGGATCTGTTGTTGATCTTCGTGAAATGGTAGGGCGTGGGAGCCCTGGTAATGGCGAGATTTGTCGAACTTCGGGAGTGCAGGGTAGTGGAGATACTTGTCGAGCGGGAGGTGGGTATTGCACAGGTGACAAGCGTCGGGAACTGCTCCCACTAGAAAGAGACAGCGGGGAGACTTTCCGGGATGGGACGTCCAGGGTGGTGGGAGATGGCGGCAACCAGCCATTCAGCGGGGGAGTGGTGCTGCTTCCGGGAACAAGACTTGAAGGCAGGGGTGGAACTTCTGGGATTTGGGGCACCGAAGATGTGGGTGGAGTGTATGCCTGGTATTGTGCATTGTTTTGATTGCCATTGCAGCCTCCGTTGTTGTTGGTGATCGTTGATGTTCTGGAGAGGCTGGCAGTATTCGCGACCGTCGTGCTTGGGGAAAGTGGCGATATGACTTGGCTTTCCGTAGATGAGGAGCGAGTGCGTGTTGCAGGCTTGATCGATTTCAATGTCGGGGAGTGACCCATCTGCGGACGATGCGAAGGCACTTCTTGCACGGGAGGGTCTCGTTGTTTTTCAAGGTCTTCATCGCTGACAACCTTGATTGTTGGTGGGAGAAAGAACATCTGAGTGCCCAGACTCTTGTCGATGTTCCGTCGGCGTCGCTTGCGAACGAGATAGACAATTGCCAGAACGATAAGTGAAGCTACGGCTACAGAGCCAGTAGCAATGCCGACCACAACTCCATACTCCATGTTCGCAGCTGTACAGCGATAAGCGTGCAGAAACGAGGATTGCTGCGACTGTTACACGAGGATGCTGGAGGGGTGAAGAAAAGAACCAGGAAACCCAACAACCTACTGATAAGACTCCTACGGCTCCTTCATATGCACTGACTGCTGCGCCGACGCTCCATGTGTTGGTTCGCATGGCGACGCAGTGGTGGTTCACGAGGCCGTGAAGGGCGCCGATGCTGGGCTGAGAGGCGTCCAAAAGGCCATGATCAACAGCGCCTCCTCTCACGTGCTTCCGCCTCACAATACATCTGTTTATAGCATGCAAGTGAAGATCGGAGGAAGAGGAGGATGGGGATGGCGGAGGCTGAGCCAAGCACGAAGGTTCGCGCGGTGGTCTGTTCGGGATGTGCCGTTGCTGGTCTTGGCGGTGCGCTTCAGGACTTTTTCCGATCCAAGATGAAGTGACCTGCAGCACGACATCATTACCTGGCACAGCCAACGGCCCTGCCACACCGACACCAGGCTGCGCGACGATGGACGACGACTTGTTCGACGTGTTCGAGGACAAGCCTCAGGCGGCCAACACCAAAAAGGCCGGCAAGAAGAGGTCACTGAATGGTGATGTCAAGCAGAATGGCGGCGACACGAACATGACCGACGCTTCGAGTGTGTCTCCAGCAGCAGTCGGTTCGAAGACCGACGCGAGAGACTTCGCTGGAGACGCCAATGGCGACACGCCGCAAGGAGACGACACCGATGCCCGCGGGCAGAAGCGACCACGATTGGAGGACGAACCAGAGCCGGTCGTGACAGATGAGTTCGAGACAGAACAGCAGCGCGAGGTCGCGGCGGCGGCAGGGTTACAGGCACAACAAGAGGGCAGTGCCGTGACGATCAAGCATCAAGTGCGCCATCAAGTGTCCCTGCCGCCGGACTGCGAATATGTGCCCATTTCACAACACAAGCGGCCAGAGAATCCGGCGCGCGTTTGGCCCTTCGCCCTCGATCCTTTCCAGGAGGTCTCGATTGCATCCATCGAGCGAAACGAGAGTGTATTGGTCTCGGCACACACTTCAGCAGGAAAGACTGTGGTGGCAGAATATGCGATCGCGCAATGCCTGAAGAACAACCAGCGTGTCATCTACACGAGTCCCATCAAGGCGCTCAGCAACCAGAAGTACCGTGAATTCCAGGCGGAGTTCGGCGATTGTGGGTTGATGACCGGAGATGTCACCATCAACCCTACAGCGACCTGCTTGGTCATGACGACTGAGATTTTGCGATCTATGCTGTACCGCGGCAGCGAGATCATGCGCGAGGTCGCGTGGGTGGTCTTTGACGAGGTACACTACATGAGAGACAAGACACGAGGTGTTGTGTGGGAAGAGACAATCATCCTGCTTCCCGACAAGGTTCGCTACGTCTTCCTGTCCGCCACTATCCCCAACGCCATGCAGTTCGCCGAGTGGATCACCAAGACGCATAATCAACCATGCCACGTGGTGTACACCGACTTCCGACCTACGCCTCTTCAACACTACTTCTTCCCAGCTGGTGCCGACGGCATTCATCTGATTGTCGATGAGAAGGCTGTGTTCAAGGAGGAGAACTTCAACAAGGCTATGGCCGCCATCGCAGAGAAAGCCGGCGACGATGGGTCCGATCCAATGGCGAAGCGCAAAGGCAAGGGCAAAGACAAGAAGACGAATAAGGGAGGCCGCAAAGATGGTCCGACTGACATCTACAAGATCGTCAAGATGATCATGATGAAGAACTACAATCCCGTCATCGTCTTTTCCTTCTCGAAGCGCGAGTGCGAGAACTATGCTCTGCAAATGTCTCAACTGGCGTTCAACGACGAATCTGAAAAGGCGATGGTGTCGAAAGTCTTTGACTCGGCCATCGAGATGTTGTCAGAGGAAGACAAGCAGCTTCCGCAGATTCAGCACATTCTGCCACTTCTCCGTCGTGGTATTGGTATTCACCACTCAGGTCTGCTGCCCATCCTCAAGGAGACCATCGAGATTCTGTTCCAGGAAGGCCTGATCAAGGTCCTGTTTGCGACAGAAACCTTCTCCATTGGTCTCAACATGCCTGCCAAGACAGTCGTGTTCACGTCTGTGCGCAAGTTTGACGGGATTACGCAGCGATGGGTGACACCTTCGGAGTTCATTCAAATGTCTGGCCGTGCTGGTCGTCGTGGTCTTGATGAGCGTGGTATTGTGATCATGATGATCGACGAAAAGATGGACCCACCAGTCGCCAAAGAGATCGTCAAGGGCGAACAAGATAAGCTCAACTCGGCATTCCATCTTGGTTACAACATGATTCTCAATCTGATGCGTGTCGAAGGAATCAGTCCGGAATTCATGTTGGAGCGCTGCTTCTTCCAATTCCAGAATGCAGCATCTGTCTCCGGCCTTGAGAAGCAACTCATTGAGCTTGAGCAGAAGCGTGCAGATGTGATCATCGAGGACGAGCCACAGGTGAAGGAATACTACGATCTCAGGCAGAATCTGGACACTTATTCTGCTGAAATGAAGCAGGTTATTACCCATCCGCAATATCTGTGCAAGTTCTTGCAATCCGGTCGCCTGGTTAAGGTGAAATACAAGAACTACGACTTTGGCTGGGGCGCGGTCGTTAATTTCGTCCGCGTCAAGCCAGGCCGAGGTCAGAACGAAGACGACGTTCAAGCTGGGCAGTCTGTGATCGTCGACGTGCTTCTCAACGTTGCTGCAGACAGTACCTCAGTCCCTTCAAGCCAGCTCAAGGACGATTTGCCACCTGGAGTCCGGCCTTGCGCACCTGGCGAGAAGGGCAAGATGGAAGTCGTACCAGTTATGAACGGCATCATCGACAGCGTGGGTCATCTTCGCGTGTTTCTGCCCAATGATCTTAGAACAACCGAACAACGAAACACCGTACGAAAGGCCCTCGAGGAAGTGGCTCGCCGCTTTCCAGATGGCGTCGCGATTCTCGACCCGATCGAGAATATGGGCATCAACGATGATGGCTTCAAAAAGCTACTGCGCAAGATCGAGGTGCTCGAGCACAAGCTGCTCTCGCATCCGCTTCACAAGAGCGAGAGACTGGACGAACTCTACGACCAGTACGCGTCCAAGATCGCTATTACGAATGAGATCAAAGAGGCGCGAAAGAAGATGTCGGATGCGATGGCTGTTCTTCAGCTCGACGAGTTGAAGAACCGCAAGCGCGTGCTTCGTCGTCTGGGCTTCACCAACGATGCCGATGTCGTTCAGCTGAAGGCCCGTGTCGCTTGCGAGATCTCCACTGGCGATGAGTTGGTGCTTTCCGAGCTGCTTTTCAATCGTTTCTTCAACGAGCTCACGCCAGAGCAATGCGCAGCCACACTTTCAGCATTCATCTTCGAGGAGAAGAGTGATGAGGCCCCAGCACTCAAGGAGGAGCTGGCCAAGGCTTACAGAGAAATCCAGGCACAAGCACGCCAGATCGCCAAGGTCTCGATGGAATGCAAGGTACTAGTGAACGAAGAGGAGTACCTTCAGAGCTTCAAGCACCAGTTAATGGAGGTTGTGCTCTCCTGGTGCAACGGCGCATCTTTCGCCGATATTTGGTGAGTCCTACCTGAGCCCATGCTGTTTCCCGCTAACAATACCTAGCAAAATGACCGATGTCTACGAGGGCTCCCTCATCCGACTTTTCCGCCGCCTCGAAGAACTCCTTCGCCAAATGGCCCAGGCCTCCAAGGTCATGGGCTCCGAGGAACTGGAGAAGAAATTCGAGGGCGCCTTAGGCAAGGTCAGACGCGACATCGTCGCCGCACAGAGTTTGTACTTGTAGAATGCGTATCGGACATACAGGACACTTCAGGACGAGACCACCGGGACTGGATATGGGAAAGAGGCGTTCAACAAAATTGTAGCATGTAGTATTCGAACGATTGCTATCGCCGCGAAAGGCTTTAGCCATGCCGGGCCTGACCTTCGTGCCGGAGAGATTGCTGTGAGCCTTTCGGGGCTTGGTGCGATGCGATCTCGACGATGGTGCCGAGGAGGCTGGCGGGACCTTAGACTGATCTTTGTCTCTTTCGACTTCTGGACGGCCGCAGGCAAATGGTGACATCTTGTATCGAGAGGGCTAACGCGCGGCAGATTCTCCCTTGCCGCATTTGGCGTTCAAATCTACTGGCTTTGCGCATGCTATACGCGCCGTTCGGTTCCAAAAGATACCACACGCAAAATCGATCAGTCGCTGCTGATTCCGAATCAAGCTAGCTCATGCAAGTTGATCCTGCATAGTAAGTTTGACTTTATTTTGCCGCACATACACAGCCTCGCTTGTCCTCTTTAGGCTTGCGCGAACAGTGGCATCTCTGTCTGGGCACTTGGAACCATGAACGAAAGACATCAGCCAAGAAGCCTTCGCCCTCGTGACTGCACCAGCAAAACAAAATCATGAGTACGCTCAACATTTGAACTTCAACACCACGCCTCGCATGATCACGGAGCAACGATATCTCAGACTTGCCCACTAGACCGGACATGTCAGCCACGAATAGATGTACGGGGCTGGTGGGCCTCAATATGAACATCGCAAGCTGATACGAAGAGTGGCATCATGCCCGAGTTCGACATCTGCAGATCCAGCAGACGGGATTCGTCCAGCATGGCTGGATGAGGTCACGATGCCATTGTGCGGCTTCAATTCACAAATCGAAATCCCTCTTTCGAATCTGTCTAGTACGTATCAGCAGTTCTCAACAAAGCCCCAGCGGAATCGTGGAACATGACCTGACAAGACCCTTCAGGCTGCTGCGTTGAAAACACAATCCAAGAGTCAAATGGCTGCTGGATCTATTGTCAGCCTGCAACCACCCCATTTGCTGGCTGCGTTAGCGACTACACGAATTTGACGACGCCTCTTGGCATTGGGTGTAATGAAGCGTTCAGCTCTGGTGCTGCAGTGGGCAAGGCGTATAATATGGGACCGGGTTATGGCCTTGGACTACTACTGTTATACTGTTATGGTGTTACTCGTGGTAGTGTCATGCAAATTCACAGAACTGCGGCCACAAAACAAGTGTCAGCTGTAAGGCAGGGTTTCCGCACAACTAGGAGCAGCAGGCGCGATAAATCGAAGGTATCTACATTGCAGGCACAAGATGAATCGAGTGTCACATTCATTCGTATCTAATGCGTTCGCAATACTGAGGGGGAATTTGTGCCAGAACAATATATTCGTGCTCTCGAGGGTCCAGGGTGAGCCCGAATGCCGCTATGATGCTATTCCGTTCCCATATCTTTACTGCAGGGTCATCCGCCAGTGCTTTACCATTTATCTCCCACAACGTCACACCTTCTTTCTGTTCACGTTGCCATTGCTGGCAAAGTCGTTGCGCAAAGGCCTTGTTCGACGTCAAAGATAGAAAAGGGCTAGGGTCTGGGTGGCCCCACACGAAGTGATTCTCGACACGGATCTGGAAGTTGGCGGTGGTCGTAGGTATCGCCCAGCCTAAATCTGTGGGTACGACTGGATCTCCTCCAAAAATCGAACCACGAGCGCGTAAGCCACTCAGATTGTGGCCGGCGTGAGCTGCCCTCCACAGCTTTGGTGGAGCGCTCTCCTTTGTGACATATGTAAGTGTTGTGGTTCCCAGTAACGGTCGTCCCAAGTCTCCCCTCCGCGCGACGGGCTGGAAATGATTGTAGTCCGAATCTCCACCTATCCGGTGACGTTTCAGTGACAGCAGGCACCAGAGCAATGTCGGAGGAGGAAGGCACCCAGATGCCATCGTCGTAAATTGCTTGCATCTGCTGGGAGCACAGGTAATATCGAGTCGGCGAAGTTAGCACTTGCTCGTGGGGAAACAGGGCGTCTGGACGCGGTGCTGGCGAGCCCATGTTGCAGTAGATGTGTGGCTTAGAAAGCCTGTGGTGGAAGTGCGACGCTGTGACGCCAACACCAGATGACAATGCGATGCACTAGGTGTTCAACAGAGCAACAGATGCCAACACGTTCCGGAGCTGAAAGACCCATGTACGCAGCAGCACGTGAGACGTGCGAGAGGTGCAACCTCAAGCTTGCTGACACTGGCTTCAGCTCAGCGACAAGTGCATATATAGTATGACATCGAAAGCACAATCGTATCGAGGTGCACCTCCAAAACCGCGAATCTGCCCAACTTGTGGACGCGATGCCTTGCACTGCACCAACTTGCCAATTGTATTAGTACTATAACAACCCGAACTTGACGACGCCTCTTGCTATTGGATGTAATAAAGCGTTCAGCTCTGTGTATCAGGCAAGATGTACAGCATAGGTGCGGGTTATAGCCTCGAGCTGTTCTTGGTGTGTTATCCGAAGTAGTGCAATGCGCAAAGCGCAAGATTGATAGTGAAATCTGGACGAAACGCTCTTCACAGAACAGCTCCACTGCGGCATATGTCGAGGTTTGGTCATGTGAAGTCAGCGCAGAGTGTGCGTGCTCGGGACTCGCGAGAGACAGGCAGGACTGACGATCGAGGTACTGGCGGGTTCGCAACATGTCTCTCGCCCTCCGAAATCACTTTCTAAAGAACCTGCCATACCTCAACGATTTCCAGCGGCAGCAAAGCATGCAGTGACTAAAGAAAGAGAGCTCTCCATGGGCACGTTGTGTGGGGTGTGTTTTGAGTCGGCACTCGATGCGACGGAAGCGCTGCCGAAGTGTTGGCCTCCATCAGCGAAAAGCTGGAGCTAGTTAGAACCTTGTCAAAGCAGCCATCTTGCTCTACCACTGGAAACCCATTATTAGACTCCAGAGGATGCACTACAGTACCTGCACAACAATTGGTTGCTGAAACGATTGGTGATCATTGGTCACCGTCATCCTTCGCAAGACCTTCCAGATCTGGTAGGCTAGTCTTCGACATGTGAACTTGAGAATGCCTTGACCAAAGAGGTTTAGCGTGTCTCTCAGCCAATCAGTGAGAATGTCAAAGAAAGTCCGACGAAAAGTTGCGCTCCAACAATGAGCCAATCACATTGGTCTGCTTGAGGGGCGCCAAGAAATGTCTAACTCACGCCAGACGCGACCATTCCAGTGCAAGGCGTAGAATTACATCGCCGCAAAACACCGGACACAACACAGCAACACAACACAGCCATGAGAAATATTGAGCGACAAACGCCGGTCTTTTGACTGACAGATTGGGCTGTTCCCAACATCGGCTGAACGAGGCAATTGGCGCGGTGTCATCATGCGCAGCTCCGCTCGTGTTCGAATTAGGAACAGACAGATTGTAGCAGAAGCTGTGTTCAAGCGACGAGCCGATAAACTACGCTTGCTGATATTGTCACAGCTCTGAGAGTCTTGAGTTTCTTTTGGCTCGTTGTCGAAGCAGCAATCTTGCTCGACAACGAGTGAGGGAAGGCAGACGAGGCGCTGCAGTGGTTGCTTTGCTGCGCGAAGACTCCCGAGTCTTCCACTTTCGAACGACGTAAGGCACTTGTGGTTGCCTTGCTGCATAAATATTCTGCTCCGCGGCCTCGCCACATTTTCGTGCCCACGGTCCTTGGACTCTGCACCATTGAGATTGTTGCACCAACGATTTAGAGCGTAAGAAAACGTCGCTAGTTAGCTCGAAAAATGGCCAACGCGGCACGACTTGACCGTCGCATTGCTAGAGGCCGTGTGTGCACTCAGAGTAGATCTTCACAGTATCGTCAGCACCCGAAGTTGTGAGATTCTGATTTCTGTCCGCCTTTGTGGGGACGGACATGCCACGCTCTGTTAACCTACCTCTTTTGAGACCGCTGTCTTGCCTTACCTTCCAACTCGGCTGCTAGGTTTGTAATTGGGCAGAATCATCTTGGAGCCTCGAACGACGTCGTAGCTTGTCGCGTGCGTGCTTGGCCACTGTCTGCGCGTTGAGATCTGAATATGCACGCCAAGGTACCGCAAGCACAGCCGAGGGTGGAAGGCAAGCGAGATGGTGTCCTTCTCCTCTATTGGCTCGTTCCCAAAGTACGAAGCGTTCTCCGGCTTATGATGAGAACCGCCAGTGATCTGTAGCGAGACTGCGGCTGTTAGTTTCCTCTTTCAAACATACGGAGTATATTTTGCAGCGAACCATCGACGAAATCGCGCAGAGCTATGCACGTGTACTTTGAGACACAGGATTTGCCGGGTAACTCAAACTTCGACAGCAAATGTTGATAGCACGACTGCTGGAACCGTAAATGATGCGTTGGCTGCTTCTAGATTCCTGGCCTGTCACCGGTCCTTGGGCTGGGAAAAGAAGGCGATGAAACTGGGATCGTGACAGGCTCACAGCCCCAACGCCCAGCGCTTGGCCCAGGGCATAAATATTTTCAAGTTGGAACCACGCAGTTGTGCCCGCAATCTATTGGAAATATCTGAAAGGCGTTGGAAGTGTATCTTCAGATCGCCCTCTCATTGGAAAATGTGCGTTCATTTCCACTGCAAATGGATCGTCCGTGTCCCTCTATGCCACTTTTCGTGATCGTCGCGTACATATTGCCCGGTGAAGCATGCACCACACACCGAGCACGAGAAAGGCCTCTCGTCGTTATGAGTGGCAAGGTGCAACTGGAGATCGTATGTACGCGTGAAGACCTTAGAACACAGTTCGCATTGCAATATCGTTCGTGCTCGCGATGTGTCTCCAGATTGCGAGTCTTCTCTCGATCTAGCCGGGGCTTGTACAATCTCCACCGGTCGAGGCACATCCGATCTTAAAGTTGCGAGGTCCTTGAAATCGATTTGCTCGAGTGGGAAGGTATCGTCTGTCGCCATCTGGCCGTGAACCACATCTAGATGGCGCGAGAGTTCTTTCGCAGTGGGGAAGCCAAGGGTTGCATGCAGACATGAGCGATGTGGACAGAGGTGGGATCGCTCGTGCTTGTCGACATGCAATTGCCGATCCTCAGCCCGACTGAAACCCTCGGAGAACCACTTGCAGTAGATGCGCGGACACTTGAACAGACTCGAGCCGTACAAGTGCTCAAGCTGTTCGGTTTGAGGCAAGCGTTCCAAGATATTGCGTATGCGCACCGTTGTCTCAAACAAAGTCAGAGTCTCGACTGCACTATGATCAGTCAAATTGGTCGTCATGAGACTGTGCATGGATGACATTGTGTCCCTGACCCTGTCACAGACATCAAGGTTGGCAATGCTGTCGTACAGCTGTGTGATCCGTTTGGTCGGTTTCGTGCGTTTTCGTGGGTCCTTCCAATGATGGTCAAAAAGCGCTTCGAGGGTCTGTACAAGTGAGCCAGGTAGGCCCTTCCCTCGACTTGCGTCGATCGCGTGTTCTAGATGTGTGGTCCAGCAAGCCATTGCATATTCCAAGAAGCCATAGGTGCCCGCCACCGCATCTGCGTATGCCTGAGATTCAGCGCGTTGTGCAGAAAACAATGGAAGGGCGAGATAGCCAAGACAGAGCTCGGTCATTCTGTGATGCTCGACATCTCGATCCACGTAGCCTTGATCGAGCAAATATCTGCACGAATCAATCAGTAAGCCTCTGCATTGTGTTGTTGTAGCGAATGTCTTACTGCTTAGCACTGTGGTGAACAAAATCGATATCACCGTTAGGCGACTCTTCCAGCAGGGCACCACAGAGTTTTATCAGAGTGACTCTCAGGCATTTCCTTTCCAAATCCACAACTCCCGTCTGGTTATCAATCGAGATTGCGACTTGAATCTCGCGCCACTTGAGGGGTCTGATCGCGCAAGCTACCCAAGACAACAGTCGATGAGCATAACGTTGTGACGGCAGCTTTCCATGCCCTAAGACCCTCCGGGCGACACGGGCGTATCTGCAGCATAGTCAGTTGGGACGACTTGCCAGCGGAACGACTTCAAGACACTCACGCATCACCAATCTCAGCGGGAAAACTATTCAGTTCTGCAAAAAGATCCGCCTGGCTTACCTGCTCGTAAAGATTGTTCATGACTATGTTAGCGAACAAGAACATGCTTTGCGCACGATCTGCTGTCTCTGTCACAAGCCGCCGTGTGTCTTGTCGACTCAGCTTGAACTTGCTTTGAATCTTCTCTCCCCACGACGTGCAGGATGCGCGGATGTCAGCATTGTGAGCTTCACCATATATGCGTATGGCTGGTACGGTCGCAAAGAGCGGTCGTGTGGACGCATCATCTTGGCTGAACATGATGCAACGGCAAGAATTCGGTCCAGATCTGAATTCCTCGCAATGTCTGATCCAGAATTCCACAATGTGTTTCTGCTCTTTTTCGTGGCACTCATTCACCCCGTCGATAACAGCGCGTACCTTGCCAGTGGCATTTAGACAAGTCGTCAGCACCTCTTTAGCCAGCTTCGTCGTCTTGAGGACATTTTCACCTCGTCTTGTTGCGATCTCAAATAGATATAGCAATAACGTGTCGTCTAGTAATGAGAGTTGATGTAAAAGGGAGCGAGCCATGGCCAGAAAGGTATCCTTTTCCGAGTGATCATGCTTGAAGTAGAAGAAGATCGTCATGACATTTGCAAGGGGCAAAGATTCATCCACGATGAGAGAAGCAAGCACGGATTTTCCTGCATATGATTAGCACCCGCGGTGAGGGTAATGACAATCAGCCTCACCTGCGCCAGGTATAGCATTGACCCATAGCAATGGGGTTTCCTCCGCTTGCGAATCATTCCATCTACGATAACGCGGGTCGTCCAGTATCCATTTCCCACTCTCGGGACAGCATTTTCGCACAGCGTGGCCGTGATCCTGATCTGAACCGGCATCCGGAGCGGAAAGCCAGTTAACCACATGCCCGCGGCGCCTGACCACCTCGTCCGCACCAAGCTTTCTAATCGCTTCCTGTGCTTCCAATCTCGTCTGACTGGCTTGCGCCAAAAGCTGCGCCAGGTACGTGTTGGCTTGCGTTATGTGGCATCGAGACTCATTCAATTCTTGGGCCCGAGCTTGGTCCTGGAGTAGCGCTTTGTACTCTCCTAGGGTTGCAACGGATGCGTTCAATTGCACTTCCAGGTGCATCCAAGTGGCTGAGAATAGTTGCTTCCAGGCTGGACTGGGTCAGCAGATTCAACCAGAGGAATTTCGCGAGCTTCACCTTACTCACCGGGCTTTTTGAAATAGCGCAACGCGAGCCTGTGGAATTCGAAGAAATTGTGAAAGAGATGCCCACCAAGATCCCGCTGCTCGGTTCGATCTTCTGATGAGGCTTGCATGTGAATTGGAGCAGGTGTATTCTCTCCCAACCTCTGATATGCTTTCAGCAGACCATTGAACGCTTCAGGGTACGTATGTGTGGCCTAACCGATGTTGGCGGCTTTGAAGAGCGGACGCGCAAATATGAGTGGACTTACCTCCAACAAGAATTTGACAGAAGCCTGAAATGTTTTAGCAAATGCACTTGATAGCCTCGATGGCGCATTGAACAAACCCACATGTATGCCACTACATTCTGAACGTCAAAACAAGAGTCCACGATTCCTTCATATGCGCTCATCGCGTCTAAGAACACACGGAGCCTGCTCATATCCCGCATTGCCCCTGTGGCCCGCTGTTTTTCTTGAATGATCCAGTGAGACATTCAACATCTTTCCGTCGGTTGACTCGAACTCTTGTATCTATACGCTGGATAGTTCGTTGCGCAAAAGCCGCAAAGACTGCTCGAAGATACATTGACCATTGCCGACCCCTTCTCCGATGCTCTGGTGGCTTCTGGGTAACGGTTGCTGTATGGTTTGACTATGTGCTTCGTCGAGATCAACACTTTGCCCTGTATTTCCGGGAGCATAGTCTTTTTCTTTCATGTAAGATCTTGCCCCATGCGTAGCCTTGGATATTCCGAACTCAACATCGAGGTCGTGGAGAGCAAGCATTGAGGCAAGCATCTCGCAGTACTGGCGATCTTCGTAATTCTGACTTCCTATTCTCGCCGAGATGTCGGATGATTTCCAACGCGAGACGAGACATGTGACAGCCGCCTGCTCGAATACTGAATATTTACTGCAATTGTAGTCAGACCACATCATCGAACGGCCTTCTTCGTCAAGCAATCCAAGGAGAGCATAGACTTTGTCCTTGCGTTCACGACATTGATGGTATCGGAAGGCTGTCAATGCCTCATGGAACGGCAATCCTGAGGAAGGAGGCATGGCATTACCAGCATCGGTTCTTCTCGCAAGCCACTTGACGCGATTATGAATGAGTCGAACTGCCGGCTGCCAGCCGTCGCGGATCTCGCCCTCCTGAGCGCTCTGCTCGGCATAGTTTCTAGGTCTCGCAATCTTCCAGCAGTCCCGCCAGCTAGCATCATGGCTTTCGGGGAGGAGCTGCTGAGTGCTTGGCAGCGACACCAGATCAACGAGAGCGGTCAAGTCAAAAATGAAGTCTCCGCAATGTATATCCACCTTCTTACTGAGCAGCAGCTCTTGGACGATCCAGAGTCTTCGCCAGTAAACCCTGGAACAAAGGAAACTTAGCCCAACAAGTGAAGCCGTGTTCCAGGGACAATTTCGGAGCTCAAGGTCTGCCAATTGGTCGCGAAGCGACGCCATATTCGACTCCTGCTCGTGTGGACAGGAACCTAACCACACGACAGTCCTAGACGCATTCCGGTATATCTCTGACATCAACCCGACTTGATTGCTTCGCTCTTCCACATCCCTCTGGTCCAAACATATGGCATCGATGTAGATCGGTGTCCGAAGATCTGAGGCGGCGTTCGATTGTAGGAAGTCAAAGAGGTTTGTGCGAACAGCGAACTGTTGACTGTGTATCGTGATGCACCGTACATCTTGCCTTGATCGAGCCTCGCCCCAGCAGTACGAAAGTGCGGCATATTCGGTGCTTGGTAAGTCTGAGACGTTGCATAAGTCCAAATCAGCTTCACAAGGTATGGCACTGTTGCTGCGATTTGCGAGGCGCAACAATCGTATCTGTGACTTCGATTCTATCCATGAGGGATGTCGAAAGGTGCGGTTGAGGTGGCGGTCTATGTCGTTCTCTACTGTATCATCGAGATTGCCCGAAGCATGTCGCAGGGAGGTTTGTGGGTCTTCGGCCATACTTCACAGCATGCGAGAAGTGCATTGTTGCGAGGCAGGTGGGGGTTGTGAGAGACCGACACATGGTGCGGCCTCTAGGCAGTGCAGCCTCAGCCGCCAGCCTTGTTGCGGCATCCTCCGACCACCTGCATGGTGTTGGCAGCAGAATTTTGGCGCTCAAGGGCAATGAACATCATGAGTGCCATCGGCGAAGATTGTTTGCAGAGTGATGAGGTTGAGGAGGAGCAGGAACAGGTGGGAGGTGATGGGTACCCAGCCAAGCGGCAGCGGCTCGTCCACCCGCGCGATGTCCCTACCAACTCTGTCCCTACGACATCTACAACTTTGGAACGGGCCGCTTCACTAACTGCGCTGTCATCTACTCAGAAGATACTCGCGTACTATTCCACGGTCCAGACTTCGCACGCAGAGTACAATGCCATTCAGCTCGAGAGAGTTGCTGAGGCCGCAAAAGGTCGTGCTATCGAGACCGGCCATCATGAGCTCGCCGATGCGATCCACGAAATCTACGAGAGAAGTCGATTTGACAAGACGCTTCGGGCTCTACTGAATGCCGTCTTGACACGGAGTGCCACGCCGGCACAAGAGGACTTGTTCCAGAACTATTATCGCATTGACCGGAGCAGTACTCGGGCGCCTGCCGGACACAGGGCCGAGACACATCAGGATCAACATACCACGAATGAAAATCAGAATATAGCGACTCAATCGGCCTCATCTGGCTTCGTTAACAATGAGTCGCTTGTACCAGAAGCAGTGATGAGCACCCAGCTGCCAATCACTGCTTCTACGACCACAAATTTGACAGTGATGGAGACAGATCGACCAGCTCCGATAGGTCCTGTCTGCTTTGGAATGGTAAATCATCAGGCTGCAGAATGTCCCAAGCTAATCGTAACGTAGATTCCGCACGTTGCTTGCAAAATGTTACAGCCATCGCAAAGTCTGACTGCACTGATGACGGAGCCGGCCGAGGATTATCAAAGGTTGAACCTCGTCGTGAAGCGCGGGAGATTGATTGTGGGCAACCAATCTTGTCGAGAATTGGCGAACTTGAACTCCAAGGTTACAAATGTGCTACTTGAGATCCTGCAGGCTGACAGCTTGAAATGTGAGATGTTCGTTGGACGTGACCAATTGACGTCTTGATTGAGAAGAGAGGCAACCAGCGGCAGTTCAGCCTTGCTGTACATCGACGTCAACATCTTGGGTCCCATCGCCGCATGCCAGCGGATAGGAGAGCTGCTATCCAGGAATGATGTATATCTACAAGACCCACGATCCGATGATGCGAGGCAATACTTGAATCCACAAGTGTTGGATCTAGACGTTTCTGAAGATGAGATGTTGCTGCATGAGCTGTTCGTAGAGATGACTGCGAAACGGAGCAAAACAGATCAGGGCAGCGACTGGAATACTGCTTTGGACGGCATGGCACAGCACGCGCTGAATGCTAGTGCGGTAGAAGTTGACAACTCGATTGTCACCACGCTGATATTGCCGTATGTTGTCCTTCTTCATCATTGAGCTACCTGAAAGGTAACGGTTGCTTCCATAGGCATCAGGGAGAAGCCCTCGATTTTATGAGTAAACGCGAGCTGGGTCGAGAATTTCTCGAAGATACCATGCAATATTGGGGCCACGACAGAACTGAGAGCGGCATGCCAGTGTAAGTACAACTGGCAGACACATCATGACCGACGTACTCAGAGATCTTCAGATACCGTCATAGGATCACTGCCGACGAGCGAACACAGCCGCAAGCGGAGCCACAAGGCGGCATTCTAGCTGACGAGATGGGACTTGGAAAGACACTGACCGCAATCTCACTCATTGTCAGTTCCATGGACAGAGGCAAGCACTTTGCAAGTCAGTTATCGACGCACAATAGCCCACGAATGCCAACTTCACTGTTGCGCACTAGAGCGACACTGGTCGCAGTTCCTTCTACCCGTGAGTTGGAAATTCTCTACATGCACCCGTTTCGGGAAGCGCTAAACGTTGGGTAGAACTCATGGACTCGTGGTTCAAGCAATTGCAGCAGTATGTTGGTCATAATGTCTGAACTTCCATCGACTAGCATCAGTAGGCATACGCGCCGCGGCAAGCTCAAAGTGGCCCGGTATCACGGCCACGAAAGGGTGCGCAATTGTGAAGAACTTGTCAACCACGACATTGTGATTACCACTTACGGTACGATCGCAAAGGAGCACAGCAGGCCCAGTCGTCAAGTTCTATACCGCATGCATTTTTTTCGAATTGTACTTGATGAAGGTTTGTCATACGGGCTGTTCGCATTCGTGCCTTGCTCACAATGTATAGCGCACATTATCCGAACACGACAGACTCAAATTTTCACCGCGACTACAAAATTGGCAGCGGTCCACCACTGGTGTCTCACAGGCACGCCAATCTCGAACAAAATTGACGACTTGTATTCTCTTTTGAACTTTTGTCGCGTGCCGTTGCTTGGAGACCTATTGGTCTTCCGCGAACACGTGGCGACTCTATCGAGAAAGAATTTCTGGCGCGGATGCCGTATTTTGAGAGATGCACTACGACCCATCTGCTTGCGTCGGAACAAGGACATCATTGGATTAACTGACCCAGAGGCGGTTGAAATAAGTGTTCAGCTCTCTTCATCCGAGTCGAAGCACTATCGCCAGATCATAGAAGCAGGTAGGAGAGCCATAGATGCAGCTGTGGGCGGGCGTACTGGCAAGTCCACACGGAACGTTATGCTCAGAATATTACTGGAGCTACGAATATTCTGCAGCCAAGGGACTTTCCGACAGGACGGTCTGATATACGCCGAGCAGAAGCTGGATCCGGATGAGCTTTTTACATTGCTGGAAGAAAGCGAGGACGCCTCTTGTGCTTCGTGCCGCGCGGAAATCGCTGGTGTCAATCAAGTCGACGATGAAAGTTCCGGCGTCCTTGGAACTTGCTCTCATGTCCTCTGCGCGACATGCTACAATGAACGGGCTTCAGATGGGACACCAAAAGAGTGTCCTATCTGCAAACAAAGTTTCGAAGCACAAGACAACAATCTGGGCGGCAATACGATAAACACATCAAGTGCAGCAGCGAAGCACTCTTCCAAATTGGACGCATTAGTGCAAAACTTGCTGGTGTCACAAAATGCTCAAGCACCAGAGAAAAGGTACGTCACTGGCATTCGATATTGGTTCTGATTTTGACACACGGATCAAGCATCGTATTTTCATATTGGAGAAAGACCATCGACCTCGCAGCAGACCTCTGCTCTCAGAGCGGTATCCGAGCTGTAGTGGTTCATGGCAAGACACCGCATCACGAGCGAACCAAGATACTGGAACAACTCGGAGAAGATCCAACCATTTCTGCCTTGCTCATGACGATCGGTACTGGTGGCTTAGGGTAAGCTGCTCCAGCATTGATCTACTGAACGCAGCATGTTCTGACTCCACTTAGACTAACAATCAATGCCGCATCACGGGTTTACATCTTGGAGCCGCAATGGAATCCTTCCGTCGAGGATCAGGCCATCGGCCGAGTGGTCCGCTTAGGCCAAGACAAACCCATCACGGTGATCAGATACATTGTCAAGGACAGTGTCGAGCGCGTAAGTAGCGATAGGGAGCATAGGATCATTTCAATACTGACGGTGCGATAGCATATTCAAGGTTATCAGAAGCGTAAGAAAGCACTCGCTGCAAGTGGATTCGGCCATCGCAGTGACCATACCTCGGCCGAAGAGACTGTGCGCTTGAATGTGAGTCTCATATTTGGAAACTTTGTGCCGCCCTCGCTGACACCTTTTCAAGGCGGCATATATCGCTTAGCCTTAGATTGCTGTTCTCTAACGTGACATGAACATTCCCTACTCAAGCTTCCAACCCAGAGCTAACCACGAGAACCGCTGACTGTCTTCTACGATATGATCCAACATGGCCTGGCACCTTCGCTATCCATCACGACCAACACCTTTTCCTGTTGGTGTTTACCAGGCTCATTACTGTAATAACGACGCCAGGCTGCTTTTCGATAACCAATCGAGATCAGCATCTATGCCCGCACGGATATACTCTCGCCCTGTCTTTCGAAAATACTCTGCATCGGCCTCGGTGCAGTCCCAGATCGAGCATGGCATGAGAAATTCCCACATCGACCCTACGAGGATAGTCACCCTGCACAAGAGCGCCGTATCCGCGATGATCTCCCCTGCCTGTTGACGATAGGCAGTCAAGAAGCCTTCCAACAGGCCTCTCTCGCCGCCATATTTTGCTTCAGTCACGATTGCCTCAGCGATCCACATCCGAAGGTCGAAGGCTGGGTCTCCATAACCGGCAATTTCCCAGTCAACTACTGTAATGAGTGGTCGGCTGGTATCGTCGCTTGGCCTCAGAAGCGTATTCATCGGTCGGAAGTCGTATGCTGTCAGAGTGCGAACTTCATCTGGAGCATGAAATGCGGCAGCCGCCCTCTCGATATCCTCTGATGTAAAGCTGGGGTCTTCAGAAAGTCTGGTTCGAAGATGATGTTCCTCCAACTTGAGGACCGAGTCCCTCGTGGTGCTATCCCATTGCTCCTGATCTGGATTCCCGCGACCAGCACGATGCATTACAGCAGCCCATCGACCTATCCGTGATCCAGCATCCCGAGCATCCAAAGTCTGATCTTTGATATATGCAGATCTGAGATCTGTCTCACCGGCCCAGCTCATGATGACCGCTTGATCTGTACTGCTGACGAGGCGTGGGATTTCGACGCTGGGCTCTTCCGCACATACGCGTGCGAGTGTTGCTGAGTTCATTGCTTGAGCCTCATTGGACATCCGATCTGGCGACATCTTTATCCCTGCGACACTTTTGGCAGTGTCATCGCCATATTTCATGATGCATGCCTGAGAGATCGAGCGAAGTGGCAGTGTTGGCCTCGAGCTTGGTCTTTTAGGTGCGAGACCTTCCAGTTTCCAGATGTAAGCAGATGCTCCTCCTTGCAATGGCGTTGCCTTCTTGCATTTTAGGTCGTTCTCGGCGAGATACTCGTGAACCGACTTCTGCCAGGATGGAGGGCGTTCGACCACTTGGGTGGACACTTCAATGCTCCCCATAATTTCTATCCGTGAAAGGTGTTTGAGCAGATGATTAGAATATACCCTGCAGAGGCCACGTTCTGGGGAAGCGGACATATATGATGCCTCTGACTTCGGCCATACTGCATCCAACAGCTTTTCCTACAAGCCAAGCCAGGAATGGTTATCGCAGACTTCGGTTGAGTGCGTGATTGGCACAATGACGAAGTCTTCGAACGGTGGTGCAATAGAAACCGCTTCAAAGGGACTAACACGCCAACGCCCACGCATATCACATGCAAGTGCTCCTCTTGCATCATCGACATCGCACATATCTCCCAGGAGGCGTGCAGACCTGTGTTTGCCTATTTTGGGAAAGTGGTCGTGTGCCTGTGCTGGCAATATGCTGATCCTCCGATCCAAACAGAGCTGTGGAGCGATGGATATACAGAGCAGCGGATCGCGCCTCGCGGCGTTGCTTGATCTGCAGATCTCGGACCACTCACCGACTCTACCAAAGCGCGATGCTGCTGGAAGATTTTGCAGCCGCTTTACAACTCGTCATGCGATCGGCAAAATGACCCCAACTCATGGCCTTTGAGTTCGACTATTTCCCCCGCTGCGTGCAACATTCGCCGCCTCAACATGGAGCGACAGCAATGACTGTATACTGGCGTAAGTGCCGTTGCGGTGCTGCAGCTGCCACAGGCAGGTCTCAGCACTGAGTTTCCGCGGCCATCTCAACTTCGCAGACATGGCCAAATATGCCGAGAACGCTTAACAGTGTTAGCGATTGAATGCCGTCGATCAATGTGCACAATGATGGCGGGATTCTGTTAATGCCCTTTCAAGACAAGCGTTTGCACGACCGCATGCGTCTCATCGGTACGGCCATCGACTCACACTTGTCGATTTTGTCGTTGTTTCAGGCCTGCCATCTCCTCTCAGCGCCATCAACATGTCTAAAGAGGCGGAATCTGACAATGCGCGCAGAGAATCATCTTCAGAAGGTGCCAGCACATATTATGCATCAAGATTCAATGAAAAAGAAGATTACACGCATTCACAAGATGGGGCCGAGCAGCAACAATCAACAAGAGATGTCGAAAAGAACGAGGGAAACGATGGTAATTCAGACGAGCAGGAAGACAGAGATCCGGACCTAGTCACTTGGTCTGATAATGATCCACGCAATCCCCAGAATTGGTCAACAACAAAAGTCTGGTGCAATCTGGGCGTTATATCGTTCTTTCGACTCCTCACGCCTCTCGCATCTTCAATGATGGCGCCTGTCATCACTCTCGTACTCGATGATTTTGGCACGAACAACGAAACGATCGGAAGTTTTGCGGTTTCAATATACATTCTTGGATATGCAACAGGTCCTCTGATACTTGCTCCACTATCTGAGATCTATGGACGATTACCGGTATACCACGCGAACAGTATCTTGTTCACTATTTGGAACCTTGCATGCGCACTCTCGCCCAACATTGGAGCTCTACTTGCATTTCGATTTCTCGGTGGTCTTGCTGGATCTTCACCTGTCACAATCGGCAATGGATCAATTGCGGATTGTGTGCGCAAAGAAAAACGCGGCAAAGTCACCGCGATCTTCACAGCTGGTCCTTTGCTTGGCCCAGTCGTAGGCCCAATAGCCGGTGGCTTTCTAGGTGAAGCTGCAGACTGGCGATGGAATTTCTGGTTGCTTACCATAGTCTCTGCAGTCGGTACCTGCGTCTCATTGTGCCTACAGCAAGAGACTTATGCCCCAGTCTTGCTCGAACGAATTACGAAGAAGCTGAAAGCCGAAACTGGGAATGAGAAGCTACATCACCAGTACTCGAACAACCTCACAAAAGCGGAAATCTTTAAAAGAGCTATCAAACGTCCCCTGGCCATGCTGTTCACTTCGCCAATTGTGTTTCTGACATCGGTGTATGTCGGTCTGGTATACGGCTATACCTATCTGCTATTCACAAGTTTCGAGAGAACCTTCGAAACTGTCTACGGATTCAGTGGTCGTATCGTAGGCCTGACATATCTCGGTTTCGGAGTAGGCTGCGCGATTGGCCTATTTGCCCTCGGAGCACTTTCAGATCGTCTCGTGGTCCATTACTCGAAGGGCACAGAATGGAAGCCAGAGTTCCGACTTCTACCACTTCTTCCCGGCTCTCTGATCGTCCCGATCGGATTAGTATGGTATGGCTGGTCCGCAGAAGCTGGCGCACACTGGATCGTCCCTATTATCGGTACAGCGTGGATAGGTCTAGGAACTCTAGCAATCTTCATGCCTGTTCAGTCGTATCTTATCGATGCATTCACCTTGTACGCATCATCTGCTGCGGCTGCAAACACGATTTTCAGGTCGCTCCTTGGAGCATTCTTGCCATTGGCTGGTCCATCACTCTATGCGGCTCTTGGACAGGGCTGGGGTAACACACTGTTAGCGTTCATAGCTCTGGCTTTCACTCCGATGGCTTGGATTATGTTCAGATATGGCGAAAGGATCAGAAAGAATCATCCGGGGAAAGTCCGCTGAGTTGCAATCTCGCCGTCCGGAATTGCGCAGCACTTCAGGGAAACCCAAGAACGCTACGTCTGCCATAAGCGCTAGCACCTGGCACGATCACTAATCAATGATGATAAGGCCGCAGAAGCGATGCGTATCTATCATCGCCGTCATTAGGAACGTTGCCCATCATGCCGATGCACGCTTACCAAGGCTCGATTCGTGTATAGCTAGATCAAACGACGAAACGAAACGAATGGGAAAGATGCTAGGCATTGGTTGTAAACGGACTGCTCGTTAGCTAAACTCCGGCTATCGGACAACTCGATTGCTACAGCGTATACTGACGCTCTAGTTCTACTTGGCGTTCACTGAGCAACCCCTCAACCAGACTTAGTTACAGGAGCTACACCGGGACAAGACATTAGAAGCTCGTAATCAGTATACTCTCCAAGAGTCCAAGACATGCGAACATTGCAGAAATGAGATATAAAAGCCCTATCCTCTTCAATGTGTCTCAACTCATTCCTTGGTCCTTCGCTAATCCTACTCCCGCCTAAACCAAAACTTCACAAAAAATGTGGTTCACTCTTCTCATCGCTCTGCTCTCCCCATCCATCATTCTTTCTGCTACAGCTCAATGCTCTGAAGCAATCAAAGCCGACTGCGAATCACAGGGCTTAGAATGGAAAGTAGAAGGAGGAGCATGCTCGTGCGGAGTACCTAATAACCCCGGCCTCGGTGCTCGCGCGGATGGCAGAGCCATCGATCTTTCCTGACGGAACACATGTGAGTTTCGTCATGTGTGCAATTCTGCACTCTCCCTAGATACATGCCTTGGATCTGACATCTCGAAGTACTCTAGACAACTTGGGGCTGCGAAGGGAGTCAACAGTCGAGATCAGGAGAGTAACAGAGCTTTGGCATCGAATGTAACCCGCTTGTGCGACTAGAGACGTCCCTATTCTAGAAACCTTCAAAATGCTCTCCGAGTTACACTCGCAACCCTCAAGTCTCCATAATCTCCTACCATCAAAGACAACGAAAAAATTATCCCCAGCCGAGTTCAACAAGCAGCTATAAACTGGCCAATAACCGACCCAAAGTCCGGTGTCGAGGCATAACCAACGGCATTATCATACGCAGTACACACTGCCGTGCGGAGATCGAAAGTGTAAAAATTGCAAAAGTCAAGGTCCGCGCACGTTTGACGGCAGGCATCCACTGAAACCTGGGTGCTCACTCTGGGTGGTGTCCCTCCTGAGCCCACGAAAGTGGCACGGATTCCGCACGTTTGCGTATAACTGAAGCCACCTGTTTAGGGAAGAGGAAGACGTTCGTTAGCGTAAGAATCTCTCGAAACAAGGGAATTGTTTTGCTTACTGTCGCAGAAAGTGCCGCTTGTGCAGCTCAGGCATGGGACCTGTGAGACGGTCGATGTGGAGAGGACGGTGGTGGAGACTTCGGATGTTGTGGCAGTCGTTACTGTCGATATAGTGGTCGTACTGATGATAAATTCCGTGGTGACGGCGGTGACTGATGTAGTCGAAGTCGCCTGTGTCGAGACGGTCGCTGTGACTGAACTTGTTGTCGTGGAGGTCGCAGTGGCTGCAGCAGCAGCGCACGGTGCAGCTTTCGTCACGCAGGAGCAGAAGGTCTTAACTGCAGAAGCTGCCAACTTCTTCAACGCATCAGGAGTTGGACAAGGTGTGGCTCTTGCGGGCTCACGACGGCCAACGGGGACATATCGTCCTGCTAGCTTAGGGCGTTGGATGAGGGTATGGTATTGCAAACCATCGCGAGCTGGCTCGACATCCGGAGTGTCACGCTTGTCCTGCAACAGTGTTAGTCGGTGCTTTCTGTACTAGCAGCGACCTTGGCGAACATTGGTAGTGGAGCAAACTGTTGCAGTTGTAGTGAAGGTGGTCGATGTACTCGTTGAGGTGAAAGTCGTTGTAGTGGTCGTGCCGGTGAAGACGGTAGCTATATGATTGAGATTAGCGGATTCATTTCTGTAATGTGATTTAGGCAACTACTCACAGGTGGAGGTGGATGTTGCGCTTTGCACTGTATCAATCTGCACCGTTGTTGTCTTGGTTGTCGTTCCTCCAGCTGGTCAGCACTCACTCCAGATGGTACTTTCTCAAGCATGCTCACCGGTTGTGGTCGTAGAAGTCGACACTGTTGTGAAGGAGGTCGCTGTTGCGGTTGTCGTCAATGTGGTAGTGCAAGGGACTGCCGGAAACTTGGATGTGCAGAACGATTGCACGGCGGGAAGTTTGGACAGTGGACGCAGAGCCAAATAAGGATTTTTGTTGCACACGTTGTTGCTATTGCCAACGGCAGCAACTAACGAGGCCGGAACGAGGGCTGCGATGAGTTGAGTGTACATTTTGGACGAAGGGAGCAGCAAAGGCAGGCTGACCGTACACTTTGGCTGGATCTGCAGCAATTATCACTGGCGCATATCGAGTTCATGTAGTCTATGAATCGTCAGCTGGGTGCAAGCAAGCCACAAGACGGGCTGTTGGCTTAACAGGATCTAGAACAGCAAGAGCGTGCCGCCGCCACATCATTTACGCTCCGGCTCATGGCGTTGGGATAAGACTCGAGCGAATACTGGAGAGAGTGTGTGAACTGAACACTGTACGAACAATGTAGCCGGCATGCGAATTCTCTTCCAGCTGCGCGTTGTGCTCCAAGTGTTTCCGCCACAGAAAAATGGCCAACATGCGCTGTCGCACTGGAGACTCGCGAATAGTCGAGTGCTATTCAGCCAGCCTCAGTCGCTGCAGGAGCTGTAGTAGAACTTTATTGTGCACTTAGCGTAAAGTGGCGCCGTTCCACGGGTGCTGAGTCCGGTCGTAGAAATGCTGCACTTGGCAACCACCACTCATGTTGCACGACATGTCCTGTTCACGATGAATTGCGTTCTGATGGGGAGAGAACTCTGCGGCCGCTGTAGACTGAATTCGAATCGAGCCCGTGCTGATAATAAACACATGTGCTGTGCTGATGTGCTGCTGGATCTATGCAGGCAGGCCCGTGATACGGCACGTGTTTCGGTCGACCCAGCCGAAAGAGGCAGGCGGCTCATTAGCTTGATGGACCATTCTGGCCAAATGGCGCCGAACTCACAGACAACTTGTCTCCTTTGGAGCAAGCGTTTCGCGTGGGAATAGACGTCCTACTTCCCACATCGGACCAGTGGATACAGCTCGAGGTTTGATCGTGCAGCTGAGGCAAAAGCCTATCCAAAGCATGCCCACTAACGAGTGAAGGCACGTGCGTGAAGGGGGTAGTACTCGTCCATATTGTTCACTACCTTCATTCAACCAACTTCATATACCACTTTCTCAACTACCCCGTCCACTTCCACTTCCACTCAAACCACAACCTCCGTCCTCAAATCAAACATCTCCGGCCTCGTACTCCTAAAACTCTCCCTCTGATCCAACCCCTCCCAAAACTGGGCCAACTCCGGATACTGCCCTTTCCACCCCTTCCTCACTCCAGCAAATTCAATATGTCCCACCGTACAAACAACCGCAATATCCGCAATCGTCATCACATTCCCATCTCCCAACAAATAACCCCCCTCCTTCCCACTCTTCTTCTGCACCAACTCCTCCAAAGCCCTCATCCCCCCATCAATCTTCCTCTCCTGCCTACTCAACCAAAGCTTACTCTGCTTCCCCTTCTCCCTCGCCTTCTCAAAATTCGCAAGAACGAACGCGTCGAGAATTCCTTCGCAGAGGGTTTGGATTTGGCGGGCTTTAAGGTCTGTGTCCAAATCTCCCGTTAAAAGAGAAGGCTTTTTATCTGCGTATTTTTGAATAATGTATTCTTGAATATGAGCGCTATCGTAGACGGGTTCTCTCCCATCATCGAAGAGGAGGATCGGGAGTTTCTCGAGGGGATTGTGTTTGGGGGTTTCGGTCGTGTCGCTGTGCCAGGGGATTTCGTTGCGGATGGTGAAGTGGATGTTTTTTTCGATCATGGCGATGCGGTTCATTCGGGCGAAGGGGGAGGGGGTTGCGCTGATGAGGGTGATTCCTGCCATTGTGGAGTTTTGTGTCTTGGGATCTGGCTGATTGAGGTGTTCTTTCAGCTGTTTGTGCGTTGCATCCTGTTCGCTGGAAGTAAAGACAGGACATCGAAGGTATTATACCTCTCACTTGCTTTTGATTAACTTTGCATACGTCACATTGTTGAAGCTATCACTCCAGAGCTTCAAATACTTCGGCAAAGCGGTAATGTCTTGTTAGAGCTGTATGTAGCTCGTCCCACTCTTGGAAGGAGCATTGGTATTCCAAACTCCTACATTGGTGAGTGACTGAGAATTGCCTGAGAGGCTTGGCAGTCAAGAATCTCATTACTATAGTGCACAAACCTATCAATAAGAACATTACCTTCCTCCGTCAAATGCAGCGAACAACGAATGGGTATAAAACGATATCAGATAGTCAGCAAAACACCTCAATAGTCCGCCTGATGCAAGTTTCGCGTTTCAGTCCTGGCAATGCCTTTGTACATGTCGTGCCTTTCCACGACTCCCGGCTCCTTCGCAGGTCGTAGCACCGTGGTAGGACTTGCAAATGGTGTGTCGATCGCTTTGCCAAATGTCTCCACGATCATAGGTGACTCACTGGCGCCCTCACTTGTGTGCGTCTCCATCTGCGCGAGACGATTTCTGACATCTTCATCAAGCTCCAGTTCAGTGCCGACCGATTTGCTGCGAATACGGCCAAGGTTTGGTCCGACATCAGACATGGAGCGAGGAGGGTCGAGGTTGTCATCTGTTTGTGCAGAGGCCGGGCCACTGATGCTGTGGCTGTGCCCTATGCGATGCTGATCCCTCTTGCCGAATGGTTTGAACAGCTTCAGCAAGCCAGGTTTTTTCTTGGGCTTTTCCTCGCCATTAGCATCATGCCCTGACTTGAGAAACTTGGCTTGCTCTTTGGAGACAATGTAAGAGGAGACGGCAAATTCTCGTGCCTCGCGGCTGATGTTGTCCAGGGCCTGCTGTGTCGCAACCAGGTACTCGGGATAATCAGTTTTGCAAATTTCTTGCAGCATGCGTAGCTTCGATATGTCCTGGGCAGTTCTCGTTCGGTCGGGTATAATATGCCAGCCAAACATTCGAATGTCCATGCGCATGGCTCTGTCCACTTTTTCCTTCACATCAAGCAAGTTGATCAACGAGTCCACCTTTTCTTGTGTGAGGTCAATGAAGTGGCCAAATTTCCCGACATCGGCGAGCATCCAAGGCGTGTAGGTCAGCGAATTGTTCCGCCTTGTATTGATGCGCGCAACATCCTCGGCCACCTCTCGGAGCAGTGCATATTTCTCTCGAAAGCCTTCCAGCCGGTTCATATCCATTGCCTGCTCGAGCACCGGCCCAAACTTTCTCGCCGGTTTCAACCCATACTTGGCCATCATCTCTTCTCGCGTGGTCGCAGCCGAGCGGTCTACGATAGCGCTGAGGGTCTGCTCGATAGGCGTCCTGAACTCGGGATCGTCCAGTCGGGCATCTCGTGCATCGAAGAATGTCGGCTCCTTCAAGTCTGGATATGCCAAGCTAGGGTGTCTGGGAACTTTGCGATCTGTGACAGACGCTGGAGGAGACGCTATGCCCACCACTGTTCCCCATATCAACAGACGAGCCTGCTGTAGTCCCAACCGCGTCAACTGTAGCTGCTCCTCTTTGTCCCACTTCTGGTTCGCATGTATCAACCCAAATGCCTCGACACAGCTACTGAACAAGCTGGCGAGCGCAAAGGCGCCGGTGAGGAGGGCTTCATGTTCGGGGTTCTCTAATTGCTCGACGTGGGCTGATTCGGTCTTGTCGGCAGGCATGGCGGTGCCTGTATGATTGTAGCAGTGGTGGCGTGAGGATGCGGGCGAGTCAGTGCTGTACGTCAGAAATCTCAATGGTGAAGTGACACAGATGGGCGGCGCACGAGGGCTGCAGTGGGTATATAGTAGGGCCGCAGGGCGTCATCGGCGCTTCTCAGTGCGCCATTTAGGAAGTGCGCATACTCAGCAGAGGCATCTTAGCTGTAGATCAGAGGTGCGGCGCGAGGGCAGAGACGGCGATGGTCGACGGGCGCTGCATGACGAGCGGGGGTGGTGGCCAGGTACAATTGGTGTGGCGTTCTAGACCTTGCCAGTCAGAAGCGCTGCTCGCTCTCGCCAATCTGGCCGATATGAGTCCGGCATTGTGGTGAACAGAAATCGTCGTTCTCAGCGCGAAGAAAGCGTGCACATTTTTGCTTCCCAACCAAAGTGAGTGGAGCGCAAACAAAGGAGGCAGTCGGCAAGTGTGGGCTGCTTGCGCCAAGCTCGACGCTGGCGGCCACGCCAACAGTCCCTCGTCCCAGGCAGAGATTCCCAACGAGAAGGAGGGAAAAAGACGTCTTTGTCTGAGGCAGCCCAGCATATATCTGGACTGTATCATGCTTCCCTCAGGCACTCTCACCTGCAGCATCCCGCCGTTCATGCAAACTGTTCATGTTCGCGGACAGTGCATCGGCAATTCCCGCAAGTGAGCCATTGGATCGTTCTTGACTACTGAATGTCAAAGTCAACGGACAACACAGGTAACACAAAGTGTTTACATGGACTTCTACAATGCTTCGATTCTGCCAAGACAAGCCTTGGACAAGTGCTCGTCTTCACCGTCATCGGATCACATCTTATCTACGGCATGATCCGGCGGCATGTGGCTCACCCAACCAGCCAGTGACGTGCTCCATTTCGGGAGCCGAGGCTACGAATCTCGTTCTCTCGACCGTAAGAGCTGTATAAACATCGGCTCATCTATCTGTGCCTTGGCCCTTGGGTATTGCCCTGTCTCGTGCATCGGTAAGGCCGAGGAACTTGCCTTCTCATCATCAGAAGGAATAAATATCTCCATTGCTCTTACCCGCGTGGAAGTCTTTCACTAGATCTTCACTTTTCCTTCACACCATCCATCCATCATGGCTGCAGAAATGCCACAGTGGGTCAAGGACCTGAAGCCGTCCGAGCCGCAGGGAACCGATCTCCTCGCTCAAGAGCGCAACAAGTCCAAGGTCAACAGTGCACAGCTCTCTGTATTCCTTCACGGCAAAGAGGCTCTCGAGCGCAAGAACCGGATATTGAAGGTTCTGCAGGCAGAGCCAGTATTCATCAAGGACAACGACTACTTCGATGGACGCGTGGACAAGTGGGAGAAGGGCCTGGCGAGGTCAAAGAGGTTGACAACAATCGCATTCCAGAACAACTGGAATGATTTGGACAGACGGGTCGCAAACGACTTGATTAGTGAGCCATTGCCGTATGGACTGCACGAGGGCATGTACTTGGTGACGCTCCGCGGGCAAGGCACTCCAGAGCAGCAAGAGAAGTACTTGAAGCCTGCAGAGGCATACAGACACATTGGATGTTATGCGCAGACTGAGCTTGGCCACGGCTCGAACGTGCGTGGGTTGGAGACGACCGCAACATGGAACGCCGATGACAAGACCTTCACCATCCACTCGCCTCATTTGACTGCATCGAAGTGGTGGATCGGCTCTCTCGGACGAACTGCAAACCATGCCTGCGTGATGGCACAGCTCATCATCAATGGCAAGCCATACGGACCTCACCCATTCATTGTCCCAATCAGAGATCTGAAGACACACCAGCTCCTGCCAAACATCTACGCTGGAGACATTGGGCCAAAGGTCGGCTACAACACAATGGACAATGGTTTTCTGCTCTTCAACAAGGTCAAGGTGCCTCACGATGCCATGTTGGCGCGCTTCTCTGCTGTCGATCCTAAGACAAGCAAATACATCCGCCCAGCCTCACCAGCACTCGTGTACGGCACCCTCACATGGGTCCGCAGCACCATTGTCCTCCAATCTGGCAGCACCCTCGCCCGTGGTGTCACCATCGCCACTCGATACCTCGCTGTCCGTCGCCAATTTCAAGATCGCGACGCACCGCAATGGGAGAAGGGCGAGAACCAAACCCTCAACTACACCATGGTGCAGGCCCGTCTCCTCCCTCTTTTGGCCGCCACCTACGCTCTTCACTTCACAGGCAAGGGCATGATGAACCTCTACGAAGCCAACCAAAAGAACATGCAGAAGAAGGTCACCGACCAAAACAGCAAGCGCTCCGCCGGCCCCGAAGAAACCACCCCAGGCTCCGATCTCCTCGCCGACCTCCACGGCACCTCCTGCGGTCTCAAATCCCTCTGCTCCAGCACCGCAGCCGAAGGCCTCGAAGTCTGCCGCCGCGCCATGGGCGGCCACGGCTACTCCGCCTTCGCCGGCGTGGGAAGCTGGTACGCCGACTACCTCCCAACCGTAACCTGGGAAGGCGACAACTACATGTTAACCCAACAAGTCGCCCGCTACCTCCTCAAATCCGCCCGCAGCGTCCTCAAAGGCAACGAACCCAACAACGACACCACCGAAATCCTCTCCTTCTACCTCAAACGCCAAGACACCGGCGCCGCTTTCGATATTCTCGGCAAAGACGACGACATCGTCGCAGCCTTCGCTTGGAGATCCGCATACTTCACCTTCGAAGCCCTTCGCGCCCGAGACGAAGAGAAGAAATCTTGGAATTCTCTTTTGGTCGCATTCTATAACCTCTCCCGCGCCCATTCGCAATACCTCGTCGTGAAGAATTTCTACGAAACTCTCCACCACGCTTCATCATCTTCTTCTTCGGAAACAACCCTCGACCCAGAGACTTTGACTCTCTTGCACAAGCTCTTCCGCCTCTACGCACTCCACACTCTAGTGTCTGAGAGTTCCGAATTCTTCACTTCGGCTGCGTGCACAGTCGCTCAGATCCGTCTTGCACGAACAAAGACTGTTATGCAATTGTTGGAGGAGATTCGACCTCATGCTGTGCGATTGGTCGATGCGTGGGATTTCCCGGATTGGCAGCTCAACAGCTCGCTGGGAAGATATGATGGAAAGGTTTATGAGGATATGTTCCATCGCGCTGCGCAGTTGAATCCATTGAACTCGAAGGTTGTGGATCCTTACCCGGATAGTCCGGTGTTGTATCGCAATGATGACAAGACGCGGTATGCGAATATTTTGAAGGGCGGCATGGCGAAGTTGTAGAGCATGTTGGGAGGAATGAGTGTTCATGAAAGGATGTATTATTGAATCATAGCAAATATACACTGTTTGGCGTTGGTGCTGAGCTGAAGAATAGAGTGAGTTTCATTGAAATACCATCAGACACGTTTCTCATAACGCTATTCCGTGCATATTGGTCCCCCGTGTTTGTCAATCACATAGCGAGCGACTTGGTCAACAGTTCACACTACGCTCTCTGCATGCTGAGAGCACTATCAATGCGGGAGCCGATCATTCGCCACTCCCATCAGTATCCCAGCTGCGCAGCAACGTTGTAGTAGCCACCCTTTCCGCGCTCGGTAGGCATCGCAACATTGGTCATCGTCGCAGTCTCTTGTCCCTTGCTCTTCTCGCCTTGCCAGTAGGCGCGGCAGTAGGGACAAGTCACCGGATGCTTCGCCTTCTCCCACTGCTTGAAGCACTGAGCATGAAGATTGTTGCCACAAGAAGCCTTGCACCAGACGAGATCCTCGCCTTCTTCGAACTCCATGAAGCATATTGGACAGTCTCCATCGGTTGCTTTGCGATTGCCATCCTTCTCGCTCTCTTCGGCAACTTGGGCAGGGAGTGGAGGCGAGTTGGCGAAGATCGCTTTCAACTCCGAGTGCAGAAAGCTGTTGCGATACTGCAAATGGTCTGGAATGCGAAGTACCGTGTGTAGGGCGTACAGAGCATGCTTGCAGTGCTCCTCAGTGCCCTTCCTCTCGAAGATGCTGACCGGGCAGTTGCAGGTGACAATGTGAGAAACACGAACGGTGTAAACGTTTCCCTTGCTGCCAGAGATCAGGAGTGTCTCGACCGGGCAATCGTCGTGATGAGCATGGCAGTCTTGTTCGACATCCCGACTGCGTTCCAGCACGACCATGCGCTCAGTTCGGGCCTTCTCGCGTGCCTTCTGGTACTTGTCCGAGTCCTCATCGATATCACTAGAAAGTGTAAGCAGAAGGAGTGGATCAAGTGGTAGTGTTACGCACGACAGGATCCGAGTCTCTTCTTCGCCCTCCTCCAATCTCGGAATAGCATTGATGCGAGCTTCGCCTCGTCTCTCAGCAGCGTCGGCATGCCAGTCAGGTTTGAAAGCCTTCTCTGGCTTGGGCAGCTCCCAGATCTTTGGCTGCTTGCGCATGCGTCCCGGGATCCTGTGCAATGCCTCCGTCAGCGAAGTGAAGTGGTTGGTTGAGAGCTTTCCCACCACAGACTCACCATTCGATCATTGTGCCAATCGGAGCAGCGCCGTATGGTTGTCGGCCATCATTCTTCGCGCTCTTCTTCTTGCTACTGGTCTTGCGCTTCTTTGGAGGTGGCGAATGTTCCTCGCCGTCTGTAAACGAGGCGTCATGCTGATCAAAAGCAGCGTCGACACCGGAGTGCAACTCATCTCTCTGTTCGTTGAGGACGTCGACGTTGCCGGGCTTCACAAGCGGTCCTCCTTTTCGCTTCTTGCCGCGAGATGGTTGTGCAGCCTCTGCGAGCTCGGTCGCCTGTGCTTGCTCTTCGGCGAGCGTCTTCACTTGTTTGCGAGCTCGACCAGAACGGCGAGGTGCTTCTTCGACTGCCATATTTTCGTGTTGCTGGTTGGGCGAGGAGTTGGAATGGTGGGCTGTGTTGAGAAAGTGAAGTCCTGGCAGGCGCTCAAGGCAGAAGTGCAGTGACCGTTCCTGCCCTTTCCATTCACAACGCGTCTCTCGCGTCAACTCCCGACGAAACGCACCGAAGACAAAACGGCAGGAGCGGAAATGCGATCAAAATTGAAAGTGCTCTACATACTGTTTCGCTGTAGCTGACTCTCTCATGTCTCCAGCCAGTCCAAAAATTCGGGCGTGAAGTACGAGACCACAATCGTTGCGCCCGCTCTCAGAATACCCTCTGTAGCCTCGAATGCCATCGTCTTCAGATCAAACACTCCTGCCTTTGCAGCCGCATGAATCATTGCGTACTCTCCGCTCACATGGTATGCAGCCACTGGCATGTTCTTGCCAATCTCCTTCGCGTCCGAAATGATGTCCAAATATTGTGTCGCCGGCTTCACCATGATGATGTCTGCACCTTCGCTGATATCTCGCTCGATCGCTCTCCGTGCAAGTCCTCGTCCCCCGGGTGGCAATTGGTAGCATTTCCTGTCGCCAAAGCTGGGACATGAGCCCGCGGCATCTCTGAAAGGTCCGTACAGACAGCCGCTGAATTTGGCCGAGTATGACATGAGCACTATTCGGTGCGCAATGCCAGCTTCGATGAGCTTGAGCTTGATTGCTCGGATACGTCCGTCGTTCATATCGGAAGGCGCCACACAATGGGCACCAGCTTCAGCATATGCGATCGCGACGTCTGAGACTCTGTCTACCGAAAGAGCATTGTTGAGGGAGCCGTCCTCGTGCAGGATACCGCAGTGTCCATGAGATGTGTATTCGCAAAGACATACATCCGCAGTAATGAACATTTGCGGGAAGGCCTTCCTGATCAAGCGGATCGCAGAGATTACAGGTCCTTGCGGGTCGTCTGCTGCGGTGCCCAGAGCATCCTTAGCTGTTGGTGCAAGAGGCACACCGAACAGAATCACGCTCTTCAGCCCCTTTGCGACAAGAGGTTGTAGGAATGGCACGACCCTGTTCAGACCCATGCGCTTTTGGTTCGGCAGGCTTGGAATGCCGGTCATCTCATCTGGGTTGTCCGTGATGAAGAGCGGGTAGATGAGCATGCTCTTGGTCAATTGCCGCTCTGCTTGCCATGCTCTTGCCAATGGATGTGAGTAGCCTCCATGAAGCTGGCTGGAAATGTCGCCGCTTATGCTGACACTCGTGGCTGCTGTCGAGGCGTACGATCGTGCTCGAGAGTATGTGGATCGGGTATCCTGCTGGGAGTTGCGAGATATGATTGTGTTGTCCGAATTCGGTCGTTCGCGGCGGGACAGATCGTTGACCAAGTTGGAAAAGGACATAGCGGCGGTTGTCGTGCGAGTGTTATGTTTGATGTGTACTGTGTACTCGGCGAGAGTCAGAGAGGAACTGCCCCTCTTATGCTTGGTCTATTCCAATTGCGCTCGTAGCCGCGGCTGAAGAGGGTCTACGTGGAAGGAGGGACCTGTGAGCAACTTGTATAGGCGAAGTAGTCGGCGGTGTGCGATGGCGACAGAATTTCGAAGGAGCTGAAGCAGTCTGACAGGAAGCAGCTGAGCAATGTTTCCCACTTCCTTACCGCGGCGGTATCGTCGACTTTTGTGGTTCGAGATTGAGGCGAACTGCAGGTCAGATATTCGCGGGCGCCCATTCGTCAACCCTGACGCAATGCCGGTCATCGGAGAAACACTCCGCCGTGCCGCGGTCCTTCCACCACATCTCCGCTGCGCAATTCACTTCCTGCTCTTCATGGACTGCAATAAACCAACGATCTCAAATGCTGGAAAGGCGTCCAGGTCAATGCTCGCGTCGCTCTTTTTCACTCAGTCAACACCCTCTCGCAAGCAGATGAGGCAAATCGAAGAACTGGAGACGCGATGTCAGCTTCAACACTTGACATTCTGGCTGACATCTCTGCGGAACTTCGACTTCATATGCGTAGGCACTTTTTGCTCTGGAGAGCTTGTTGTGCCAAAATGGAGTTGAGACAACTGTCTGCAATTGAGAAACACGAAGACGCTTACTTAATCGGACAGCAAGAGAGACGATGGCAATACGCTTCTAAACTGCGTACAATATGCTTCACACCTTTCACATGCGGGAAAGGAGCATCACATCTTTTTGCACCCAATTCAACTCACCTTGGTGAATATCACATGTCTCAAGCAATTCACTTCTGGCCAAGCCTAAAAGTCTCCAAACTTTCACAAGCAGAAATTGAGGGCCTCGAGCAGGTCGCATTCACTCCGCTTACATCTGACAGCTCTAATAAAACCCTCCCGATAACTCATACGCGTTCTGCTTTTTCAAATTCACCTCTGTGTCAGATGTTTCTCATTATTCACCCCACCAACAAACATAAAACTCAGCAGAACTGGCACTGGTCAACTGGTCAACCTCCGTCATGTCGGACACGCAAGTTGACTCGGAAGCGTTTGCGACAACACTCTCCATCAGCCTAGAGCTCACCGGGAAAAAGGTGAAGACTTTCTGAACGCAGAGCTCTTACTATGCCATTACGGGCAGAAATACTTCGAGTGACCGCCATTCTGTCAACGAGAAAGCACCTAATTTGGGGACGACTCACCACTTCTCTTCTTCTGAGCGCCTTTGAAAGGTCCCAGCAATATCATCTCTGCCAAAGTTCGAGCAGTGGTTCAAAGTTTTCTTATTGCCAGGAACCAGCACCTTTTTGTTACTGACCAACCAGCGTATTCACCCCGTGTCCTATAATTCACATGCCAGCTCGATCATATGGCGATCATATGGATCCAAGATTTCGAAATCACAAGCTTCAATCTACTGCTGCCAAAGATTCGGCCTCTTGTGATTCCACATGACAACTGCCATTCACTTGAGCATAAACCATAAAACCACCCCTATCCGACAGCAAAACCACGGAATCAATTTACCATTCCCGAATGTGAAGCGTTGCGGCTACGATTGGTTGTGGCTTTCAACTCTCCACTCGGGATGAACATCGCGATTTTATGCCATTCCCTTCCACTTCGCCCAGAAGCTCTCACTCATGCATGGACTAAGTGTCTGTGGCAACAAGAATCCAAGAGCCTCGTCGGGAGAGACTCAACATCACTGAGTGATTAAATCACTGTCAGCGGAGACTACACCTCACACATTTTTCTGCCGCGCTCACTTGCCTCCCGAGACGGGTCTCTGCTGCGAGGCACAGCTCCCATTCCAGACAAAGAAAGATGCGGAGCGAGACGGCCAGCAACCAGCAAGAAGTATCGCTCTGGAAACTGGAAACTATGCACGCTCAGGAGCGGCCAGCTTGGCAATGATAAACAAAACGTATTGACCTTGAGAGATAGTCTGCACTTGTTTCGAGTAGCATATTGAATCTCAGAGCGCCTGAGCTTGCATACAGCAAGTGACTTCCCCATCATTTCGTTCGGGAAGAGTTCTAGTACGACTTGCTCCCATTCCGTCGACGAATCTTCTCTGCCCAACAGCCATGAACAAAGCTATTGAGAGCGCAGAATCTCAGCTCGGGCCCCTCCCATGCAAAGCTGAAGCATTCATCCTTCACAGCCTCGTTTCTCCCATTCTACACTCGCGCACCTGCAGTGGGGTATCATATTACACTACACTGTTGAACCGCACACGCACAGTAAGACACTCAACATTGCAAAACTCCTCGCTCAGCTACCCTCAACGAAACGCTAATGTCATTCACGCTCGAACACTGCCCCTTCCTTCCTCCATCTCTTTTCTTCTCTGCTCAGCTTCGCCAACACTCTTGACCCCTTTCTTCCTCTGCCGCTCCTCATACTCGTCTCTCCTCCCTAGAATCCTCTTCACAATATGCTCCGCGTTGACATCTTGGAACTCATGTTCTGGCGTCTCAACAAAAATGCCCAAAGCTTTTGCGTCTCGGTAAGGATCGCCTTCTTTCGCGCTCGGCGGCATGAAAGCGGTGGGCCCATGGTATACTGCATCGGGCCTGCGACTGAAGGGTAGAGATTCCAGAAATCCAACGCTAGGTGTGTACGGAGCCCCAAAGACAACGCCGTGGACATATGTGCATTGCACCACACAAAGCCCTCGCTCGAAAATGTTCATGATTGGGTAGTTCGCTCCGCGGTAGGAGTTAACGATTTCGTCGTCGTGGACTCCTGCAATGACGTACGCGGGTGCGTAGTCGGATCCAGTCAGGTCGATGCGTTGCTGCACAGCGGCTTCGTTGTACCAGCCTCGTATTTGCGCATTTTCTTCTTCCAATCTGATGACAGTCTCCAGAAATGCAATGTGCCCGCTGGAGAACAGATCGAAACCGCCGTCCACGTATACCAATCTCTGCCCCGGCCGCGGAGGTATCCCTGCTACCAAGCTTGTGAAGTTCCCACTTCCAGTCCTGCTGGTATCGGGCGTGAAAGCGTACACGACAACGAACGGGTCTCTCCCATTAGGAGCAGCAGCGTATTCGATGAAGCGTTTCTGCATGTCTTTCCCATGCTGTCTCCTTTCCGCCTCATTCCACTCTGGCCTTCCTTCTTTCCCCTCCACGCAGTCACTCAAATTCTTAATGAAGTGATCTTTCGTCCCATCCAGCATCCTCCCCACAAGATCCGTTGTACTGATACCCGGCGTCCGAGGCACAATCTTCATTCTCCCTGCTCTCTTCACAAAACGATAGCAGTCCTCACCGCTCGCGTCTGACGTGATGTCATCGCCATGCGTGACATATTTGCACCCGTAATGACTGATCCAGGGAATCGAAGTAACGTAAGGAGCGTGCGGAATACATTTTGTGCTGAAGCGGCAGGCGTTCACGGCGGCAGTTCGTTCGGCGAGGGACATGACTGTGGGGCCCTTGTTCGCAAGGATGTCTTCATCGTTGTGCAGGCCCACGAGGAGCTCATCGCCGAAGCGGCGCGATTGCAGCATGACACCTGCATGGCCTGATCAAAGAGAGAGTCCGCTGATCAGCCATGTGTTCTTTTCTTTGCGGTTCTTGTGGAGGATAGGATATCGTGCAGAATTTCATGTAGGCAAGTAGGCAGTAGTACCATGATGGAAGAAGTCAAAGCAGCCGTCAATCCATAACCGATCTTCCTTGATGGGCACGTCTTCTTGTGGAGGAGCGGGCCATTCGCCGGTGTCGGGCACAACGCAGCCTGTTTCGGGATCTCGTTGTGGCATCGTGGTGGAAGGGTGGAATATGTGTACGGAAGAAAGTGACGAAGCCGAAATATTGATCCTATGATGGCGCCATGAAGTGTAGTAGCGTTTCTCGGTCGCGCACGAGAGCAGATAAGGGCGGTCAGGCTGGGAGATATGAAGGGATGGCGTGTGTCTCGGAGGTGGAGTCCTAGCGAAGGGGCCAAAGTCAATGCAATAGTGCAAGTGCCCCGCCATGCGAACAACACATGCAACGCACGGACTCTGGCTGGTCTTGCGTCACAAGCCAACTTTTGAAGTGAAGCACCACCGCCGCGTTACACCAGCTTCATCGACCAAACTTCACCAACACCGACATCGCCTCTCTCCCCCAGCTCTGCCGCGGCGACGGCAACTCCGCCACCATGCCCTCCGTCATCCTCGTCGTCTTCGTCGTGCAGCTCCTACTGTCGCTCATCAGCACAGTGGGAGCCCAAGCCATCAACGACCTCGCCTGGTACATCTTCACCCTCCTCCCGACCCCACAATCCCGCGCCGCCAAAGAGAACCTCAAACTCCGCCGCGAAGTCGTCCAACTCGAGCGCGAACTCCGCGCGACCTCCGCGCAAGACGAATTCGCCAAATGGGCCAAGATCCGCAGACAGCACGATAAAGCGAAAGACAAGTATGAGAAGCAAGGTCCGTACACTCTTTACACACGCCTGCAGCGAACCATCTCGCACTCACAGAATGAAGTTGACTGACTTGATTGGTAATACAGCATCCTCCCTAACCTCCTTCCGCTCAACCTTCATGTCCATCGTCTCCAAACTCCGCTGGGTGGGCACCCAAGGTGTCAACTTCCTGCTCAACACCTACTACTCCAAAACACCCATGTTCTACCTCCCACAAGGCTGGGTACCATATCACGCCGAATGGCTGCTCTCCTTCCCTCGCGCGCCTGTCGGCGGGGTATCTGTGAACGTCTGGGCAATCGCATGCGGGAGCGTGATAGGGATGGTAATGGAATTGGTCGTGGCAGCGTTGGCTTTGAAGAAGGGAGAAGGGAAAGTAGGGGAGAAGGCCAAGATACCGGCGAACACTCCCGCAGGTGTGGGAGGGAGAAAGAAGGAGTTGTGAAAGGACGAAGGACAGACTATGCAAGCGTGCAGCAACAGTCGAAACAGCCAAATCTTGAAAGAAAGGGCACAGTGCACAACGACTCCGATGATGTTTCATGTTCATTCTGCCATTCTCATGAGCCCAATCCCCCAACCCCATAACATCATGACACCAGGACCTCATGAACAACCCACGATGCAAGTTTGCGCATGCATCAAAATTGCCTCTGCTCAGGCGACCAGAAATGAATGTCAATCCCTTCCCCCAGTAAGAAAACCTCGACCCAAAAGAAACCCACTTCAACCAATCACTGCTGTTCCTGAACGACGGCAATTTCCTCATACCACACTCCATGGCTCTCCCAATCCACCTTCCGGACCCGCTCCAGCAAATCCACAATAACAGCAACATGCGGGACGAACTCCGCCATGCCGCTCGAGGCCAACTTTTCAGAAGCTGAGCTTGCAGCCCGGACCCTGTCCGCACTGCTCTCGGCCGAGAGACGAGACAGAATATGGGTCTTGAGTCGCTGGAACAAGACCTTCAAGACCGGATCTGAGAAGCGAACGCTATTGACTTGCTGTGCGCCGCTGGGAATGCTGACTTGAGCCGCCTGCGCAAAGAATTTGTTGATGGTACTTTGCACAGAACGTTTCGTGCTCTCGGGCATGTTGTGCGCCGTCTCAAGCACCGAAAAAGCCTTTTGAGCGGTCGTAGGCTCGTCTGCGTTCGTGCTCTCGTACGGCTCTGCGGAGAGAAGGGTCCACAGTCTATTGGCCTCATTCTTCCACTGGCTTCGGACATCACGCCTAAGGAGGTTCTTGGTGGTGAGAAGAATGGCACCGATCACAGCAATTCTGATGGCTTTCGTGCGAAGCTTCTGCATACGTTCCAGATCCAGGTGCAACGTCTCGGGGCATGCGGTGTCATCGAGCTCATTCGAGGTCAGGGCGAGCTCCACCAGGGCATGCGTGTAGATTTTTTGAGGTGATGGCCGATCGGCCGGATTCCTCATGTTCTCCGGATCTCGTCGATCCGACTCGGCTTCCAGAGCACGGCGCGACTGGTGCCACCATCGCTTCGTGTTCGTGAGAGTGATTTGATGTGCCTCGATATCCCGTCGGAACATGCGTGCTTCGTAGCCAGCGGCTTCTTTCGTTAGCGTGGGAGCCGATTGCATGATCATGAAATTCGTGTAGTCGAGACTCAGACAGTCGACCATCTTCAACAGCTTGAAGAGCTTCTCAATCATGCCATCAAGCTCGTCGTTCTCCGTGCGCAACTCTTCAGCCAGCGTCTTGACTTGCTGATCGCGAAAAGGCGCACAGAGCTTAGGTAGGACATTAGCCATAAAGCCGAAGAATCCAGGGTAGCTGAACACCCCTTGCTGACACTGCCGTTGGATGTTGTCCAGGTCCAGTGCTTCGCAGAGCATCTTATGCATGTTGCTACCAGGCTTAAGCATCCGCAAGAGCTTCTCCTTGATATTCTCTGCGGCAGACACAGTCCATCGCGCTCCATTCCCAGCCTCGAAACCGACCTTCATACTTTCGCAAATGCTGCGGTACATCTGCTCTCGTAATTCGCTATTCTTGTCCTCGAGCTTGTAGTCCTTGTCGATCGCAAGCTCGTGGGTTAGGACTCTGTTGCTCGGCATCGTTGTGAACAGCTTGTTGAGTTCGCCAGAGCCGATGGGGACAGGTGCGAAAGCATCTTCGACCGCTTGCTCAGAAGACACTGCAGCCTCAGAAGAAGGTTCGACACCTCGTGGTCTCACTTCGGCCGCTGGTCGCTTCTTAGGCCTTCTGCGTCGGCTCTCCCTAATGGCCTTCTTGATTAAGAAGTCTGCTCGGTCAGGACCAGCCAGCTTCCGGATTCTACTCAGAAGCATAACCTGATTGTCACGAATGCCTTCACGATAGTCTTTGGCGACCTCGCCTCGAGTATCGTCCTTGACAGTCTGCCAAATTGCGTCAAGCTCGACAAAGGAGGCCACCATGCCTTCGATTAGAACACTAGAATCTTGGAGCCTCCAGGCAGCAAACGCGGAGGTGTAGGTGGTATAGGTCTGATTGAGAGTCTCATGCTGTGTCTCGTTGGCAGTGAAGTTGTTCCACGTATCGAGTCTCGCCACAGAAGCTTCGAAAAGGCTGATCAACTCAGAAGCATTTGCGATTAGGTCCGACTCCTGGGCACCAGTCTTGTTCAGAAGCACTGAAATGGGGTGAGCAACGATCATATACCCGCTCAGGAAAGTTCTGGTGTTCAACGCAGCATTCGCATCGTTTCCGTCCTGCAGGCCAAGGTGCATCAACATGTCAGTCGTGGCCTGGATGACCTGCTGACTGGCCACCAACTCTGTCATCTCTTCAAAGGGCGTATCCTTGGCTCTTGCAGCGGTCAGTCCGAGTTCTCTAAAACGAAGGACAGGCTGCTTCCTCCGGTGCAGGCGCCATGCTCGCTGGATTCGGCTCACGGCTGTCTCGAGATCCAGGAGCAAGACCTCTGCGATTTCCTCAACGATAGCATCCTCCTCCACATCAGCAACCTCCTCCAGCACGGCGAGTTTCTTCTCGGCACTATCCGCACGTCTCGCTCTCCGTGCCTGGATGTTGCGCTGGTACTCTGCCCTCCTTCGTTCAGCCTCAGCGTGCCGCTCCTCCATTTCCAGGCGCAAGCGCGTTTCTTCTGCCAGCTTGCGATCCTTGACCTCCTCTGCGATGCGCTTTGCGCGCGCCACCTCTTCGGCACATTGTGCCGCAACCTTTGCTAGCAACTTCTCTTTGGCGGCTTGCGCGGCGAGGGCGCGTTCCTCACTGCTCGTGCTGTTGCCTCGTGGTGCTGCTTTGGCGAGCGCTGCTCGCAGTCGCACTTGCTCGGCATGGGCAGCTCGGTCGGCCAGGCGCGCCTTCCTCGACTCGATGATTGACGCCCGTCGCAGGTGCTGGGCAATCGTGGTAGACCGGCATCCCGTCGAACTGCGGCGCAACGAGCGGCCTGACGTGTGAGAATGCGCCTGCGACTGGGCTGATGATAGCGAATTCCTCCGAGAAGATGCCGCTGAGGACTTCCGGCGCGTCAGCTGGTTGCGGTAGAAGCGAGCGGCGATGTGAGGTGGAGGAGCGTAGACTTGTCGAGGCTCTTGGTCGGTCTCGGTGTCGTCGGACATGTCGATGTTGGTGTCGGCGGGTATGCGGTCCACGCCGGTGGGGTGCGACATGGTGGTGTCTGCCATCCGGTAGGAATACTGGTCGACGTCGTCGGGTCGTCAGGTCAGCAGGCAGTTGAGTTGAGGAGAGGCAGGGTGGCTGGCACAATGACGCCTTCCAGCTGCGTGATCCTGGCAATCGCTTGCACGAGCTCGTGGAAGCCTGTCGACGGCAGATGACTAAAACCACACTTCTACTGCTTGGTCATCGTGAAACTGCATAGCAACGTGTTGGAGATTGCTGGGTCGGCGCCAGGGCTCAGCATCCGCTTTCACATGTTTCATGCGAACGAAAGCGGCAAGTCTTTATTCCACGCAGATCCCAAGCAGCGCATGCGGCCGAAGCTTTGGACGGCTTTGCGATCTGCGCGGAAACAGGTCCGTTCATATTCATAGACACATACCATGGTCTGTGCCGTCTTGACCACGTGCATGCAACATGGTACGGTGCTGGCTAGAGCAAAATGATTCAATCGTCCCAAGTACCTGCAATTACATCGAAACAGTGGTTCACTTGAGCAGAAGGGGCTGTTCAATTGCCGCTCCAGCCCGCTCACTCCGAGGAAGAACTGCAGTCAGGAATCCGTATTCCCAAATCTAGCATCAAATCATCATTCATAGCTTATCTGTCGTTATCCAAAGCAGCTGTCTCCTTTCTCAAGATCACAGCTCCATCCATTACTCCATATTTATGCACCAGGCAAATGGGTACAACCAGATCCAACAACGTGCCACCTCCACCATGGTCTGTATCAGGCGTGTGTTGCTTTGCTCCCCGCAGTTCTGCAGTCCCTGCTGATAGAGGTTGCTCGGCAACGTCCTAATTCATCTCACGCCGGTTTGTGGCCTAAGGGATTGGCTCGTATCCTCCAGCCTTGTGCTGCTGGCGGTTGCTGAAGATGAAGTAGATGATGGCACCAACGATGGGAAAGAAGAAGACGACAATTGCCCAGAGGAGCTTATGCGAGACGGGGCGACTGGACTGGAAGAGCTCAACTGTGAGATAATTAGCATCTTAATCGTGACAAGCCATGCTGCAGAATGTAGTGGCTACTCACCCCAGATGATGATGTCGATCACCAACACGATGAAGCCGATGATACCACCACCAGTGCCGTATTGCCATGCATCGGTCTTGGTGGCATGAAGCAGCTCGCTGTTCTCAAGTGGTGCGGCGAATGTCAGGGCAGCCAGGCAGAGCTGGAGGAAGGCGTTGAAGAGTGCCATGCTGATAGAAGCTGTGCAGTCGACTGTCTGTTTGCTGTGAGTGCTGTCGTGGCCGCTGCTGCTGTCAGTGTGTGGGTGTGGTGGAAGAGAGTAGGAGGAAGCGTGCAAGGCAGCAGAATATCACGGCAGTGCAGTCAGGTGTGTTTAGCTTGAACTATGGCGCAAGCAAGGCAAGCGAGCTCTCTGGTTTGTCACTTGCTGCATTCGGGGCTGGTGATGCAGCGGGCGTGTCATCGGTCACACGACGACCATCGACCATCGAGCTTGCCGCAACGATGTGGCTCGTGCTCTGCGCTTGCCGTTTCCAGCCGCTCCGCAGAACTTAGCCTCTGCCATTCGAATGGTACAAATGACAAACTCGCACCTACGCATCTGGATGTGTTCCACGACGGGACACAACTTCCAACTTCCCTCCTAACGACACGAGTGATCAAAGCGGCGAGAGCAGTGGGCTATACGATGACCTATCCGCGATAAGAGCTTCGTAGCCGAAGATTGAACACCATGATGCAAGTGAGCTCTGCACATTAGCTATCTCGCGGCGCTAGCAAGACGAATCGATGCGCCGATAGCTGTATGGGGGTTCTTGAAGTGTGGTACCCCAACTCAGTCAGTGGTGAGAGCTTCGAAGGCTGATCGTATCGACATCAAAATTCGGCCATGGCATCGAAAGGAACCACATGCGATCCATACTAGAACCGAACACATACAACTCGACGAGCCGGCGTGAAGGACGGACATGCAAGACACCGGATATAAACAAGTCCACGGGGAACATCTTATTCCATCTCTGCCCATTGCTTCCATATGGCGAGGTCGACGGGATTCGAATGATTGGCCATGTTAAGCTGCCCGTGGACTTGAGCATGCCGATGTATCGCCTCCGCGCCTACAGTCAGTGGATGCCAAGATGCATCACCTTGGCTTCTTTCCGTGCCAACATCTCCTACAAAACCCGTCGAAGCCACTACGTTCAATTGCTGCTGGCTGCTGGTCTGCATCTGCGCAGAGACCTCGAGGTTGTCTCTACACATTCTCCAGACTTGAGCTCTCTGCTTGCAATACGAGATGAACGCGGACAAATCCCTTCCCCGGCAAGCAAGGACGTAACGACTCCGCATGTTATCGGTATACATATCGCAGTAAGCCTCGGCCTGTGTTCCATTCTGGATAGTGAAGGATGCAGCGAAAAAGCTACCACGTCCAATCTCTTCGTAACATGATTCGCAGAAGTAGAAATCGTCCATCCCGTACCACCTTCGGTCTTTCACAGGTGAGGAACCTGGGCACGACGGCAGCAAAGAGACGCGCTTCACGTAACACGCGAAGACATTGGTATCTCCAATGAAATTCATCCTCCGCCATTGTTGCAGGTACTGCCGGGATCGTGAGGCCGTTGGACTGAAGTCGCAAATCCTCTCTGTGCCGACTGGATACCGCTTCCTTCGCAAGACGTGTCCAAGTTCTGTGGCCATAAAGAGCCCAGCATAGCAAGCAACACATACATCGAACTCCTGCACCTCGACGCTTGAGTCGTCTGGATCTGTTAACACGTACCAGTCTACATCAGTAATCGCTCCTGTTGAGCATGCTGGTTCTGCTATCATCTCGATGACAATCTCATGCCACAGGTCCTGTTTCTTCGCAAGCAGTGCGTCGCTGCAAGCCTTGAATGCTGGGAGCTTGAAAGTACATGTGCATTCTGTCTCCGTTTCGAGTGGTAAGGTCTTCACTTCCTCGAAATTCCCGGCAACAGCCAGGCCACCAGCGTAGTTCAAGAAGCAGCTCTCACACACCAGCATCTTTGCAATTCGCTGCGGTCTAGCCGGTCTGAACCATTTCCTCGACCCTCTCCTCACCACCAGACCACTACAAGCAGGCGCCGCAAGGCTTCGTTGACAAGCGCCCACGAAGTCCTGCCACGCGTCTCTCGCCGCATATTGCAGTAGACCTCTCCTGATGAACGGCACGGCCAAATCGCAATTCCACAGATCATCAGCACCATGTTCCGTTCTATCGCGCAGATGGAATCGTTCTGCCCACGGCGTAGCACCAACCCAATCTTCAAAACAAGCCTCACATACCACGAATCCCTCAACTCCTCTCAAGCCCCACCAATTCAAACCTTTTCCGCCTCGCACGCCAGCGTCTCCTTCACACATCGGCATCTCAGATCGCTTCTTCGCAAACGCCAGAAGCTCATCTGCATTTCCAGATCTCAACGTCTTCTGCAAAAGCTGTTTCGCTCGCGCAGTGTTGAAATCGCAATATGATGTCGTGCCTGGGAGTGGATCATCGTAGAATTGCTCACATAGGGTGATTAGAAGCGGGGAAGACGCTATGTGCTCTTCGTAGCATTTGGAGCAAATCCAGAAATTTGGAACGTTGGTGAAGCGGTGCCAGTGGGCGGGGAAGTCTATGCCGTTTGGTGCTGAAGGACAATGGAGGAGTGCAGAAGATGGGAATATGGACATGGTTTGAGGGTTTCATTGAGGCTTGTGTAGAGAGATTTGGGTGCTTAGGTCGAATGTAGAAGCGACGCGAGTGGGGTCATTGGTAGAGCTAGCTGGATGAGCTATTGCGCTATTGGGTGCTTCAGTGACATATAGTGAAATTTGAGCAGCGTTTTTGGTGTATCTCAAAGGCACGAAACGTCTATCTCAACATGATGCTCAAGACCTCGAGGTATTGCGATTCCCTAATAAATGTGCTGCATATCATCATGGTCCCATTCTTTCATCCAATTCGTGTACTCTGCCAATTTGCTCACAACTTGGCCAACACTCCCGCCCTCCGACTCTCATTCGCAAGTCTCTGCGCCACCTTCAAAAACCAAACTCATTAGCATCATACTCACATACACAATCATAGCGAAATCACAGCCATAAACTTACGAAAAACGTCTTCCCTCCCTCCTCAGTTTCAAACGTAACAGTCGAGCCCTTTGGAATATAAATCACATCCCCGGGCCTTCCAACAAATCTTTGACCAGATTGGTCTGAAACAATGAAAGTCCCGGAGAGGACGTATTTGTATTCTGAGAAGCCGAAGGTTGTGGTAGCTTTGCAGCCCTTCTCGAGCGTGAAAAAGCCGGACGTTATTGGGGCTTGGGGGTCTTGTTCGACGCTGAATAGAATGAGGTTAGGATTGTGAACGTTCAAGTTAGCAGTGTGAGAGAAACGGATACCTGGAATGGGTGTCGCCGATTTGGATGTTTTTGTGCTCGTTGTATTGGTGGAGCTTGGCGTAGTCGCCTGCCGCGAAGTGCTTGAGTGTTGGTGCCATTGTGAATTGCCTGATGATGAAGTTGTAAATTGAGAGAGTGACGAGAGAAGCGATGGTCGTTGATTGCTTATCTAGCCATTCTGCACAATGCCTTTTGCGTGCTTGCAAGGGTTTCTAGAAGTTCATAAAGTCCCGGTGTGTAGTCTTTCCTAATTTGGCACTTTAATCCTTTCAAGTTGAGGACGTGTATGGAAGCACTTCAAGTGGTCGCACGGAAGTACTGCTTGATCCTTTACCATGATGCCTTCCGCTGTCGTGGGACAAGATTTGGTTGTATTGTGCAATGTTTTCACGCCCACTTCTGCAGAGAACGAATTGTTCATGTCGGCCGCAAAGCAGCACCTCGCAATGGCAAAATTGAGAAAACGATAAGAACATTACGATGGCATCTCAACGCTGAATTCCGGTAGTTGGGAGTTTGCTGCTGAATAGGTGCTGCAACGTTCGACCACTGACCAAAGACTGGTAGCACAGAGGCTCGAATCTCGCGGGGTATCCGGAGGTTGCCTTTCTGCCTTCGGTCGTCTCTTACCTTGTGCATAAAGCCTTCCAGTCACTTGAGGCAGTGGCAGCGCTCACATTTCCGTGCAGCCAGCAGACATCAAGCACTCACGACCGGCTTGCAGAATTGGGAAGTTCTTGATGACTGACCGCAAATGAAGATGTCTCGAAAAGAACAAGCATTGAATTGACCCGCCAAGCACCGTCCTCGGCTCGCGGCATTTCGCTCCGTTCTGTCCAAGCTCCTCTCCTCTTTCTCCCACTCCGAACTTTCAACATCCATCTGGGGTTCACGTTACATCACCACCGACCATCAATGGACGCACTTCAGCCGCCGGCCGGCAGATCAGCGGTCATTGCTCTTCTCATGCGCGCTTTGTGCTGTTCCACAGCATCCGTCCGTATTGAGGGCGGGGAACCCCGGTAGCGGTCAGGTACATGAAGCCTTTAATGGCCTAGTCCCTGACCCGCGAGATGCCTGAAGTTTGTGCCTCTGGCTCTCTCATGGTTGCTTCCTAGATGGCTTCCCGATACGCCAAACTCGCTGCTCTTGCGAGTGCATTCTTCGCCGCTCATGGACAAGCACAAGTTGACATCTTGTCTTTCGTCGATCCTCTCATAGGAACGACTAATGGCGGCCATGTCTTTCCTGGCGCAACGCTGCCGTTCGGCATGGCAAAAGCTGGAGCAGACGTGAATGTCGAGAATCAAGGCGGATTCAGCACCGGAGACGTGACTGGGAACATAACGGTATGCACATCTCAGCAGTATCTGATGCTTCAAGCGCTGACTACGGGGCGCAGGGATTCTCACACATGCACGATTCGGGCACAGGAGGAGTAAGTGACATCTTCTTTCAACATCTTGCACATTCAAATGATGATAAAACACTTCTTGGAGACCAATTGAAATTTCATGAAACTTACAAGCTGTATCAACATTTCTGATGAACCTCACATCTGCCCACATACCGTGTTCTACTAGTTTGAGATTATCGACTAACAGAGTACAGAGTCCATCATTGGGGAATTTCCCACTCTTCCCACAGGCCGGCTGTCCCGACGATGATGTCAATCAATGCGTATTCCCATACGACTTGCGCTCGGTGCCTCGCATCAATGACTCCGTGGAAGCTCGCCCGGGATACTTTGCTGTTTCTATGCAAACCAACATCCATACTGAAATGACGGCGACGAACCACACAGCTCTGTATCGCTTCAACTTCCCAGAGCAGCCAGTGGAGAGGAATGCCACACTTAGCCCGCTTATACTCGTAGACTTGATCGATCTGCCGCGGTCGAGGATCAACGGATCCATTTCTGTCGATGCCAGCTCAGGACGTATATCTGGAAGTGGAGTTTTCTCTCCCAGCTTCGGGTTTGGCAACTATGAACTGCACTTCTGTGCCGATTTTTCTGGAGCCGACATTCGAGATACTGGAGTCTTCATGAATAACCGTGCTGGCACCGAGCCCAAGAACCTCAGCATTGTGACTGATGGGGTGAACAACTCTCCAGACCTTCTGCCTGCTGGCGCTTGGACAAGATTCGAGACGCCCACCGAGAATCGTCAGATCTTGGCAAGAGTAGGCGTCAGTTTCATCTCCATCAGTCAGGCTTGCCACAACGCAGAAACAGAGATTCCCGATTTTGACTTCAATGCCACTTATGCAGCAGCTCAAGAAGCTTGGCGAGATACGCTTGGAGTCGTCGAGGTAAAGCCTGGTGGAGTCAATGAAAGCTTACAGACTGTGCTCTGGTCCGGGCTGTATCGTGCGTCCATCTCGCCTCAGGATTACACTAATGAGAACCCGTTATGGAACAGCACTGAGCCTTATTACGACTCGTACTACTGCATCTGGGACTCTTTCCGTAGCATCGACACTCTGATCACCATTCTGGATCCGTACAGCCAGATTCAGATGATTCGCAGTCTTATCGATATCTACCGGCAGGAAGGATGGCTTCCGGATTGCCGAATGTCGCTGTGCAAGGGCTTCACTCAAGGAGGGTCCAATGCCGATGTTGTCATCGCGGAATCATACCTGAAATTGGGACAGCTGGCTGCGGACCATGGTGTCGACTGGAAGACCGCGTACGAGGCTGTCGTCAAAGACGCCGAGGAAGAGCCTCAGAACTGGGCGGTGGAAGGCCGTGGCGGTCTCTTGAGTTGGAAGACTCTGAACTACATACCGACCGACGATTATGACCCGTATGGCGTGGGTCCCTTCACACGCAGCATCAGCAGAACTGTCGAATATGCCTATGACGACTACTGCATCGCAGAGATGGCTCGCGGAATGGGCAACACTGCTGATTACGAAAAGTACCTGGCGTCGTCAGAATACTGGCGAAATATGTGGAAGGCCGATCAAAACAGCAGCATCAACGGCACTGACACTGGCTTTGAAGGATTCCTGATGCCGAAGTTCCTCAATGGTACATGGGGTTTTCAAGACCCAATCTTCTGCTCTCTCATCTTGAACTTCACAAGCTGCTATCTCAACCCGGACGGGCATGAGACCTACGAGGGAAGCTCCTGGCTCTATTCGTTCTTCGTGCCACATGACCAAGCTTCCTTGATTGCGACCATGGGTGGCGCTCAGACTTTTGTCAACCGTCTTGACTACCTGCACGAATTCCCCGGTCTGCTGTACATTGGCGACGAGCAGGGCTTCCTTCCTGTCTATCAGTACCACTACGCAGGGCGGCCTGGCAAGAGCGCCGAGAGAGCACACTTCTACATTCCATCACAGTTCAACGACACCATTAATGGAATTCCTGGAAACGACGATAGCGGAGCTATGGGATCTTTCGTGGCACTATCTATGATGGGCATGTTCCCAAATCCTGGGCAAGACGTCTACTTCATCACACCTCCATTCTTCGAAGAGGTCAGCGTTACCAACAAGCTTACCGGCAAGAAGGCCACGATCCGGAACATCAACTTCGACCCAGAGTACCAGAACATCTACGTTCAGAGTGCTACCTTGAATGGTGAGCCCTATACGAAGAACTGGTACTCACACTCGTTCTTCTTGGAGGGCGGCGTGCTGGAACTCACTCTTGGACGAAATGAAAGCACTTGGGGTATGAGGCCTGAAGATCTGCCACCCAGCGTGTCAACTTCAGCAGGTTATGAACGCAACGAGTTCGATTATTTCATGTAATCAAGAGTTCAGAACTGATTGATCATGAAAGCTGCCAAAATCATAATACATCATCATCCCATCATTCATCATTCGTTTCTTCACATCATCTATCGCACCACCCCGTCATTCGCTTTCTTACTCTCCTTCTCTGCCTTCTTCTTCCTCAGCTTCTGAAAGAAACCATTCGGTCCTCCCAGACCAGTCAAACCTCCGCCAGAGCTCTTCCCTTCATTGTCGCCCATTAATTTGTTTGCGGCGCCAGGTTCGCCGCTCTTCAACGCAGCCATGACTTCTGCCGCTTTAACGCGTGCTGCGGCGGCTTGATCAGATGGCATAGCTTGCGCGTCGAGTGTATTGGTATTGGGTGCAAAAGCGAAACCGGAGTCGTTCCAGCTTGAGCCTCCGGAGGCCATGGTGCCTGGTGGGTCTTTGCGATCGGTCATGTTTGTTTTTGGACGCGAAGTATGCCTTTGAGTTGCTAGAGGTAGGTCTTGGTGAGTGCTGAATTTCTGCTAGTCTGCCTTCTGCGAGCTCGATGGCTCAATTCGAAGTCTTTTGTATATATCCCTTTGAGGCCGCTCGTCCACGTGCCTTGTTCGCTTAATCGGTGGCTTGAAGGAAGTTGTGCTGACTACGCAGCATTCGCTTCTGTTTGAGAGAGTAAGAATTGGTACTGTATTTCGCTCTACAAACCATGTCAATGACACCCTCGTCAAAGTATCACTATATAGCATTCCTAGACTGTTGCTTTTCGTGCTATTTTGAGCTCATTGTCAATCTTTCCGCGAGGGAAGAGCGCGATCGGCATGGTGTCACACGCGGCTTGGTTGTTCATGGCTGTGCAGACGTCATGCCGGCTACCACATGAACTGTTCACGCGGCCTCTCGTGTTGTTTTGTGGCATCCTTCAGGATTGCCCATTGGGAGACCATGTTTGATCGATGAGTGTCTGGACCGAGCAGGGCGAAGTTGAGGCAGTGGCCGCACGGCCAAGACTGTTTTGGTAGGCGGGACCCCGGCTCCTGGTGCGTTTGTGGACTTCACTGCTGCATGGAAAGCGATTGACAAGAAGCCGCGCCGGAGCAAGAGCTAGGAACAAGAGACGTATTGGAACGGTGGAGGATGAAGATGCTTGCAGGTGAAGAGCTGAGGGGCAGACATCGTCATGGCTGAGCGATAAGTACAGCACCACGCGAGCATCTTCAGTGGAGTGCAAATCGCGAGGACGATGCCAGCGGTCATCTCGACGCGCCATGCCGTGTGAACTCGACAACTCACATACGGGGAACGCGTCTGCGTTCCAATTTCTAGGCGCCTCACCTTCCGCCATGATTCCCGTGAACAGCCGGACGCCAGCCCGCCAGTCGAGCGATGACCGTTCGAGAAGCATATGATGCGCTACATTATCAATGTCTACGGAACAAGCGGACTGCCGAGCATACTGCAGAGCATCGAGAGACCTCAGGTCTGCGCACACAGAGGCAAATGCTGTAGAGCGCAATTCACCTCGATTCATTCTTCACCATGATACATCTCATGTCCACCTACTACGACGTGCATGGAAGAGCTCTTTGCCATTCTGGAAGCCTACAGCGCGAAGTCCGCATTTTGCAGTAGTTTCAGTGCGCAAAAAGAAAACAAAAAGTCAACCGTACACCAATCGGCCACCAGTTCGAACCCCTGACCTACATGAATTCCGCGTCGAAACAGTAAAACGACAAGTCGACGATCCTGTTTATGGGGATCTGCCGGAACTAAGGTCGGTGATGAGTCGCCAACTTGTCTGAGTAAGCAGGATTCTTATCTCCAGTCCTTTTCGAGCAAGCACGTAAGGCAAAAAGGAGAGCAAAATCGAAGGAGGAAATGAACGTACCGCCCAGCATTCGAACCGGTGACCTGCGCGCGGCGTTCAAGATTAACGCACCGCACAGGCAAAAGACAAGTCGACCGCACTCTATACATGTGGTCTGCCGAAATTCGACGCTTTGCGAGACGACTCGTCTGAGTAAGCAAGATTGCCGGCAATATATGACTGTCATTCATAACTGCTAACAATGCCAGGCTGTGAATCGGGAATCATCATTCGTTACATTGGCATATTCTGAACTTAGGATGACGAAATTCTACCATCGTGTTTCCAAGCTCTGCAAGATCTGTGTCTCTCTGGAAATTGCAGCTGGAAATGCCACCACTCCAACGTATCTTGCTCTAGATCGCAGCCCGTTTACGTGACAGCACACTTCGCCTCAGATCTCACTCTCAACCACCACCGGTCTTCTCAACCTGGACTGCGTCTTGCCATCTCAGCACGGGTCCAGCTTGACATCGAAGAACGCGTCCAAGCTCGCCAACTTTGCTTCCATCGAAGGAAATCCTGTGTGCTCCCAGCCCTTCTCCTCCTTCGTCACTCGCACAACTGCACTCACTGTGTCACGTCGAGTCCGGATGCGTGAACTCGGTTTTGGCAATCTTGAGATGCGCGGCTTCATGTGTAGACCCTCGTTTGAGCCGATCTTGGTACGACTCTGCTTGAGCACCTTGCAGACCTCTGTCTCCTCCTCGGTAATGGTCGGCAACTTTGAGAAAGACCCCGAGGCGACGCAGGAGTCTTTTCTGGAATGGGTGCCACGGCTTGCACGGTCTGCTCGATCGTTGACTTGTTTGAGGGCCACTACATCGTCCTTTTGCCTGTCGCTGGCGCCAATCGCTTCGACGAAATCTTTCTCAGCCAGAATCGTCAAATTCCGAACTCTTTGCGATCTCTCCTTCGCCGACAACGTGTAATCTCGCATGATGGCGCGCATTTTCTCGATTCTGCTCTCCAAGTTCTGCGGACTGGCAACGACGGAGGATATGCTCGGGAGCCTGTGCTGTGCAAGAGCGATCACTGGAAATCGCTGCATTATCCTCATGACTGATCGTTCCATCGTGGGTGGCTCGGGCACTCTGAAGAAGTCGGCTTCTAGGGTCTCTGGGTCCATCTTGAGATTGGCCAGGTCTACCTCCATGGCGGAAAACGCTTCTTTACCGGAGAATCGGCCTCTGGTACGGGCCCGCACCAAGTTCTTCATGTCGTGGTCGCCTGACCTGGCCATACTTGACTTCACTTGAGTGAAGGCTCTGGCTCAGTACTGTCGGTCCCTGCTACAGCGGTAAGACCATGGGCGTCCCCGTCGCATTAATCAGCCTTGCGATGAGCACACCAAGTCCATACCGGTCGCACACCAGAAGGAGAAAGCGCAGAGCAACATGATCAAGAAAAGGTGCTGTCGCAAGAGTGGATTGGTGTCAGATGCTCGTTGCTTGCAGCTGATCACATATGCTTGTGTGTGAATACGCTCGTTCTCAGCTGCTCGAATCCGCGACAGCTCATTCGGAGTCGAGTATTGCGACCAGTCTTCTACTGTCACGTGCATACATGTGCGCGGAACATTTTCGATCCAGTGGCCTTGTCCCACGCAGAGCCCATGAGAAAAGTTGTCCTCTGTCCTTAAGGCAGAAGTGGGTCTAGCAACGCCGGCACAAGCTTCGAGCCAAAGATTGAAAAAAAAAAAAAAAATAGGTGCTACCCTCATAAGCTACAGCCCCTCAAGATTCTCTCGCTTCATTCACCTCGCTTAGCCACCAGATTTCCGGACAGGAAAAATTCTCAAGACACCGATCATGAAGAGGGCATCTCAACAGCCACCAACTACACACAAGTACCGTAAAGAACAGCCAGCATGCATTTCACAAAATTCCTTCTCCACTTCTTGAGCTTCATCCAAGGTATCAGAGCGACCCCTACACCTGTTGGCGACTACACCGACTTTCAGGAAGACCACCACCTCCTCCGCCGCAACCCATGGCCAGACGCACTATATCCACGCGTCCGTGTAGTCCGCTACACCGGCTGTCGCCACAACATGACAAACTACGCCCACCTCCAAACCCGCGACATCCAAATTGACCGCTGCATAACCTTCGACGCAGAACTCGACGCAGCCCACAACGGACGCGACAGATGGCTCGACGAGCTCAAAGACAAGCCCCATGTCACAAAAGAAGACGTCGAACGCGCAAACCACCCAGAAGATTACATTTTCTCCGGCCTCTACTGGCAATTCCCCAGCGCGAATAAAAAACATCTCCTCATGCCCATGGAACGCTGCAACGTCACAGTCTTCTCCGAACCAAAATGCAAACTCAACTCCCGAATCGTCAAAATGACCAACGAAGCCTCCGATGTCTGCGTTCCAGCTATCGGCGGAAAATCTATCTTTGTGGACTGCTACTCATCAGACGAACTGAAAAGTCTCAACAAGGCTGGACTAGGCGTGACAGATCAGTGGAAAAATACTGCGATTGTTAGATACGGACCTGCGAATGCGACTGGTCATCAACAACAATTTTTGCTGCCGCCGATTGATAAGAATATCAATAAGACTTATGATTCGCAAAGCGATGAGTGGCAGAGGACGTGTCAGGGGAGGAAGAATACACATAAGGGGATCTTTAAGGAACGTATCAAGAGGTGTGGCCGGAAACTTTCCCTTAATGGGGACGATTGTGATTGGGACAGTTATGGTCATCAGTGGCTTGGGGACTTCGGTTTTGCTGAGAAGTGCTAGAGACAAGATGGCGCGTGGCAAAAGGGCGATAATGGGAGAAAGAGCACAGCTCATGCTTTGGGTTTTCTGATAGTGGTAGCAGTGTCCGTATTGGTGAAATTACAGTTGGAAATCAAGGCACATATCCCAATCCACGACTGACAACGATGCGGATGCGCACTTATGGCAGAAATAATTCGTACTGACCACTTTGTGTTCGCGATGTAGTGACATTGCCAGTGCCTTGTCCCGTGAGCAAATTGTAGTCAACGCCGTGACGCCTGTTGCTCCCTCCATGCAACTCTGTCCGCATTCATCAATACCGATCACCTCGTCTCAGAATAGTCGTTCAGTGCGACGCAGACAGCGCCACGATGGTGCCCGTTATACTGTCGAATGATATTCTTACTCGCCAACTCCCACAACCTTGCATAGTGGTCACTGCAAGCGGTGACGAGGTATGCAGAATCTGCCGAGAAAGCGCAGTCCCACACCCAGCGTTGGTGGCCGTCCAGTTCATTCTCGAGTGGGAATGCCCCAGTATTGTCCTCGCCAGAGGCGGACACGACGGCACCATCTTCATCTGTCGTCTCTTCTGGCGATGCGGCCTTCTCCAGATCAACAGTCCAGATTCTCGCGGTGTGGTCGGCAGAGCAAGTGGCGAGCTTACGAACGTCTGGCGACAGCAGGACTCTGGTGATGTATGTGCCGTGTGCTTTGAATTTCGTGATTGGAATGAGGGTAGTCATATCCTTGACAGTGACAAGTCGCCATACGAACACAGCGCCATTTGTGCTTGAGCTGACAGCAGCGCAAAGAAGTGAAGCATCCGTGGCCACAGTGACTGAAGCAATACTTTTGTCTTCCTCTGGCACTAGCTGATGACTGCACTTGTTCTCTGATAGGTCCCAGATCCGGAGATTACCTCCACGATCACAAGAGATGAGCTCGCCTTGATTCGGGTGAATAACGACGTCATTCACAGGAACGCCATGTGAATAATTGCGCTGGATGTGGCCACTGCGGGTGTCCCAAATCTTCACAGTGCCTATCATGTCGTTAGAAACAGCTGATAGCATGTGAGCAGATCACCTACCGTCTTCTGAAGATGTTACCATCCATTTGCCTTCACAGTGGAACGCAACGCCAGTGATGTTGCCGGTGTGGCCCTCGAATGTGAGTACTGCGGCGGGATTCGTCGACTTGATATCATAGAGTTTGACAGTATGGTGTCCAGCAGCGGCGAGAAAGCGCTTGTCTGGAGATATGCATAATCGGTTGACTTGGGAGTCGGGATGCGGAATGGTACGCGAGCAAATTCCACTGAGGGCTTCCCAGAAGCTGCATCGAAGGTGTCAGCCGAACCATTTCGTACGTGAGGGCGCTCTGGCTGCTACGCCCTTGAGCCTTCGCATAGCATCATGTCCTCAATTGGAGTGCAGAACAGGTCGAGGCCAATAGTAAGGACGTAGAATTCGGTGCATCCCGTAATATTCGTCTTCGCGCATTGTACTTAAGATGAGATTCCGTTCGAACTTGCACGATCCCCTGCCTCGAAGGTAGCCGTCCATTACACAGCGAGTTTTCTTGCAAGTTGGCCCCGACTGGACATATTTTGCGACGCGTCTCGAGATGAAGAAATGCAAGCCAGGACAATGCGACTGCTTACCGGATGGTGTGATCGTACCCAGCTGGCAGCCCAATCAGCCAACAAGTCAAAGCAGATGCTCGCACGACCCCATCTACCTACCGGTACAGAGGATGACAGACATCTTGATACGACCCCAGTCTCGGCGACTGGGGCTGGCTTACACTCTATGAAAGGCCAATCGCCGCGACCAGTCGCAATGTGGGCGGCGGACTCGATCCGTGGGCGGCAAGGCTTCTGCGTGGGTGTCCTCTGGGGTTTGCGGCGCGCTTCGGTCCCAAGAGGGCCCAGACCAGTCGTTGCAATGCTCGGTCGAGCGTTGCCGGAGGCGATGAGATGTGTTGTCTGCAAAGGCGATGTGCATCTGCGGGCTGAGAGGGCCGAACCAGGATCTGAAGACCGCGTCGTGGAGTATTGCCAAGGCGCTAGTGAAGCTTAACGCGACTCCCACCCTTTGCACAACTACCAAAAATGATGGGAAAGAACGACAAGGTCGACGTCAAGATGCGACAAGGCCAAACGAGGCAACACGTGAGAAGATTCGATGTGCCAGATTTTCCGAACTGGAGGGCTGCGAGCTTTAGAGCTTACCTACCTGACGCTACTATCTTGGAGCATTTCGTTCCTTCATGAGCTGACGGCTGGCAGATTCGCTGAGGGAAACCTCATCTTGTCTCGCCATTGACGGCTTATGATGTCACGAAGAGTAGATTCCCTTCGAGTTGAGCTGGATCAAAACTTCAGCCATCCGACACATGCTTGTTGTCAATGACAACGATGTGTCATTGCAGCAGCAGTATTGCTGATTGTGGCTGCTAAAAGAAGCTGGAACGGCCGAGGTGTGCTCTCGTGGCCCTCTCTTTTCGTGCGGCCTTGATCGCAGTTCTGCAAAAGGCGTCATGGTAGTGGAGTCCCATCATCAGCGTCAATTATATGCTCGCCTGATCTTCGTATGGACCACTCAGGACTTTTGCCGGCCGGACATAAGCGAACTCCGGTGGTAATGGAAGAGCTATGCTGCCAGGACTCGGTCTCAAGCTGCTTCTGAGCTTGGCAGGATGCAATGATTGGCATTGATGATCGCAATAGTTCACAGCGCTGAAGCTTCATTGATGACATGTGTGACGAGCCCGATTATTAGAATATGCTCAGCATATGCTGCAGTCTTCGACGACTTTGTCGGCTCTGATATGTCTTCGACGTCTTTCGTGTCTGTGAACTAGTGCGTAGGTCGCTGAGATGCTGAGCAAATACGGCTTTGCAACATCGCTATGCTTATGCTGGGGAGACTGGCTGGGATCTCTTCGAAGCCGCAGCGGCGTGGTGTGCGGTCCAGAGAACTTCAGCTATCGGCCACGCGCAGGTATCAAGGCTCTTCTCTTTGGGCACAGCCTCGGCTTCAAAGATCCCCTCAGATCCGACCTTCAAAGCGCCTGGCGAGAGGTTGTTGCAGGAATCCATGCCCTCTCGTCCTTGCGACGGACCCCATTCCATGCAGCCACCCGTCGACCGCGCAACGGGTTTCACGCCTTCGACGTGGCACGAAGTAGGGGGAGTGTATGGTCCACGAAAGAGCTCGCGCATTGTGGCTTCTCCTTCTCCACGTGTCTTAGTGCTCGTGAGCGGCCTGTCGCGCGCGCGGACGTGAATACCGGTCACCGAGAATGTGTCTTCGCTAGCTAGCAACATGAGAGCAGTGGGCTGGACCCAATCGTCGCCAGCTGTGGGCACCTATTTGCAGCGGTCTGCATCTTCGCACCGACGCTGGTGGCTGTCGCCGTGTTGAGCGCGCTGCTGTTGCGTGAAGGCTGCATCGAGCGCGTTCGAAGCACATGGTTTGACGGAGCCCCAAAGCAGGGGGAACTTCCACGAGCTTTGTTGCAGAGCTAGCCGCGCAAATGCCGCTGTTTAGGAGTGTTGCCCAACTGCGAAGTCCCGTCAAACACGTGCCTAGTGTGGAATCGCGGGCAATCTGGAACAGAAAGAGGCACGAGTGCAAGTCAATGGCGATCCTATCGTGCATCCACCAGCACCTCCCGCGATGTTTATGGGATCTCCATCGAAGATGGCTCAGTCCGATCTTGTAGCCTACTGCATAGCACTTGCAGCGCGGCACATGCTGGCTTGCTCTTCGGCTATCGATATTGAGCGAGAGGGAAAGAACGCGCTGCTTGGAGACCTATCCTGACCTCTATCTCGACTGTGATTACCCTAAGCAGCTGCTTGGCTGGTAGTTGTGGTTCCAACATGGGCCAGTGCAACTTTACCGCAGGATGCCTGCCCATGCTGCTCCTGCAAAGAGATCTTGGAACGCCGACCAAGCGATCGGCTCGTGTGCCCTAGCTTCGGCACATGTTCAGCTCCGAACAGCTACAACGCAACGTTTATGCGTCGTACGGCTTCCGGAGAAACGGGAGGATTCGCGCGGCTCTGCTCTACATCACAGCATCCTCAGCTGCACAGCTTTCTCAAAATCATGTTGCGTCTATTTTCTGGAGCGAAGTCGGCCAGGGAGGCGCAGCTCCATTGGAGTTACAGAGAGAGCGTTCCATTGGAACGTTCTTGAAAATTTTCTCTCCACGGCCTCATTTTGCTTCACAACGCCGCCGACGACGCTGTCGGTGTCGCATGGATATGCTGAAAACACGAGCTTGGAGCTCCGAAGCGTGGCTATCTGCACATACCCATATTGTGAGCTTTCGTAACGCGACATCGCTGTCATTGTCGCTGGGGAGTGAGTGGATCCCCTTTTCGCTCACCTCTTGGAGAGTACCAAATTTTCGAAAAAAGACACAGTAGGTCGGACGCATTGCAACAATATATGCTACAGTCCCCACGCCCTCTGGCAGTCGAATTACAGTCAGATTTCTGAAGCCGACCACGTTGAATAAGCGAACACCACAGCTCTTTTCAACACACTCTCCAAGGCTTCAACCAACACCACGCCAAGCAAGTCGGATCGAGGTAGTCAGAACCTCACAAAATGTCAGCAGAGATGGACTTTTTCGCAGACGTCAAACCCTGCTGCTGGAATTGCATGCGGGAGTTGTCGGACGTTACCCGCGCGCCATGTGAACGGTGCCTTCGTCAACTTCCGCCTGGCGACTTCGATTTCGACCAGGCAGCCGCGCCTTTGCAACCGCCGATGCAAAGGCAAAACTATCCTGCCTTCGACGGAAATGTTGCCGACCTCAGAGCCCTGGTCACGCCAAGCTTACCTGCAACCCAGCAGGTCAATGCTCCCATTGTCCATGGAGCAAACTTTCAGGATCGCTCCGCCCTCGCCAATCTGACCGAGCCACAACCGGTCAATGCACAGCAGGAGGCCACTTTTGCGCCTGGTGGAGACAACGCTGCTGGTTTCTCTGGCCCTCGCCCTGGACGACCTGCCGCCGAGGTACTAGGTTTCCATACGGGTCCTCGGGCAGCTGAGACGTTCGGTGGAGAGGGTGATGTGGCGCAGGTGAACGCTCAGTACGTTCCTGCAGGACAGTGGGGTGAGTACGGCCACCAAGGGGTGGGTCCTTTGGCCACTCCGGCAGCTGCAGCTCCCGCCCAAGCAACCGGTGGAGCGACGACGCGGGCGCCACGGAGGACACTTGCCCAGAAGACTCCGGGGGAGGTGACGCGCCAGCTTCAGAAGAGTCGCTACCAGCAGGGCCCCCAGCGCATGGCAAAGCAGATCACGAAGCTTTGCAAGTGGAACGGAGACATGGTTCGGGACAAGCAAAAGATAGCCTACTCCAAGAAAGCTGTGCATGACTGGGCTAAGCAATATGGCCTCCGCTGGAAAGACGGAGACCATTTCTTCGAGCTGGCTGGAACCTCTCGTCCTGTTGCTGCCGCTCACATGCAAGCAGCCCAGGATTGGGTCGCCCAAGGGAAGACTCCTCAGCACTACGGGGGCGCCAACCTGAAGAAGCTCCCTGTCGCTTGGGTCACCAACGCGCACGGGCTCGGAGGCAGGCCTTTCGGGTAATCGAAAGCTGCCATCGTGGCTCTGTGCGTGGCTGGTCATCACAGCCACTGGACATACCGACGAGTCGACCTGGAGCTTGGCGCTAGCGCAGAGGCAGATCCCGTGGGCGGAATTGACGTTTCATCGGTGATGCATACACACGAGCATCCCGATCACTAAATCTTGATCACCCTGTCTGGCTATCCCATACTGAGCGATGGCCTGCAGAGGTGTGACACATCACAGATCCATTTCCGAATGAACCACACCGACCGTGGTATCAGGACAAGAAACGGATCGAATCCGGATTTCTTCACGAACCGGAAACGCAGCGGAGCGTATTGACCGCTGTTCTGAGGGAGCGTATTTGACCCTCGGACTGGA